GAGCTGGAAGACATGGAGCTCCAGTCCGATCTCGACCTTAGCGATGACGATTTTTGGAACTAGCTTTGGACGTTATACCCTTCGAGTTGGACTGTAGGTCAAGGATACTGTGTTTGCCAGTCAGATCTTTCAGTGTCAGCTGCGAGGAGGGCAGAAGTGAACTTCGAAGTTCACAAATTGGACTTTCAAGAACAAAAAAAACATTCAGATTGCTTGCTGTCGGTGCATCTGGTGCTTTGAGCACCAGACCTGGTTCGACTCATCCCAGGAGCAATCACGTTGACAAAGCAGAGTGTACAGACTCGAGGTTACCTACGGTTTGTGATCAGTTGCTGGCTTGTGCAAGATTGAAACTTCCAGCTTCAGTAGGTGTTCTTTTGATACGGATTCAGTCATCGAATGAAGGGGGTGCCATTGAATACTTGGAACTTTGGTTTTCTGGTTCACGAAGCAATTCCGAGACTTTCCAGGGCCTTTTCCAGCAGCACGGAACCAGCCTGATAAAGTCATTCAAGAACACAGACGAAAATCTTCCTTTCGTAAGATCGAAGCAGATTCGAAGCAAATGTCAAGTCAAGCTGCCTGGCATCGGATTCGAAGCTCATTCAAGTACCTACATGAGGAGAGTAGAGTACCTTTTTACCTTAATGATCTCGAAGTGCGATTGCTGATCATTATATGGTTTTAGATATCGTTCCATGGCACGATATGATCATTGGAAACAAGTACGTAAGAAAGGGAGCTCCTCTTTCTGTGGTTTTTAACGGGTCCAGTTTTCAAGTCTGTGTGCAAGCATGCAGACAGGGCGGCACCGATTTTTATTTTATTTTTATTTTTATTTATTTATTTTTTCGACAAATATCCATATAGGTATCTGCGGTCGGCCGAATTTTGCGAATTTTCTGCGATTTCGCAGTCCAGCGTTGAGAATTATTTTATGTTTTCGCACACCCCCCCAAATAATTATTTATGATGCGAAATGGGTTGGTCGGTACGGTAGTCGTAGACTCCTAGGCTGTAGCGCTTGCAAAACGGTTGAGCTGGCACTCCCAGAGCAGCCTCAGCCCTGCAACTTCAATTGAGCGTACCCGCCAATTCTCTTTTGTTCTGCAAAGAATTGACCGTTGGATCTTTCAGTTTGTCGTTGGACGGCTCGAAGCTAGACTACTCCGCAAACACTGGCCGTCAGATATTTGATATCATATTCCCATCCACGGTAAAGTTATGGTAATGGTGGCCGACGGTTGAATCTGAGGCGAACTTTCTGGAAACTCAGGAGCGAACCTTTACCACCTCTTGCACAGCAGGTCAGTCTGATCAGCAGTTTGTGCGCTGAGCGCAGGACAGGAATGCTCCATTCAGCTAGGGTGTTCATCGCGCTGGCCTTCTCCTCAGAAGTCGGCGAACCGGGAGTCCAGGTTCAAGGGAAGTTTTGTGAAGCGAGGTGTGCCTGCCGCTCCTGGTAATCTTTGCGGAGTGGCCAAGTTTTGAGGATCTAGATCTGACTGTTGTGCTTTCAGGCGCACTCTTTGTGAAGAGGGCTCCTTCTTATAGTGGGACACCATGTTTGGACGTATGCCCAAAAAGGGCGACAGTCAGCGGTTTTATGACATCCTGGGGGTGCCAAAGAGTGCTTCTCCAGACGAACTGAAGAAAGCGTACCGCAAGCAGGCAATCCAGAACCATCCGGACAAGGGAGGGGATGCCGAGAAGGTACTTCATGAAGCACTGCATCCGCTCGTGCCCTCGTGCAATGCATTCCTGATTTTCAGCCTTCCAGAAAATCAGCATCCCTCCTTGCATCGCTTCACTACAAGACTTGGCCCTTTCTCGCTCTGTTTGTCTGGCCCTAGTCAGTCTTTACATATGTTTGTTCATGAGTTTGTTGGTCTCAGCAGGTTCTTCCGAGATGCTGTCAACTACTCGCTCGTTTCGCTCACGGACTGACCGAGCATGTTCGTGTTCGCTGCCATCGCAGTTCAAGGAGCTGGGCCAGGCTTATGAGGTCCTGAGCGATCCCGAGAAGCGCCAGATCTATGACGAGTATGGAGAGGAGGCCCTTAAGGATGGGATGGGAGGGGGACCTTCTCATAGTGCATTCGACATCTTTGAGCAGTTCTTCGGTGGCGGGGGCCATCCGTTTGGCGGGATGGGTGGTGGGATGGGTACGTTTCCTAAGAATCCTTCTTGTTTATGGGTTCAGGAAGCAAAATAGAATACTGATGTACTTTGAACAAACAAGCTGTCAGTGAGCTACAATTTGCATGCACCTGGAATGTCATGGCTCGCAAGGTTTTGCAGCAAGATTAATGATCCCTGGTAATGGCCGGCTCAAAAATGGAACAAAAGGTCAGTTCTGGGCCAGGCTGCAGTCACCAACTCTATCTGGCTGCTGTTCAGTGGAGGTATTTTGCATCATAAGTAAAGTTTAAGTTGTTCTTCAAGTTTTTTTGCAAAATCGAAGGCTGCAAATCAATAGGGCATGGCAAGGTGAAGCACAAGGTTTTTATACTCGCATCCACAATCTGCACAAGTCCGTGAGATGTATTGTTTTTAAGCAAACTAGAGGAGCGAGGAAAAGCAGCAACATTCAAGCTATGTGTTCTTGTTCTAGGTGGGGGCAGGCGTAGGCAGCGGCGGGGAGAGGATCTGGTGCATCCCCTCAAGGTGACGCTTGAGGATCTTTACAACGGGGCGCAGAGGAAGCTTAGTCTGTCAAGGAATGTGATCTGCGGAAAGTGCAAAGGGTGAGTTTCACATTCTTGTCTCAAGACCTTGGAGTCAAATTCTTTGATGAATGCAACCACTGGAAGTATGCGAGCAAGTAAGTAGAGTGGTTACACAAGAGGTTAATCTCCTGGATGCTAGCTGCGCGGAAGATACAATGAAGGCAGGGCTGTTCGTTGAAGCTAGTTGCACAGCTGGCAAAGTTGTCTGGCAAGCCCCGACAGGGTGTGCTGGCGGCTTGTGTGAAAGTTAGGGTTTTGTGTTCAAGAATCAGCAGCCGGTACAGGCAGCAAGTAGAGCATTTTGGGGAGACGGGTAGTCAGACTGCTCACAATCGCCAATCACCAAGATGGGGCTAAGCTATCCCTACAGATTTGGGGGGCATGCTTCAGATTTTTCGTCGCAAGAGTGTCATAGCATGCTGACCACGAGTTCCTCACCTTTCTTGATCTGAGTGTTTCTCTCGCTTTTGTTTCAGTGTCTTGAAACATACAATCTGGTCTCTCGCAGGAAGGGTTCCAAGTCTGGGAAGATGACGCGATGCCCCGGGTGCCAGGGCTCGGGCATGAAGGTCACCATTCGGCAGCTGGGGCCGGGCATGATCCAACAGATGCAGACGGTGTGCAACGAATGCTCCGGCTCTGGTGAGCGCTGCATCTAGGTAGCATTGCTTTGAAACATAGACAGATGTTTGAACAATCTGGACAGCTGGTTGCAAAGTAAAGGGGATTCGGTTTTGGGGGATCATCCAACTTTTCACTGGCAGGTATGTGAGGACAGGGATCCATGGAAATCTACGGTGGTAGGGAATCATCCAACTTTTTGCCGGCAGGATCAAAAGACAGGGAATTATTGGGGATCGCTGATGTTGGGATTGGTTGATGTTGGGGCATCATCCAGATGTGTGCTTCCCTGCTTCCCTAACCATCGATGGATCATTGTCTCAAAAGAGCTTGCCTGTTCAAGTGTGACCAGTTTGGAGGTCCAGACCTGTCACGTCATGTGTCTCGCAAGTCTTGTTCCTTGCTCAGAAAATCTCTTCGGAGTACCCTTGTCCTCCTCACTGGTGTCGATGAGAAGATCATTGCCGGGGTCGGCCAGGTCTTGCTTCTTTTCCACGTACGATTGCCGGTCAGAACCATCTTTCCTAAAAAGGTGTATCAGAGAAGTGCTTACTTGACATTTGTCAGAATACTTTTCTACTCAAGACGGAAAAGCAATCAGACAAGCTGTGTTTTGGCATTTTTAAGTTACTCAAATGCCCTTGCCGGGATCCCGCAGGCGAGAAGCTGGACGACAAGGACCGGTGCCCGCAGTGCCGGGGCAACAAGGTGGTGCAGGAGAAGAAGATCCTGGAGGTGCACATAGAGAAGGGCATGCAGCACGGCCAAAAGATCACGTTCCAAGGGGAGGCCGACCAAATGGTGAGCGCTAGTTCTTCGTTTTCTTCTTGCTGTTGTTTCCCTTGTCCGTTTCTTCCCAACGCAATTCGGAGAGAGTAAGCGCTGCAATCGTGCGAGTTCCTGGCTTGTTCTTGTCCCTCTGTGTCTCCTCTTCTCCGTCTCCTTACATGCTGGTTTCTTCTCCGTCTCCTTACGTGCTGGTTTGGAAGTTGAGAGGAGCTGAGCACTGGATTTGGAGAGCCTTTCGCAGAAGGTGGAGAATCTCATGGTCTCCTTTTTGCCGACCTTCTGAGATCCGATTTCGGAATCTGGATCTGTTCAACTTCTGTTACTTTGTCGTTGTTGATTTTTGGCGATCTACTTCTCCGCCCCGCCAGTCATGCAATAGGACTCAACGAAGAGCGCACATTTTTGTGTGCTGCGACTGAAAGAGTAGAGCAGAGCATTTTCGCGACACCTTCTGAGATCAGATTTGAAAGTTGAACTTTCGAGCATGTGGACGCACATACTTGGCTCCCTGCGCAGCCGGATCAGCAACGGACGACTTCTTGTCAACGCCGCACATTAAGGAGCAAGTACAAGGTCACTGCTTCGCTCGAAGAATCGAACGAGAGACAGATCTCAGTGACAAGACCCCGAAACCGAACCGAACGAGAGCCAGATTTGAAACTTGAGTAACGAAGCCTCTGAAACCTGGACTGACACGCTTCGCGCCTTTGGCAGCCGGACACGGTGACGGGCGACATTGTGTTCGTGCTGCAAATGAAGGAGCACCCCAAGTTCAAGCGCAAGGGCGACGACCTCTTCTACGAGCTGGACATCAACCTCACGGAGGCGCTCTGCGGTTTCCAGTTCCCCGTCACGCACCTCGACGGCCGCCAGCTGCTCATCAAGTCGCTACCGGGGGAGATCATCAAGCCGAGTAAGTGGATTGAGCAGTAACGGTGTTGTTTGGGTTGGCCTCAAACCTGGGTCGTTTGTTCTAGATTGCAAGGGCTTGCTTATTGAGTTGATTGTAAAGGAGAGAGTAAAGCGCTCCGAAGTGCAAAGTGGTGTGTTTAGATGCGGGCCGTCAATGGTGGTGCTTTTGCGGGGGAGGTATCCAGCCAAGGGAGGTGCGGCCCCGTCGTGACAGTTTAGGAATCATCGTGCAGCAAGCATGAAGGGCGCCGGCTGCCCAATTACTTGATCTGACGATCTGGCTCATTTCATTGATCGAGGAGGGTCTTCTCTAGATTTCTAAGAAAGTGACCGTCGTTGGCAAGTATGCGGCGAATATTTGTGGTTGCGACCAAGGGTGCCGTAGAAAAAAAGGTAGGGCGCTGATGTGAGCCGGGGATACAGGTAGCGAGTGAGGATTCTGTTGCAGATTCTTACGTTCTATTAATGAGCGTCTGCCAATCAAAGCAGGCTGTGGCGGCTTCTCGTCATTGTGCGCCTGCTTCAATTGGTACGTTAGCCCTTTTGTGATCTGTACGATTCCAAAGTCGTAATAAAGCTGACCGGATTTACAGCCGGTCGTTTTAGCATTCGTGAGCATTGAAACTCAGCTCGCCCGGAATGCAGAAGCAGCACGCTTGCCTTTATTCGCAAAGGCTCCGGGACTGAGCCCTCGACAACTTTCGGGGACCTGATTCGTGGTAACTTTGTTGCAGATCAATTCAAGGCCATTCACGACGAGGGCATGCCTCAGTACCAGCGCCCCTTCACAAAGGGCAGCCTGTACGTCCATTTCAACGTCGAGTTCCCGGAACCAGGCTCGCTCAACCTTGAACAGATCAAGGTATGCTGACCTTACTTTTTTTATTTGGGGTTATGTTCTTGTTTTGTAATCAAAGCTCTTTGCCTGAGTTTCGACCTTGGGCAGGACAGTTCTTGTGGGCGTTTGCATAGAAGGTGCTACTTGCCTGATTCTCAGTCTGACCAGGACGGTTTTTGTGGGACGTCTCTGTAGAAAGAGCTTGTCGCCTGATCTCAATCCTGACCGGGCCAGACTTGTGGGGACATAACAGAGAGACGATTTGTTATTGAACCGAGGTCTAAATGTTCTGTCAACGGACGGTCCCCTTCCTGTTGGAGGACAGCTCCACATGCAGCGCTAGTATGAGGGTGCTTAATCGATAGCGAGCGGAATCTACTGCCGCCTTATTGAGCAGCTTTCAGGGCTCTTCGCAGGGGGGAAGTTTCAGTTGTCTCTCAACTTCAGGATCCCATGGAAGGCTGAAAGGACTCGTACTACATTGTTTCGTTCCTTTTGCTCAGCACTCGCTCAAAATTCTTAGCCAAAGGAGTCGAAGCGATCGTTTTATGGTCATTTTCCATTGTGTGCAGGTTCTGGAAACAGTTCTGCCACCAAAGAGGGCGATGGGCCTGACGGACATGGAGTTAGACGAGTGCGAGGAGACGACCCTCCATGACGTGAACATCGAGGAGGAGATGAGAAGGAAGGCCCAGGCGGAGCGCGAAGCATATGACGAAGATGAGGATGGCCCGCAACGGGTGCAGTGCGCTCAGCAATAGTGACGCAGGAATTCCATGTCGAATAACGAACGCTAGTATCCCGACGCACATGCTGATTGAGTCCGCGCAGCAGCTAATATTTCTTGAATGGGAAAGAAGCTTTTACAAAACATGTGTATGTTTGATCATGTTTCCGTGGCCCCAGGCATTTTCTGAATCTAAAGTTGCTGCCTTGTTACTGATTGCTCTTCCTCGAAATCTTGCTTCTCCACAGTGTTTTGACCATGGTTTTCAATTGAGGCGTGTTGACCATGGATCTATTGACAACTACGTATTACATTGGCGAGACCTGGCTTGGAATCCACGTCGACACGGATAATGCAGTTATTGGTAATCCATATCGTCACAGCAGGAGCTGCCAGCATGCATGAGTTGCACGCCGGATTGTGTACCTGTTGCGCCCGTCCGCTCGAGTTGTTGCGATTTCGCTTATGCTCGCGCAGACGCTTCTTTCAAATCTTCCCCATGGGTTTCAAGAGATTATACATGTCTCACGATCAACCTGACTTTCCACATGAAAAACTTACTTATAGCTGGCCCGATTGCTGCATGTATGGGAAAGCAGCCTTACCATGGGTTGCTAATGCTTTCAACAAATGCAATTACTTAATAGGATCATCAGTTGGCATGCATTAAAATTCTCAAGCAGCGTTTGCATGTTGAAAATGTTATATATCATGTGCAATAAGCATCTCGATATCAAGTCAAGTTGTTACAAGAGGCTTACCAGCGAAAGGGAACGTGCTGACTCTTGATCGCTCACCTAGGAATCGAGCCATGGAGACAGCCCTCAGAGCTCGTCTACTCTTAAGACGAATTTATATTTACCGACATTATTCAATCAGATCATGCGGCGCGTCTGCAAAATTACTTATGACCGAACGATGAACTGAAAGGAGCTCAGCAGCCGTCCGATCGAAGGGTCCACCGTGCTACGCGCGCGAACAGCACATTTTGGAAACCGCCACACAGCATAAGTATCAAGTAGAGACTTGGAAGTACAGACTACAGTGGGTACTTGTACTCTGCGCCTATATAGGAAAGCCATACGTTACTTATGACACTGCACAACTCTCGAGTCTCGAGCTAGGTGATTTCAAGCGAGGCGTGAAGGCAATGTTGCAAATTCACAATATTTGGTAGGGGGAAGGAACTTTCAGGTGCCGGAGCTGAGAAGGTGGAGGGCTCCAGGCGGATTGTGTAGTGGGAAGGTTGCTGTTCTTCGATTGAGTGTGGCTGCAGAGGCGTTCTCAAAGGACATCCACCTCTTGCAGAGGCAGCCTTATTTGCTGTCTATGTCAGATAGTGTAATGATGAGCTGCACCATTGAGCAGCTTCCTGCAGGGAGCTCAGCGACCGGAGGGACTGCCGCTTCATGGAACCGCATCAAACTCAGCAAGGAGCTTGCTTCCGCAGTCCAGGATGACGCTCGGAGAAAGGCGATTGACTCGGCCAAAAAGAGAGCCGTCTCTCAGCATGTCGACTACGAAACCTTCCAGGTGAGAGCAACCGGAGCTCGGAGCGTAGGGATTCAGCTACTTGTGCTGGTTGTGTGGCGACTTTTGGACCGGCGCTGGAGCTGCCAAAACCCTGTGCACTCCAGCTGGCTCTTCTTTGGTGCTTTCGACATTTTGCAGAGTTGGTCTAAGCCGGTGTTGACACCTGATCAGGTCTACCTTTAAGACCTCCTGAACGCAAAGACCAAGAAAGTATCAAAGATTTAGGGTGGTTATCTACATCCCTTTTCATGCTTACCTCACCTAGCCTTTAGTACTCGAGCTTCATCTTTCCAACTGCTAAACCAGCTAGTGGGTTGCTGCTGTGGTGAAAGCTTCTCATGGCTGCAAACAGGCAAAACATCAGCTTGGTGCCGCTTTCTAAATTGCGGAAGTCCCTTTTTCGTCATACCAGGTGATATCATCTCGTGTGACCCTAGAGATTTCATTTGCCCATGCATATTACAAGAACCATACTTAGAGAAGAGGACACTAAATCTTTCGTAAGAAACAGGGCTGGACTCAGCCACCCTCTTTATACACCATCTTCCTTGCAGGCAATGGTCTCCGTTGCTCATCTAAAGCCTATCGAGCGGGACGAATGGTACCGGAGACCCGCTGAATTGCACAGCTCCCCCGCTTGGAAGTTCTCAGCGGATGGTTCCCTGAGTGGCAACGCTCTCACGCTCAATCCCTCAGAAGGCAATTGTGCAACGGAAGAGCAGTTGAGTGGCTTGATCAACGAGCCAAAGAATGCAGAGGAGTTCCAGAAGCGATGGAGGAGTTTGAAGGGCTCTGCAGAAGACAGACTGAGGTAAGCGATTTCAAGCTCTAGTGATGGTTTGCAAGATGAAGGATGGCTAGCATCCACTTCCCTCGTTCTGATTCTGGAAGCTGATGAGTTTGTGCCGGTCACGCTCCTTATGAGTCAGCACGGTTTCAGAGTTAGGACTGTAGGTCCTGGAGAAAGAAGAGCAAGTGATAGAATGCATCAGATCCTTTTACTGATTTCCGAAGCTTGGTCAGCATCTGATCAGACTTGCGTGCCCGGGGATGTGCGGTAGCTTCCAAGAGTGATGATGATGTGCTTTACGTTTTACTCTTAGAGTTGCTTACACTGCGGGGACTGCTGAGGGATTTCCTGCGCTCCTCCTGGAGCAAGCACAGTGCCCTTGTCTTTTACCTTTCTCTGAACCTGAACCTCGAAATGCCTGGCCCTAAGGCAGTCAAGTTGCTCTCCTGTTTGTTGTGACCCTTGCACAGCTCAAAGCCCCCCTGCCGCACCTCGCAAAAGCAATCAAAGCCTTTTTTGGGAAGTGTTCCACTGTTTGATCTCTGACTTCGTCAAAACGCACGTGGGTCTCATCTTTGATCTGCTTTTCGCTGCGTTCAAGCTTCTTTATCGTTTGAGAGAGTGAACTTGAACCTTTATCTGGTGCAGACTTTTCATGTCGATTGGACCCGAGAAGCTCCTTCCGCTGTTCAAGGTGGAGATCCGCCCGGCCCTGCTCGGGGAGATCTTCTCAGTTCTGAGCGAATGCTGGGATACAGACACAGATCGACGCGCTTTGGGAAACCCTTCTTCAGACGGAGATACGACGAACGCACTGGAAAAGACCATGGGCGCCCTTTCAATTCAGAGGCCGTCAGCACTTTTAAGAGAAGAAGGAGAAGCAAACGGGAAGAGGAGCGGAAACGCTTCCGAAACGGACAGGGACACTTCAGTAGCGGCTCCACAGAGGCAAGAACTCACTTGCGCTTTTCCGGGTCTGGACGATAGCTTTAGGAAAAAGAAGGGTGGGGGGACGCTTCAGATAGGCATGGGAGCGGACGCTGCTTCTCTCGCAAGCGAAGCTGCAGACGGAGCTTTTGAAAGTACTTCGGTTCAAGAAAGTATTCCCGCTGGAAGCCCGGAAGATGCAGCAGAAAGTCAGCAGCATGTTGGCTCAGTCGCTTCGGGTGAGAGCCAAAAGACGGAGTTACAAGGGCACGAGAGAAGGGCAGATCCGCAAGCCGGAGATTGCGTCGAGAAGATCTTGAACATTCTGACGGCGTTGTCCAAGTCTGGAAGGTTCAGCTTGACGCTGCGGCTGCTTAGCAACGGCCACAAGAAAGACATGCGGTCTGTCTTTGAAAAGCTTCGTGTTGCAACGATCAAACAAGGTGCAGCAGACGCTCTCGACCGGCTCAGCAGCATCGAAGCCCTCTTTCTACAGTAGCAGGGCAGCTTTACGCGTCAGGTCAAAGTTCGAAACCCGTGGGCCTGATCCTGTCCGGATTATACCCACCTTGTTTTGTGCGTCCGATTGAGTTGAACAGCGCGTGTTCTAGACGTGGCGCAGACACTTTTGGAAATGGAAATCGACCAGTGATAGCTTTTGTCTGCCCTCCGACCTCGACTGGCCTCATTCCATGTTCTCGTATACTCGACTGCTCCACGTACTCCAATGCTACCGTAGAGCACCTGATTAACAAAGGCATGGAATGGATGCTTTTGCACGAAAGCCCCTTTCAGGAAAGACCCTCCGGACTTTTCAATGTGATCTACATCGTGGCGGCATGAGAGTGACTGAAAGACTATGTGCTTGAAGACCATTTGCTTCTGACATGGATTCGTTTGAACGCGTACCCAAATTAATCCCCTTACATATTAACTTTTACCCGGTGTGCTTCTTTTAAAACGTCCACCTTATATGCGAGGTCGGAAGCGTTGAGCATGCCGCCTAGTTACGTTCTGGCCGGACTTGGCATTGGCCGCGGCAATATTTTTGCCACAAATGCTAGCGTTGCATGACCGGTTTCATATCATGCGCATGCATGGCCGGGGTTTCAACGGCAACATACATGTTCGCGAAGCTAGTCGAATCCGGGGCCGTACCAGTTGAGACTATACATATGTGCATATGGAGAATGCCTGGCCGGGCAGACCATGTCGATGCACATGCCTACAAAATGGAAAGAGAAGAGCCAGCTGCATGAATCAACTCAAGGACAAGCCGACTGCCTTAAGGAGTGACCTAGCCTTCTGCCGAGGGGGCGGTCATCTACAGGCAGTGGCAAGCAAACACAGATGCGATCGATCACAAGATTTAGTCACCTGGCATTTCTAAGGACAGAACGAGAGGAGGTGTAGAAGGTCAACTCCTTTGCTCAAAAGGGCAACCCATTCGACGTTGAGGAAAACCTGACCCGAGTGATCTGCGCGCTGCACTGTTATTTCTTCTGCACACTGATCTCACAGCGGCACGTTGACTGAGCAGTACAAACTCCGCTTCGCGGCCGGACCTCCTTCTAAGAGCTACCTTGCAGTGACCGTCGACTGGAAATAGTTCATGTACAGCGACACAGGCAGCCCGACCGCCGCATACACAACTTCCTCTCGCAAGCGGATCTCTTTACTCAGCCCGTAGAATGCGACATTCTCAAACGCCGCCACCTGGAGGCTCCGCACCACGGCCGGCCGGAAGTCCGTCCTCAGCTTCCGTAAGATCCGCTTTGGCTTCCGCTGCAGTAATGAGTCCCACGTGAACAACAGCACGATGCGCGCGGGCGTTAACACCGCCTCGGTGAGCACTAACTTCACAACCGCCTTTTCCGTCGGGTCGTTCCGGGGGTTGTACCGGATCGATTGCATCCAAAAGTTCGTCAGCGGGTGGTCCACAAAGAACGCAAAACTCGCCATCCGCAGCGACCGCAGCAGACTGTACCCGGGGGGATCATCCGGGTCGTGACGGGGCCTGCTCCGCAACTCCTGAGACGGGCCTGCGGGACGGGCCCTGTTTTCGGAGGTGCCGCCAGCGCCCGAGGATGCATTTTCAGTCTGGTTCTTTGCTAACGGGGACAGGTTAAGGAAACCCTTGAAGGCGGAGTGGACAAACGACAGCACGCCCTCGCTGTTCCCCACACACCCCTCCATTCCCTGCTCGCCAGGCCCCCCCTGAGGACTGAAACTACTCTCCACCACCCCGCGATCAACCAAGCTTGTTGGCCCGCTTTCCAACCCGCTTTTGCTGACATCAGCCAGAGGAGGCTTCACCGGCGTCCCCCCCTCGTCGTCGGACCCCGCCTCGACCTCCTGCGCTCGTCGCTCCTTCTCCTCCCGCCGCCGCCGCCGCCGCTCCGCCACCCCCCGCGCGCGCCAGGCTGCCCACTTCTCTGCCCACTCCCCCCCCACCAGAAATTCCAAAATCTCGCGCTCTTGGCGGGGGGGGTCCCGGATCTTGGTTCCCCATCGCCCCTCCACACGCTGCGCGATGACGTCACCGACAAACGCCACCCCTGCGTGCCCCAACCCCGCTTGCAAGTAGGCGCTGGCATATGCCTGCTTGGGGTCGTACGAGGGGGACTGCAAAACGTCCGAAGTGTCGGACGGGTCGCAGCGCCGGACGTGTTTCTGGCGGGGGCCCCCCAAAACCCCGAGATCGAAGCCTCTGAACCCCCCGTTGCGGAAAGGCCACCCGGCCGAGCTGGCCATGAATGCAACTTTAGAGCAGGGAATCTAGATAAGGAGGGGAGTGGAGAGGTGCACAGCCAATCTGTAGCCTGACTGAAGCGAAGAACTTCCTACTGGGTCCACGAGGTTTTCAGTGCGCAGAGCTGCGGTGCTCAATTTCTCTGAGTACTTGGCACCTTTTTGAGAAAGTGGTAACCAACTTTCTCTACAGCTTACAGGAGCCTAATAACATTAGCAGTCGTGCGTTCCCCTTCACTTGGGACTCCGAAGCCCGGCGTTTGAGCCGGACAATTAGCCACCCGACTACTTGCTGAGTTGCCAAACGCTCATGGCTTGTCCTTATGCGCGTCCCGGTTCTTCTTCACAATTTCAGCCATCTCGTCTCCGGAGGGGGGCCGGGGGCCCTCGGGAGGGTACACAACATACTGACGCTGCAACCAAAGCAGGGGGAAAGCAGCGTAAGTGCACGTGCTTATGTGAGCTCGGGTTCAATATTTTGACAGCAAGTATCTCTGCTATAAGAGGCGAAATGGACAACCTGAAAAGTAGGGGCTCTTTAAGAAGTGTGTATGCAGGATCAATGATGTGGTCTGTCTGATAACCCAAGGTCTGTGTCCTGGAGAGAAAGCGTTTGACCACCGGGGGTGTTCACACAAGTTTGAAATCCGCAAAAGAACAAGCGAGCCACTCGTTAAATGACAGTGTGCTGCTACAATAGATTCTAGCGCAAGCACTGGTCAAAAAGGTCACTTACATAAGTTTCTGAGGATAAGTGTCATCACAAGTCTTGCAGATGATGGTCACGTCAAACGCCAGCATGAAAAGATTGATATCCAAGAGTGGACACTATACTTTAGCAGACATGAGGAAGAGAGGAAGAAGTGCAAAATCATGGCTGAGGAAAGCCAGCAATATGTCTCGCAGTCAACCATTTCCCTCATGATACAGCTGGCAGGATTTGAATGACAAAGCATGAGCGCAAAATTCTCTTTCTTTCCTCTTATACCACTTTCCAGTTGGAAAACCCTGCCTAGAGGATCTCTGCGTGGACTCTTCAGGGTGGCTTATCTGAGGCATAAGCAAAAGTATCTTCAGCTCTTGGAGAGGTCAGATGAAGCTTACATTGCGGATGATCTTCTCGAGATTGTCGGGGTTGTTCGCAAAGACCACCATCATGGAGATAGGGATGCCAACATAGCAGGCAAACTTGAAGAGCTCCATCAGCCCACGTGGTCTCGCCATGGCCGCAGGCTCGCTGGTTGCCCCTCCTGTACAGGTGTGGATTTGCAATGCTATCGAAGCAGGTAGATATTAGGACTACACAGTACACTGTCAAGGACTGTCTAGCCTCTAGGACTGTCGTATCCTATTCAGACTCGGTAGCTGCGCAGGCATATCCTTTTCGCTCTACTTTTATTCAAGCGCGCGCGCGCGCATGTTTGGGCTTTCCGCGACGGCGCCACCGGCCTGCTAGCCTAGGTTGCTGCTGCATGAGGAGCCTAGCAGACTTTCAGACTTGGAGCTCGCAGAGAGAGCTAGGCGGGCAAGAGACTACGGTGGTCAAGAGTATGTTTGCAGGAACTTGGAATCCTCAGAGAAGAAGGGCCTCGATGTCTGCCGCCACATGTGGCCTAGGACTAGCTGGCTGCACTATGAAGTCAAGGCATAAGATCGACACGAAGTCATGTCATGGGTCACTGACACGAATTGCGCGCTAATCCCGGGTTGCAGTCAGCTGGCATGCGAATCATATAGCTATTATCGATGTGTTTCTGCATGATAGATGCTCACTGCTTATTGCTAAAAACGCCTGGCGATCCGTCCACCTACATTCATTAGGTTGAACGTGACATGCCAAATTAGACCGGGTGTGCCGTGCGGGAGCCGGGAAGCAGTCAACCTCAATTTCACAAACCTTGATCCATATATAATCAAGAAAATTTTAGGGAACATGCTTTTGATAGCTAAGTTCCAAAAAACAATCATATCCGAGCGATGTTAACGGTTACAGCATGCAAAGTTGAACAGACAGATTCTAAGTTCAACTATCAATTACGGCTTGGGTCTAGGTATTGGCCGACACTACGATATTAGTCAACCGTTATTTCTTACAATAGGCACGTCCGTCCATTGCTGGCATGCAACGGGCGGACCACGCATGGTTGCTAGCTGTTCTACTAAGCTGATTATGTTTTCAGATATGGCACAAGCTAAGATAAAGCAGCCTTCCTAAACAACGCGCTACCTAGTCGGGAAAATGAGATTATTGCCCTGTCATTGCTACCCAGTACATCTTAAGGTCACATCTAGCCCTACCTGTTAATTCCACTCTATACTTCCGCCGTTTCTGGGATCCGCCGTTTCTGGGATCGCTGGAGTATATATTGTTTTGACTATTTGAGCGTCTCCTCCTGTAAGAAAAGCATAAGCGCAAGGCTGGCCGCCCATATGTCGTCCGGTTCTACCGCCTCTTCTGGCGAATGGCTGATGCCGGCCTTGCACCGCACGAACAGAATGCCGACCTGCGACGGACAACCACAGACAGATTACAACCCCGCCCTCTTGGAAAAACGCTGCCCACGAATCTTCTTTTCGCCGCCAAGTCACCTCGCCACCAGATGACTTCGTCAGGAATCATCTATACCTCGCGAGACTTAATCAGGATTCATTTCTATTTCGCCAACCGATTCGTCGAATCCCAACAATAAGGAAGAAACAGAGAGATGCGGTTGGCATACCGACAGGGAAATGCAAACGGACTCTTTTAATAGACTTTCTGCGGCTTTTTCCTAGTCGGCGTACCTGCGTCAGCTTTGCCATGGCCATGGCGTCATGCCCCGCTCCGCTGACGACAATCGGCACGTCCCCGGGCCCCAAGCCCGAGATGCCGGTCGTCCCTCCGATGATATCGATCGCACGGCTGGCCGCGCTTTGCAGCTTGCTCACATAAGCCGGCGCGCACTGCGTCGCCATGGCGTCGTGCTGCAGAAGAGTGACGTCATCAGCTCAAGCAGCTTTTCGTTCTGTGCTACAGGCACAGTCTCGAGGCACACGCGAAGTAGCCGTTCATGATCGAACTAGAGTCTTCTCAAAAAGACTTGAAATATGTGCAATGCTTCCGACGCTCTAAAGACAGGTGTCAAAACGAGTAGCATCTCTGTTCTTTCCAATAGGGCACTCTTTGCACGGCAGAGGCATTCCTAATCCGCAGGTTAAACGCTATTTAAACGAAGCATTGTAATGTGGACAAGAGACAATTTTAAAGATGCTCAAGACAACTTTTGTCGCGAGCTGCAGCGCGACACTTTTTGGTACGTAGCGCGGTACGTACCTTGCGTTTGACCTCGCACTTCACGCCCCGTCGGATGCAGATGGTATAAATCGCCTCCGTGACGTCTTTGACGGCCGTCTCTCGAAGGTCGTCCATTGGCGCGCGGATGTCCACCGAAAAAATCACCTGGGAAAGCGAGAGCAAAAACGTCTTTGTAGAGCTTGAGCAAAAGAGATATGTTGTTGAGACTGAGTAATCTAAGAACAGGGCTACGACAAAAGGCGTTAGATCGAAACTCCTCTGGAATCATTCAGCTTACAGTCACGAAGGCAGGCTTGCAAGTGAGAAAGTTGCATTTGTGCAAAGTGCTGAATCCCTTCCGTTCTTCCGGCATCCGCATCGGTCGTCTAATACCCAAACGGCAAGCGGAAAAGTCTGTCTGAAATTCAGTGGCGGCCGCGATCTGCAGAACAGACATCCATGTAAGTGCACTAAAGATGTCTAAGTAAGCGACCTCAAACTTACCCGGCCCGGGATGACGTTCGAAGCCCCCGGCCACACCCTGACGTCACCCACGGTACCCACCAGGCCGGTACCTCCCTGCCAGACGGGTCGCCCGCTCGCCTCCTCAGGGCGGCCGTATCTGCAGACGTCAGCATCCGTTCAGTCTTCTCTAGCGGAACGGCCTGCGTACTTCGTTTCTAAAAGTCCCCAACAGCTTCAATCTCCACACTTTGTCGAGTCCTAGACTCAATTCAGGCCAGCATGGTACTTGTAACCCGCTTTTGAACCCTGCCAAAGACTCGAGACAACGTTCATAACCTGTTGGTTAACCTGCCACGCTGGTGTGATCTCTTCCCCAGCCGGTCCAGTAGAAGGGGGTCTATGGACTACCTATCTCACTGAATAGGACACAACGCGATAGACAGCAAACAAAGCACACAACAAGTCCACTCAGCTTTCCCCTCTGCATTTGTCTTACCTGTTACATTCACTTCTGCCACTGCCGACACAACGCAAGCACAAGACACTGGAACCGAGAAATGAAAAAGTCCCTTACCCTCCCCTTTCGCAGATTCTCTCGGTCGTCACGTTCACCTCTGCCGCGGCCGACATTACGCAAGCAGAGCACACTCGAACCAAGAGATGTAAAAGTGCCCTCACCTCCCCCCTCCGCAGACTTCTCGACGCTACATATACCTCTGTCGGAACCGACACTGTGCAAGTACAGGACACTGAATTTAAGGACTACAAAAGTCCCCTCACCTCCCCCCTCCGCATATCTTCTCGATCGTTACATACACCTCCGCTGCGGCCGCCATCGCATCCTTGCGCAGCGCCATAGGCACCGTCCCCGCGTGGCCCTGCAAGCCGCACTGCCACGTTTAAGCCAGACTTTCGAGCAATGTCTTAAAAAGCAACAGGCACAAAGGAACAGTTCAAGATGGAATAAGCGTGAAGAAGCGCGAAACTTCTACAGGTTCAATCTCACACCTGTGCTTCACTTTCGGGGGTTGAAACAAAAGCCTCTGGTTTCCGCAAACGCAGAGTGAGCTATGCCGAGAACAGGTCCGGCATTCCGCGTTTTTACCCTGCCCAAACTTAAAAAAGTGTCAACCCGAGTTCGTTAAAAACAAGAAAACCAAGATCCAAGCACTTGCCTGCGCCCCCTGCACTGTCACGGTCAGCCGCGTCTGCCCGCAAATGGTCGGAACGACACCCAAAGCGACGCCCTTCCGTTCCAAAACGGGCCCTTGCTCGATGTGGACCTCCACGTAGCCTGCACACATCAGCAGCGACGTCAGCCGAGTTCCTGAGGCGGACTGCTCGCCTTTTTTCAGCCAGTCGACTGACGTCAGAGGCTTTTCCGGTCAGCAGGCAATTCTGCATTCAATAAGCAAAAGCCGGTTGCCACGTGGCGGTGACGCGAGCAGTGACGTTATCGGAAGGTGACATCATGGTAAAGGCAGCAAAGGTTAAACAAGCGGTTGGAGAAGAGCGCCATCCGAATGGGCAGTCCGGCCCCGGACTTCCAAGATATTGTCGACAAGGCCACCAGAATCCTTCAAGGAATTGCCTGCTGGTTCGTAGACTTCGTAGAACGCAAGCTTAACCACCCAATGATGCATTATGTGCGGTGCCAAGGGTAGCGTATCGACATGTGTTTTTCGTCAGCAGCAAAGACCCTCTTCTTTGCCCAAACGAAGAACGAGAACGCACATGTTCGCCTGTTTGACAATCTGGTGCAGTCAAGTCGTTTGCCTACATAAACCTTTACGTTCCTGATTGCAACATTCTAGAATCCTGTGCCGGTGTCTCTCTCCTTTTGAAGCACACCTGCAACTTCTGAGGGCTTAAACGCCAGCTCCGCGATCTGTTCCGGCAACTTGCCGAGCCCCGTTGCCAATCCCGCTTCCAGCAGCGCCGCAGCGACAGTCGTTCCCGTATCGTCCGTCACGTCAAGAATCTTCGGATTGAAGCCTCCCGCGATAGCCCTGCAGCGCCAACAGTAGATTTTGTAGATTTCCCGTGTCGAAACCGACAAGGTTGCGAGCCCATAAGCCGTCCTCAAAACCAACGGGAGCGGATGCATGTCGCACTTCGGGTCTGATGATCATTGACCATCAATCCAAAGGCAGCAGCAGCCGGTGTTTTGCAGCCAGACAATCAAACGCAAAAGAAACCTTTCGTATCGGCCTAAGAAAGGTCCACGAGATCAGAGTTGACGGCGTAAAGCAAAATTCCAAAAGTATAACAATCGGGACACTGCAGGAGGACCGAAAGAACGACTTCAGACGACAGCTCGGCTCTAAATGCAACCCCAAAACGCCACCTTCTTCATCAGAAAGGTTCATCAAGATCGAAGACGAGAGCGAAGGAGGATCACAGCCAAGACAGTGAAGGGCGCAAAAAGACAAGGACAAAGAGGAAAATATACTTCTCGAGAGGATGGGGACCTGTGGAAAGCTGGTACTCAGAGTACACACCTCTTTCCCCAACACTGCAAAAAAGAGAGTATGGAAAGAAACGGCAGAAGACAAGGAGAAACCGTCAATAAACACGCAGCAACATGCGTGAGAATGTGGTCCCAAAGCGCACCCCCTCATTGTCACAGAAGGCCCCAAGAAAGAGAGAGACACGGAAGGAAAGACGCCTATAGCAGATGCGGAAAAGATGGTTAGAGGATGACGCGAAAAGATGCGTACCTGCTTCCCAGGAATGTAGACCCGAAGCGCACCCCCTCCTCGTCGCAGAATGCCACCAGCTCGATCGGTCGCTTGAGCAGTGACGCCGTATGGCCACCCTGGAGCAGACCTTTGACCGCAGCAATCGAGGTGATGACACCGAGAGTCCCGTCGTACTTGCCAGCGTCAATCACTGTGTCCTGCAAGAGTGGGATTACATATGACAAAAAAAAGTTTAAGGTATCCTTTCTGTCTCGAAACTTTGGTTTATAACTACCTCCTCTCCATCCTCAACATACCAGAAACGAGAATCCTTACCTGACTCCGACTTTGAGTCTTCACTGCCCCGCTTGCAAAGAAGCGGGTGTGTTCCCAGGGGCCGTTTTCTCTTTCCAAACATGCGCACGTCTCAAACCTAGCTGAGCAGAGCATACGACATTCTGTAAGGACTACTCACAAATGCGAAACAAGTAGGAGCACTGGCATCGTCAAGCGGGCAGCTTTCATGAAGGATTGTGGAAGTATGTCCCATCTCCATTTCCATTCTGCGCACAGCGCATCAAGTAGCCTCTGACGTAGCTGAGCAATCAACAATCTCTAAGGACAATGCACTAAATGCAACTCAAGCAGGAGCACAGGCGCCGTCCAGTTGGGCATCTTCATGATAGACTTGCCGAGTAAGAAATCTGTTTTGAGGACCCATCTTCGCTTCTTTCAACATGTGCACACAGCATCCGGTGGCCTCAAACATCCCAAAAAAGCCCACGACGATTTGTCGAATCGACTCACATAGCGCAAACCAAGCAGGAAAATTGGCGCTGTCGAGCAGGCACAAAGTTAATGGTAAAATGAGTCTGTTTCCCAGGTCCCTTCTTCGTTGATCGAAGACACGCACAGCCTCAAAGTTGCCTCAAACGTGGCTGAGGAAAAGCTCACAACAACCTAACGAATCACCCTTGGTCGTACGGAATACTCACAAAGTGCGAACCAAGCAGGAGTGCGGGTGCCGTCGAGTTGGGCGCATCGACCCTGCCATGGACATTCCCCATGATGTCCACCCACGTGCGCATTCCGGCGTCAGTCATCCACTCTTGCAGGAGAGCCATCGCCTCTTGCATTGCAGGGCTCAGAAACGTGCGCTGGAGCTTGTCTGGAGCATCGCTGACCTGCATAGCAGATGTGGAGGGCATAAGCTATGGCCGCGGGTGGAAAGAGAGGGGCGTCGCTAAAGAGCAGCATGATGGGGCGTGGAACATATGCTGCAGCTTGTTAGTCATACCACGAACTTGCATATCAAATAGAAAGGCCCATGACGGGAGGCATGAGCAGTTTAGTTTAAAAGGCATGGTTTTCAGAGAAGTGCAACGACCGTTAGTAAACATGGCTGAGAGTTCCCCCTTCGCAAGGTCCCTGAAGTAGAACCTTGTTGGTTAGGAGCACGTTGAAGACTTTGCTCTTCTGTATCACTGGAGGGCATAAGAAGCGAAGCTGGATCCGTGGTAAGTGTCAGATTTCAGAGTTGGACAACAGAGCATTAGTGAGAAGTGGCTGAGAGTTCCGCCTTGGCTAAATCCCCGAGTGGAACATTGTTGATTAGGAATACATCAAAATCTCTCTGTTCTGTATCTCTTCTTGGTGACAAGGGACGCTTCCTCTCTGGGACAGCCACATTCCAGAGCACCACCATGTGCAATCTTCTCCCATGAAGCCAACAACGTTGTCTTTAATGTCCAACAGACTGACTCTTAGAACAGGAAACTAGCTAAATTGCTTTAAAACGAGAGGAGCGACGCAATGAGAAATGCTTAAACTGTTCCTTCAGCACTCTGACTGAGAGTAGGCGCTGGGACACACTGATGAGGCTTTTCAAAAGGACAACTCATGAGCTGGCGCCACTGTGTCTCGTGGCGACCTGACCTGGAAGCAGCTAAGAGAACCAGATTCTCAATCCTCTCTAGGAAACACATTACTCTCTCCTCAAAGTCTTGCTGATTGCCAGCCTGACTCTCAGAAGTACAGCCAGGGCTCAGATCTGAAAGTGAGGAAAGCAGAACCAGAACCAGAACCAGACAGCTGCACGGCAGCTAAGGGACAATTTTGGTCCAGTCAGTGCTCACCTTTCCCAAGATCTCAAGCCTGTTCCACACTTCGTCCCTCAATGTCTCCTTCTCAACATCATCTGACAGGATCCCCCCCCAGTTCCCCTCCGCCGCTGCGAGGAGACTCGGATATGCATCTCCGAAAGTGCCTGCCTCCACATCTTGAAGCTTCTCACTACTTGCAATCAATGCAGACGTGCTAGCCAGCCAAAGCCAGAGCAAAAGAGGCGGGAAGTATGCTGCTTTCATTTGCGGGGCAGCAGCAAGATCCTCCTCTCAGAAAACCACTCACAAGGTCCAACAGAATGAGGGCTATCTTGCTTGCAGCAGATTGTGCATAAGCCGCCAGAAGAACCCCCTTTCAAACGTGCTCAGCTGCGCACGCTACCCCAGCATCCGCCTCGTCGACCGATATGTACCTATGCCTGAGAGCACAAATCTTCAGCTTGCAGGATGAAGGAAAATGAGGGCTGTACGAAGCCTGTCCAGTCAAATGACTTGGGAAGTTGGGTCCAACCAATGCCTTCGAAGCTTCTCAGCTAAGAATCAGCAAGATCTTAGATCTCCTGCAGGCTGCAGACCGCGTTTCCGCCCCAACAGTTTGGCACTGGCAGCCGCGTCTTGAACAGCTGGCAGTTTGGCCGCTCTAGTTCCAAATTGTTGGTGAGAAGAATTTTGAAATGCGGCGCTTGGTGCCTGTCTCGATCATTAATAACCTGCGGCCGATTCTCTTGTAGAACCCCTCAAGAAGCGGTAATGCTCCTCCTTCAATGAGTCGGTAATGGCAGTCAGAGGGCGCAAACGCCAGCCAGAATGTTGGCGCGAGCAGAATTGTAAGCGGGCAGAATCATCATATCCAGACCGCCCACAAGGTCAAAACGACTTGACTACGTCCCAAAACGCTCTCTACAAGTTTCCGCCATCATTGGGTGTCATTCGCCCGGTCCATAATTGAACGCGCAAAATTTCCATTTTAGCCGGGAAAGTCAGACATAGGTTCACTTCGTCCTTGACACTGAGGGCTCCACCGGGTGCGTTGACACGGAAATGGGTGGAAATGGTAGCCAACAGGCCATATAAGACGTCTGCAAATTTTGGTGGACGCGCCAGCGGTGGAGCCCATACGGTCTGCTCGCTACTGGACGCTACATACTTTGGCTGGGCGTCTGCGCCCTCTGATGGCAGTGAATGAGTCGGCGGAACTTGCAGGGTTTCCCACAGCTGGCAGCATGGGGCGGACCTGGCTGGCCGGGAAAGAACCCCGGCTGGTGCCGAATGCACCCCGCCGGCTGTGCAGCTGGCAAAAATAGCAAGCACATAGTGGGCTCAGCTGGCCGGTAGCCCCAAACACCGACTTCTCAGCTGGTAGAACCGGGAGGGTGCCGGCAGCTGGCTGGCCGGGACGAAAACCCGTGGGAAACCCCTGGGCGGAAGGTGAGAACAGAGCGAGGCCCAGGCCCAGGGCCACAGCGGCTCTGATCAGCATTTGTGACCAATCTGGGGCAACAAGCTCGGTCAAAGAAGGTGCGCATTAGCGACAAGGTGTGAAGAAGAAAGATGGATGCGCTCATAAAGAAGCTTGATACATTGTGCGTGGAAGTAATGCCTTGCAAAAGTCGCTCTTGGCTGTTCGATCCTCGTAGTTTCAGCGCTTAGAAACGGAATAAGGTTATCCGGCCGGACGCAATATTTGCACCTGGGATCCTCCACAACGTCTGGGGTGGTTTTGTGTGTAAGGTTTGTGGCAGCTACACTCCGTTGGAATTGTTATACTTAGCTCAAGTTATAGCAAGAATAAGAACGAAGCTAAGAACAATAAGATAACATTGACTTGCGCCTTACCGCAAGGATCTGCAATGCTCTGTTTCGCATTGCTCCATGGCAGCCGTTTGACGAGGTCAGCAACAAAGTAACAAGGATAGCGGCAGTCTGAGAAGCTTAGCGACAGTCTAGATGACGTCAGCAGCGCTCTCCCCCTCCGCCCCTCCCACTCCCACCCAGCCTACCGGCCCCCACCCGAGTGGAGCCACCGCCGTTGGACGCATCCGCTTGTTTGTGGGGGGCCTCCCTGCTGACGTCACACCCGAGGAACTGCAGGCGCGGTTTCAGCCATTCGGGAAAGTGGTTGGGTCGGAGATTGTGCCCCAGAAGGAGGATGCGGGGACCTGCCGCGGGTTTGGTTACGTTGACCTGGAGCCGGTCAGCGAGGCCAGCCTGAGCAAGTGCTTTGCAGTGGTGAGTGGTGCGGGTTTCGATTCTGGTTGAGGAGATGAGTGGAGAGGTTCGGAGTTGTTTCTGCATTCGCTTCTCCCGGTGGCTGTCGTGCTGGTGAATGTTTTGTAGAATACGAGTTGATATACGTGATGGCATCGCAGTGGGACCCGATGAACGATGGAAGCAGTAGGGACTGTGATGCACAAGTGATACTGGTCCTGCTTGACAATAAATAATGCCAAATCACTGTTTTCTGGATAAGTCGCTGCGCTGCAAAGACCAGAAGGTGTACCAACCTGAAGTAGTACTATTCTGTCTCTGTTGGACTGATCGTTCACGCCATCAAGGAGAGTTCCCGAGCTTTACAACTGGGCTCATGATATCAAGCGTAACACTGACGTCATGATTCTAAAACGAGGTTTTTTCTGTCCAGTACAATGGCACCAAGTGGCGCGGCGGTAGGCTCCGTGTGGAAAAGGCCCGCGCCTCGTTCCTCGATCGCCTGAAGGCCGAGTGGGCCTCCCAAAACGAACCGCAGAGCGAAGCTGATAAGCTGGGGTCAGAGATTGATAAGGGGGGGGCAGAGATTGACAAGCAGGGGGCGGAGCCAACAAAAGCGGAGCTGTTGGATCCTAAGGGGAAGCCCATATTTGAGCCGTTGAGGCTCAAGTGGGGATCCTGGGAGTTCGAAAAGAGGGTATGGCTGCGAACACAATCTTTGCTTCTTTTCAGGATCCGACTTCTTACACGAGCTTTGCTGTCTATGCAAGCTGTTTTCAGACCAAACAGCTGTCAAAAACTTGTGCATGAGGTTTCGATTGGGTTTGCCAGCAGTCAACCCTCTCATGCCTCTAGAGTTGAGGTACGAATGGGGTTCAGAATGCCCAACATTTCCAGCTCCACTCCGAAGTAGCAACGCCGAAGATCCATGTCGTTTCCAGGTCCTTGTCTTTCCCACGGTTCGAACTTGTGCTCCTGCTTTCTGTTTCGTTATTGTGATCCGCTTTTTCATTCCACAGACGAAGGTGATGCCCGCGGCCGGGGGCGCCAAGATCAAGAAAAGCTTCCGGAACGTGCCTGAGAAGTCGCTGTGGGAACTGGAGGGCATGGGAGGGACAGGGGCCCTGTCTGCAGCAATGCCGCCTGCAACTAAGGCCGTCACCTCGACAAGAGCCATCGAAACGAGGCCTCTCGGTGGAAATGGGGTTAGCCAAACCGGAGAGCGGTCAGAGGATGGGAAAGAGAAAGCACACCAGCCCTCGGCAGAGGACGAGTCTCCAGATGCAGAAGAGAGGAGCGAAGATTCGGAGGGGCGCAGTGAAGATGAGGGGACGGAAGGCTCGGGGCGTGAGGCGGAGGGGGCAGAACCTGGCGACGGGGTTAAGGGCAGGGTTAGGGAGCTAACCGCGTGGGAGAAGCTGATGCAGAAGGCGGCGGCGGGCCAGGAGGACGACGACTTCATTGACGAGGAGGTGGGAGGCTTAGAGGGTTTTGAGGCCCTGGGAAAAACGCCAGGGAATCCAGGAACGGCTAGAGGGACCAAGGACGCAGGCGGCTTAGAGGGTTTTGGGCCCCAGGGTAAGTCGCCTGGGCAGCCGGGAACGGCTAGCGGGACTAAGGAGGCAGGCGGCTTAAATGATTTTGGGGCACGGGGAAAGGCGCCTGGGGACTCGGTAACGGTTAGAGGGACTGATGGGCGGAAGGAAAGCCGGCTTGTTGGGGGGAAGTTGGAAAAAGTGGAACTGCGTGGAGGCAAAAAGGATGGTTTCAAGCAGGGGGCCAACGGGTCGGCTCCAGCAGAATCGCAAGCTGCGAAAAAGACCGAAGTGGCGGCGTTGAGTGATTGGGAGCGGCTGATGCAGAAGGCAGCGGGGGCTTTGGACGAAGAGGAGAGTTTGGACGGTCCGGAAACGGGCGAGTTTGAGCAAGCGTCCGGAGAAGGCGAGTCGGACGCAAACGAAGGGTCGGAGGGGTTCGATTTGTACGAGAGTAAGCAGGGGCAGGAGGTTGCGAAAGGAGAGGCGGCCGGCGGGGGTGTGAATGGGGCTCGGAAAGCAGGGGTAAACGAAGAAAGTACAAGGGCTGAGGAACTAGGAGCGGGGGTTCTGGGTGAAGGTCTGAATGATGTCGCAGCAGCAGGTGACGACGAACTAGAGGGTGGCCCGCTGGAGGAACGCTCGGAGTGGAGGGAATGGGGGGAGGAGGTGGATTCGGAAGGTGACGTCATGGAAGAAGCTGAGGACGTCATTGACGGTGCTGACGGGGTTGAGGGTGAGTCAGAGGACGATTTCGGCGGCGAAGAGGTGGGGGATGGAGCAGAGGAGACTGGCGGGGAAGATTCGGGAGGGGCGATTGATGGTGAGGGTTTGGAAGATGGTAACGAGAGTGACGGGGATTCGTTTGGAAGCGAAGAAGAGCTGTCGGGGTCCTTTACGGACGTGGAAAAGGAGGTATCGGAAGGGGAAGGGCGGGAGTGGCAAGGAGAGGTTTCGGAAGAAGAGGGACGGAATTCCGGCGACGGAGCAGGGGAGTCCGACGGACGGGATTCCGGTGGGGCAGATGCGGCATTCGACGATGAGGGAAGGGCTTTGGACTCGGAGGAAGATGGCCGGATGAGTAAAGAAGAGTCGGATGACGACGGGAAGGAATTTGACAAGGCGAGAGGGGGTTTGGACGACGATACTGGTCGAGAGAAACTTCTTCTGAAAAGCGCTCTTAAGTTGCAACGGCCCGTAAGAGTTTCGGACGACGCCGATGCGGACTTCGAAACAGCGCCGGCGGAGGATCTGGAGGAGGAAGCGGCCACGGCTGGGGTTCCGCCGGAATCTGCTGGAGCGGACGGAACGGCGGCGGAACGGACGGCGGACGAAGAGGAGATTGCGCGGCAGCTGGCGGAGGAGCGGCGGAAGCAGCTGGGCATCTTGGGCGCCATGTTTCCGGACGACGCGCGCTTCTTCAGGTGCGTATAAAGCTAATTGTTGACACACTTGACATAGCGCTTCTTTGCTGTTTCCGGTCTTCCTCGGTGTTTTCATGCTTCAGATGCGTCTTCATGGATGTGGCCGAAAGTTTTGGTCGTCTTGCAGCATGCTTACATCAAGTGCATACACGTTGTCTTTGAAGCCGGGCTTCTTTGCGTTGCTTTACAGAACAGTTCCCGCTTCTTTAAAGTGTTCCCTTTTATTTCCTCGAGTGTTTGTGCGTGTATCGTTTCACTGGGCGTCAAGTTTTTGAATGACGAGTACATACACACGTGCCTCTCAAAGAACGCTCTTCGACGCCTTGACTTGCTGCTGAAAAAGCATTGCTGTTCCATGCCCAGAGTTATTTCAACGACCGTTTTCAAACCGCAGGTGGATATGGCAGAGCGGAGTCTGGAAAATTTGATATCAAGTTCGCAGTCGCTTACATCCGATAGCATCTTTCACTTCTACGGAAGCTTCTGAACGAGTTTCTGGACCATATTCTGACACTTGCTTTCACGGTCTTTGCTCGTATGTCGTTCTCAGGGGTTGGGGTCATCAAAAACAGGGGCAGATTGCCAACCTGTCAATCAATGCTGGGGAACTTTGCCTCCTGTCACGAGCCGCTCTTATACCATACCTGCATTTGCAGCGAGGAGGCAGTTCAGAAGGCCAAGCGGCCGTCGGGCTTCGTTCCGATTGCGCGCTTCGACCCGTCCGCGGCTGCGAAGCGAAGCCCGGAAAACAACGAGGATGCGAGCGGAGCAAACGAGGGTCGCACTGAAGCGGCGCCAATGGAAAGCGAGGAACGGGTTAGGAACGGGTTGACAGGAAGCGGAAGAAAGACCGTAACTAGAGCGACGACGGCTGCAAGTAACCCGGAGGAGATTGGAAAGGAGGCGCGAGAAACGGGGAAAGAGAAGTCGGAGAAAAAGCGGGCCGTGCTTAAGGAGGAAAAGAGACCTCGGAGGGGCGTTTCGGAGGGTGAAGCTGCTGTTACGGAACAGAAAGGGGGGGCAGCGAAAGAGGTGGGAAACCGGAAAAGTGGGCTAGTACAGGAAGGGGGACTAAGAGCCCACAGTGGCGCTGCAAAGGGGAGCGGTAATGGTGCTCGCAGCGGGCTGCAAATGGTTGGCGAGGTCCTGAGTCGGTTAAGTCCGCAGGTTCTGAAGTACCTGGACTCGGACCTGCTGCAACGGCTGACGCCAGGGTCGAAAGGAACGGAAACGGAAAAGAAAAGGAGAAGGGGGGAAGGAGAGAAAGAAGGAAAGAGGAAGAGAGGAGAGGCGGAAGAAGGGGGTAAAAGGGAGGGCGGAGAAGCAAAGCGGAAAGAAAGAGGAGGGATGAGGAGCGCCGGAGAAGCGGAGGAGCGGCTGGAAGCGAGTGGGAAGAAAGAGAAGCGCGGGCAGCGTCCGGAACCTAGAGAGGGGGGGTTGGAGGTGGGGCTCTCGGGCGCGACAACCGGGAAAGGAGTGCCCCGTGAGGAGTCGAGACGGGGTCCTAGCAAAAGGAAGGACCGAGAAGCGGCAGAGGAGGTTTACGAAGACGGCCACATAAGAAACGAGCAGAAACCGGGGGGAGATGTTAGAGTTGGGTTAAAAGCTACCGGGCAGAACGTGACAGGCCGTTCGGATGAAGCGGCAACAGGGGGCAGTCCGGAAGAAACGGCTGCGGGTTTGTCTGTAGAAGAACGGAAGCGCCTGAAACGGGAGAAACGCGCTCAACGGCGGGGGAGTGACGTAGCGGGTGTGGCGGACGCCAGTACGGACCGTTTGGACGCGGGTACGGACCGCTCGGACGGACCTGCAGCAGTGCCGGTTAAGCAAGAGGTTTTTGTTAACCCGAACTGGCGGGCGCTGGTTGGGTACGTGGGCGGCGGCAAACCCACGTTCTCTTTGGCGTCGGTTCTCGGGGGCGCTTCGGACGCCGGCGATCCTGGACCGTCCGATGGCCCCAAATCGTCCGGTGATGGTCGCAGCGGTGCCTTGAACATGGCTTCCGGTGTGAACACGTCCGCTGTCGTTCAAAATGTCGGATCGAATGCGGAATTCGGTGCAGATGCGGCCCCCGGGCGGTCCCCGCTTCCCGACGCTTCGAACGCCAGCGGTGTGGGCGCCGGCAATCCGCCTGCCGGGGCGGCACGTCACGATGACGTTAGCACTGGGCCAGACCCTGCAGCCCCGCGCTCAGTTGCAGTAAGCGGGCCTGGGGACGAGGATCTAGGGCTGAGCTTCGTTCGTTCGGCGACGGCGGAACAGGAATGGCTGGCGAGCAAGTCGGCGCTTGCGATCGACTACAAGAGGAAGAAGCGGATTGCTGCGAGAGTAGCCCCGGGAGGGGGCAAGAAGAGGGGCTGATAAGACGAAGGCTGTGTGCCAAGAGGCCAATCTGCGTGCCTTGTTCTCCTCCGGGGTAAGATAAGGTCGAGCCGACCAAGCAGAAAAGACTGAGTCGTGCAGTGTGCATCGATTTAAAAAGTGCCGCAGATGTAAAAGGCTTTGCTTTAAACAAACGAACCCGTGTATGTCAAAGGCGGAGTGCAAATGGCGTTGTAAAGGCGTGAACCAGCGTCCTAATTCCTTTACATACTATCATGAAAGCGTTTTTGACCGATGTTCAGTGGTTCAAGTTTGATGCATGCTGCAGAAACATTCATGCAATATGGGGCATGCAAGGATGGCGCCGCTGCCCAGCAATGGTCGCGAGGACTGTGCACGTACAGACTTGGATGACTAGCTAATGCCGGCCAGGGCTTCATGTGGCCCTTCGATTCTTTTACTATGACCTCATAGTGTGCACTTTGATATTTAAGGTCGAGGGCAAACATGTGGTGACCTTACATAGAGGACCTTGGGAACCAGGAGGAGTCAGACTATATAGCCTGCAGGGCCGGATGGCTGCCTGATATCTCCAAGCACCGTCATGCAGGCTTTGCTAGTATCAGGATATCGCATTGCGTCAACAGGCCGGTTTGATTGTCGTCGATCTACAATTGAATACAACTTTCAAGCCACCGCCATCGTTCACCCTCTGTTGGCAAGTCACTATATGATCGCGCGGCACACATGCACGTGTTGATCGACTGGCGCCGCGCGCTGCCATGGCGCTAGCCATTGCTTGATAGCATTCAGCGAACTCGCAACCAATCACTAGCTCAGCTGCCGTTTCCAGTACTCTCTCATCTAACTACGTAACGACGCGGATGAGGCGATTTCGCCTCGATCATATACCCTCGAGCAATCCGCTGACAAGCACAGAAACCCGCAACATTGTGCAATTGACATTCAAGTCGAACAGGCGGATTTGAGAGGCCGCAGCCTGGCATGGACCTGTGCGCGCAGGGGCTGCAACCTCGTGATGCTTGCTTGCGATGGCAGCTACACAGGTTAAGTATACGCCTGTGTCTCGATATAGACCGTATATCGCTTTGAAATTTCATTCACCGATTGGCATTGCTAGTCAAGTATTTTGAGATATCGAGCATCTACTCTGAATTGACGAGCAACTCTTCTGGGAGCAACTTTTCAAGCAGGCTGCCGTTGACAGAGCTGTACTCGGTTGTCCAATTTTCGATAAGGGATGCATGAGCACGAATAAGGCCCAACGTCGTGTTCCTGGTCTCAGAAACCCTTTAGGGAACACATAAAAGAAACACAATTTAGCAGAAGTCCACAATAGCCTGGTTAGCTAAACACCGCTCCGTCTGAGTTGTTTGTTCTGGCAACTTTTTTCTCTCGGTCAGAGCCTGCAGCCTAAGTATACATTCTCGCTCTCACTTGCCGACAGACCGGGAACATCCACACCTCCTTGAAGCGAAGCTGAGCGTGCTTCCCGGCAAGAAGGTGGTGAATCAATATATTCTTTGCAGATTTCATTTGTGCCAGCAGTTTCTCGGAGGGAAATACGCATATTCCACAACCGTGTCCATCTCCAAGATGTTGTCCTGGAATTGGTCGAGCACCCACGGGAAGCAGCCGCGGTCTGCGCGCGCACAGACCGCGCATGGACGCTTTTCCTCCACCAAATCTGGTAGAAATCCCCCATTGATCAATTCGACAAGCCCCTGATGTTTCTTGCCAATCGTCTGAAAGTTCACCTCAATCCCGCAAGCCTCGAACGAAAGCTCGGTCTTAGTACTCTCTGGAAGAGACATACTCGCAGCCAAGTCTGCTGAGGAAACGGACTTGGAACGGTTGCTGAGCCAGTGAGTCCAGGAGCAGGGCCTTCCTTCTCTGTCTTTGAAGTGGATGGAAAAGCCTCCGCGATGCTTGCGCCCCCGCGTGCGAACAACCAAGAAGACATCCGAAGTTTGAAGGCGGACAATAGTATGGAGGTGCTCGTAACCCGCATAGAAGGCGTCCTCCTTTGCGTCAGCTTGAGGATCCCTGGGGTGGTGGCACGAACGGAAGCTACCGCTAAAGGTGAGCGTCAGGCAGTAATCCAGCCAGCTCTTGCAGACGCGCTTACATTTTGCCAGGGTTCTGTTGTCTAGTCTGAAAGCTCTCTGTAGGATGTTCTCTTGCAGCTCCTTTGGGATGTCGCTGAATTGAGTCACAGCCACATCAGCTTTGACAGCGGCATCTCTAGAACGATATCCGGATAGGGAGAGCTGACCCAACTCCAACTTCAGCGCCATGCTTCGAACAAAAACATCCGCATCAAATACTTTCGACTCCTTCGCGACTTAATACCAAGGAGGAGAGCATCGAAAGACCTGCTCCTTGGGCTTAGACAAACCCGCAGTCAAATTACAGCTGCAGCAACGACGCTGGGGCCAAGCTAACCAGAAGAAAGCCTTCTAAGGTCCCCGATTCGGCTGGAAAGCCAGAAGTTCCTTCCTGGCTCCACACGTGTTGCTGTAAGGACTGAGCGCTTCCACTTCTCCACCCATACCCATCTACGGCACTCTAGTGCAAGTTACTCCTCTGTGGCCGCTTATCTCATGCATGTAAGCAAAGGTTTGCGCAAGCAGCCTCATAACGCCTGCGCCTCACGGTCGACCTCTCTCATTTTGCATGTCAGCAGATCAGCCTACTTGAGGAATCGCATTGTTGGCAGAGACTGCGTCGGCTTCCCGCCGCTCGAAATCGGGTCAACGAAAACCCTCCTACGTAGGGTATTCGGGCACCGCTGCGCTTCTTCGTCCGGTTGACCCTGATCCGATCCAGTAAGTTGTCCGAAACCCTGTCGCCCGCCGGCCCAGCCGCGCGCGTGATCAAGCCGCGCCGCCGGATGCAACGCACTCAGGACTCACCACGGCGCGGTTTCCAAGCTCGGAAAACTGCTTGTCTCAACCTCCGTTTGACAGCACGCTCGAACGCCGGTTTTATTTGGACTCAACACCTTGTTTGCGGGTCACTAGCGCTTCCACCTGAACCCATCTCCGGCGCCTTTCCTGTGTCGATCAACGAAGGGAAAAGTGATCAGCTGCCGGCCTCAGGTCGGCTCTCTCTCACGATGAGCTTCATGGTTTGCCATCCTTTGCTCCTCGTACTTTGATGAGCCGCATGAGTCTGAGCGACAACGATCCTCCGACAATGGCTGCGCACGGGAGATATATTTGACGTGATCGCTGCCCTTATTGGTTGAACGCGAAGCAGACGGAACCCGGAGCCCCTTTCGAAATCTGCTCGTATGGCCCCCGCTGCTTACGCTGAATCCCCTCATCCTAGCCCAGGGCGAACTATTTTAGTCCGTATCATACGTTCAGCACATGCGACCCCGTTCAAGCTAGAATACGTCGCTTGAAGGGTGCCGAGTCATGTTGACGTCAGCTTCGAGTAGGGTCGCAAAGCGAGGGCCGGCAGCCCACCGGGGTGGGTTGGGTAGTCCTTGCGTGCGCCGCGCATGTGCACAAGTAATGGCCAGGGCCAACTGGACAGGTGGGCGGCCGAAGAGAATGGGCCACTGCGGATGTTTAAAGATTATCTGTTCATATTGCAGGCGTTTGATCGGTGTAATACAATACGTCTAAGCACTTGGGATCCGACCAGAACCGGAGGAACCAACGAGAACTGAAGCATACGTGTATGCCCAAAATAACATGGTCGATCGAATGCCCGGACTATTAGTACTAACTTGACGGTCCTATCAGTTAGCAGCTGCAGTGCACTGCGTAATAACCTGTACTAGCTTTATCGGTCTCATTATTCCTGACAATCAGAAGAGCCAAAAACCTACTTAGAAGTGAGTGCCACTTCTGAAGTGTGCGCTTAAACCGTTGCTTCGATCATTTATACGTCGATTGCAAGAACGCACAATGCATCGATCTTGGAAATAATCATGTTCTCCTCATTCCTCAGGAATCGAACATCTATTTGGATCATTGTCAAGCACCCAGAACGTCGAAACGATGCGAAGAAAATCTAGTTGGCTCAGTTTAACCAACATTTTAGCTTCAAATCATAAAAATGATATACCGGGCGAGAGTAAAACCTGCTCTCTATGATCGAATCCATCCGCAGATCGTTTTCTTCGAACTGGTCAAGAACCCATACGTGGCTACCGTGCTCTGTGCAAACGGGGCATGGGCCGTCGTCCTCCCACCAGTCTTTCGAATGTTCACCAATGATCAGGATCACATCTCCTTGGTGTTTCCTTCCAGTTGTCTGAAACTTCACCTCGATGCCGCGAGCCTCCAGTAGAAGCTCGCTTTTGGGAGTGGATCCGAGAGTCTTCTCCACAACCAAACCTTCTAAAGACGGCATACTTTGTCGATTGCTCAGGCACCGAAACCAGGAGCAAGGCCTTCCTTCTCCGTCCGTGAAGTGAATGGAAAAGCCTCCCCGATGCTTGCGTCCTTTCGTCCGGATAACCAAGAAAGCGTCAGAAGCTTCAAGTCGGATGATTGCGTGCATATGCTCGTGCCCCGCATGAAACATGCCTTCCTTGATTTCCTCCTCTGCGGTTCTAACGGAATCCCTTGGGTGATGGCAGGACTGGAAGCTCGCGCTAAAGGAGAGCGTCAGGCAGTAATCTAACCAGCTCTTACAGACGCATTTGCATTTTGCCATGGTTCTGTTGTCAGCTCTAAAGGCTCTCTGCAGGATGTTCTCTTTGAGCTCCTCTGGGATGTCATTGAACTGGGTTATTAATACAGCCACAGCTCCTTTGACAGACGCAGTCTTTATGCAATCCTCGGACAAGGACAGCTGGCCCAACTCCGGCAGCTCCGTTCTTTGAACAAAAAGATCATGAGCTTCCATTCCTGAGCGCTTTCTGACTGAAGTGCCAGCAAAATGGTCTGACAGTGAAAGATACGCTCGTCTGATCCGAAAAACCTCAAAGAAGCTGGGTATCGCCACCGTGACGACCTTGAGTCCAAGCTAGCGAGAAGAGTATCCTATCACCTTGTCCAACTTCTCTTAGGCACTGCATGGATGATTGGAACGCAAACTATTGTCTGGCGTCCCAACCCCTGTGTCTGACGTCAGTCGCAAGCGCTGCTCCTGTACCGGCCCATCCCCCAGCGCTTTGTTCAACAATCAGTTGCGCAGGGTCTGATCAGCATCATCCGGTCAGCGCAGGAAAGGCTTTTCTGGATGATGATACACGCAAGGGTTTTTGCAGAGTGCGCAAAAACGATGTGAGGTGCTTACCGCTCCTGCCGCTTTCGCTTCGACCCGCGTCCAAAACCCTGCCGCCCCGCGGCCGCCTCCCACCCGGGCCGTGACCGTCCTGCTCGCGCGAGGGGCGGCGCGGCAGCTTCTGCGCCCATGCAAGTCCAGATTAAAGCCAGCGGGCCATACTTAGTATGATACTACAGTTGTGAATTCAATCTGTTGAGCACACCCCTGGCACCGTACTCGTTCGAGAGTACCTACGATGAAGAGTGCAGCGTCATTTTGACGTCAGCAGCAGTGCAGGGGGCCGGCTGCCGACCAGACAGAGTACCACGGTGGGTGATTCTTCGGGTGCGCCGCGCATGTGAACGACTTGTGGGCCGTTGGAACGGGCCAGCAGGGTTGGCGGGTGAGTATGGGGCTGCGGGCCGCTGTCCGCTGACTCGACCGTACGTTCGTTGAATTGACTTGACACGTGAACTCAGATGGCACACTGACGACGTTGTGCGATATCAAGCGCATAATTTGCAATCGGTGATGGATTGGGCCACATGTCTGCGTGCACATCTGTTAGGCGCCGCGGCTGCAAGTTTTGAAAAGAACTTGGAAGCCAGTTCAATCAACGCGCATGAGCTGACTCGATGCATTACGACTCCACCGGCTACGACTACAAAGTTTGGGGCCTGATGGACTTGCAGCTGGCGTGTGTCAAAACTTATGCATGATATCATGCTGAGTTTAGTAATTTGCCCACATCGTCTTTTTTCTGGTGCATGCATCATGTTTGACTTGATGCTTCTTGTGAGGACGGTACGTGCCTGTATCGAGCATGCAACATCATGCCAAAGTGCATCACATGCCAGTCCTCCATCGACATGGAGAATTTTGATTGTCAGCTATAGAGATCAAGCGCGAGCCGTCGGATCGAAGGAACTGGTTATTGGCCGGCCCCCGGGGCTTTTGAAAGGACTTCCTCATCCAATATAATTGACGCAGCCGAGAAACTTACTATACAGGATCTATGCAGATTATGAAGTCTTGTCGACAGCACCCGACTTGGAGGTTCCCGGCTTGAGTAACTTTGCAGGTTTGACGCAGCCGAGAAACTTACTATACAGGATCTATGCAGATTATGAAGTCTTGTCGACAGCACCCGACTTGGAGGTTCCCGGCTTGAGTAACTTTGCAGGTTTAAACGAAGTTACTCGTTTGTAATACCGGGCAAAAACTCGCAGCCTGCAATACTTATCTATTATAAATGCCCTTGATTCTTCGCAATGCTGCGCAAGTGTTTTCTTTCTATACACCATCGTACACGACAATAACGGGTGGCCTGTCTTGGGGGGACTAGCAAAAGATCCTCGGGACCTGTTTGACTACCAACCGGACTCAACCCCTTGACAACATAATCTAAACGACGGGTTGTGAACCCATCACCATCTAGAACCTGATTAGCGCACTTGCGTCATTACTCCCCCCGTGTCAGCCATTGAATTTGCAGATGTCTCACGTGGCCCCCGAGCCCCCTCATGACGTCAGCGTCTGACGCGCGAGCTCCACGTCCCCCGCAGGGGCCCGCGCCTCCCCCAAACTCGTTTCCATATGCTCCGCTAATCCACCCCGGTTACCGTCCAACTTTTCCGCTGCGATCGCCTCGCCCGTCTCTGCTGCGGAATCCGATGACCCCGGGTTACGCGTGTAACCATCGGCCTCGACCACGGGTTTGCCGGTGGCTTCGGTCATAACCTTGGGTTCGGCGGTCAGCCAGTCCAGCACGATCTTGTTGTACTCCTTTGGCATCTCGACGCTCGGCTGATGGCCGCCTTTCTTGATGACCACGAGTTCCGCGCTCGGGCCCAGAAACCTGTGCCAAGAACGGAACATGGTAAGGAGAATCATCCAAGTCCATTTTTGTAGCCACCAAAGTTGGCAAAGCTTCATCATTAAAATCGGAGATTGGCAGCATCAAGCAGCTTAAGAACGTGAAGGACGCGAATCCGAAAGGACTTGAAAAGGTGGCAAAATGTGTAGACCGCACTCCGGATTGAAAACCCTGAGAAGATCACTACTCGTGAGAATGGCACAGAGAGCGGCTAACAAGTCAATGCACGCTGCCGTTAGCGACAAAACCACCTTGTCGAATTTGGCTTCCCCACTCATTTGTTGGAACTAGATGCTAGCACCCCTGGTTCAGTTCAGTGGTAATCAGCGCTGTGGAGGAAAGCATCCAAAAAACCCATTCCCCACTAAAAGGTATTTCTAAAGCTATCAAATACTTGCGGTTTGATGCGAGGGACAGCATTCAGTGTCTCTATGACACGCAATTCGCATTAAAGAGCTGCTCCTAAACGTCAGCTCGTCAAACCAACGGTGTTTTGGCCGAGCGACGGCTGAAAGTGGAAATGACACTTGCTAAATTAGCTTGTCTTGTGGAGACGGAATCTCAAGGGGGAGGGTCTTTCCGTCTGGTTCTGGGATGTAGATCCTTCGAGATGGTTTGAAGCGTTATGTGTGCTTGAGACGCGGGGTTTTATCAGCACGTGGGGAGTCCATGCTCTGAGGACTAGCGGTTCTTACTCAGCTCAAACAGCGAGACGGTCGAGCTTTGACCTTGAAAACAAGCGACCACTCACACTCTAAATATCTGCCCGAATTGGAACGGTAACACACGGTTGGGATGCAGAGAGTTAGTCAAGACTAAACACAACGCCCCTGAAACCGACAACAGGACTCACGCTTTTACTTCATGGCCCGAGCGGCCGCGGGAAGGGCATGGGTTATTGGGAGCACGACAAGGGGAACAAGCGGAAACTAAATCACTAGTCAGAAGAGCCGTGTTTCGGACCAGGCAACTTCTGAAACTTAAAACCCCCATAATACAAACCCCTAAAATTTCAACACTCACGCTTTTAGTTTCTGGCCGAGCGGCAGCGGGAACACGCGGTCGAACTCGCCCCAGACGAGCAGGCACTCCTGGCGGTACCGACCGAGAGGGCTCTCCGGGTTGTCCAGGAACCGCATCAAATGCTCCACCAGCTCCCGCCGCTCGTCGAGACCGTCCCCAAACATCACCTGCCGGAAGGGATCCCCTTGACGTCAGCAAGTCTTCCTGACGTCAGCAAGCCCTCGAGAAACACAAAATTCCGCACATCCAAATCAATCGGAGTGTCCAGGAACCGCATCAGATGCTCCACCAGCTCGCGCCGCTAGTCGAGACCTTCCCCGAACATCACCTGCCGAAGAGATCCCCTGACGTCAGCAAATTTGCGGACAATTGTAACAAGAAGGCTGGCCGGTCCAAACGGCCGGATTATCACCGCTAGTATTACTCTCGCTACAATTGTGGTTTTGGTTGTTGTTATCGTCGGTTTTATTGCGTTGAAATCGTACTGGCTCGCGCCGCTTGTCCAGGCGGGTCCTGAACGTCACCTGCGAAGGGACTCCTCAGATGTCAGCAAGTCTTTGCAGGAGGAAAAGGTCCGCACTCTCAACGGGTCGGAAGCTGTGCTTAGACTGGTTAAAGCAGCGGGCGCTGGTAGGAAGTTCACGCACAACTATTGCTTCAACCAAACGCGTCTTCATACTGCTATTGGCGTGTCACGAAGCGCCTATGCCTACTCATCAGGGTCCTGATTTGAACGCAGACTTCGACAAGAGTTTCGCTCCTTGCGTTCTGAGTTTCAGCGGAACGTCGGTAGAAAGGACTGTCGGCATGCGAGCTTTAGAAGGTGCTCGAAACCTTCAACAAAAGTCATTTGGAAACAAGCGAGGACGTTGCCGCTTCAATCCTCGCGGACAGCTGCATGATTCCGAGCTAATTTCCGACTGGAAAATTCGAGCAACAGCCACGTACTAAGCTCAGCTTACAACACTGGGGGCTTGAAGAAATTCTCCCTCACAGCCTCGTGTGTGAAACACCGCTGTTTCACACACGTGCTTGAACGAGCCCTTCCTATAAAGCTACCTTTCGAAATACGGCGACTTGAATGAGACTTTCAACAAAGCTCACCTTCAATGCGCCGTCTAGAATGCACCCGGGAACGGGCGGCGGCTTGTGGAACGTCAGCCCGATGCCCGCGCGCATGTCCTTCCGGTTGTCGGGAAGAAGCGTCTGCAGCGGAAGAGGAACGGTTTACCACTACTTATCCGCTCATCACTGACTGTGGTCAGTGATGTCGCATATTCGCACGCCTAGCTGCATCGAGAGGTTGTTCGAGAGCTAGGTTTCCCAAATTGCAATCCAGAATCGTGGACCACAGTGTTGATCATTAAACATACGGCTCCAAAATGGGCGCAATTGTCGCGTCATTGGACCGCGTGACCAAAGGTTTTGGCGGACTCAGCAGAGTTGTTTCACCGACAAAACAAGGTGCTGATCGGGCCTTGAAACGGATTCATTGGCGTACGAACAGTGGGTTGATAGCCGACTGAGCATGGAACGATGACCGATTTGCGTAGCTTCTGACCTATAAATTTAAGTTTCACCTGACGCGGATTCACGCCAAGACCATCGGTCGCTGGTACTGACTGAAAGGTCCACAAACCAATCTGTTAACTTCAGGCGGACGGGTGTCATACAGGGTAAACCATGTTGGGTTAACGACGTGACTCAGCAACCGTGCCTTGTCCTACAAGTAAGTACGAATAGAGAAGAACATCGTAGAACCGGACTCGTCAAAGACAAGGGAAGGGCTCACTTCTAGCATGTCCTTGAGCCCCAGGTCTTTGAGCACGTTTTGCCACTCCTCCTTAGTCACCACAACGCCGGGAGAGTCCGTCAAACACACCTTCCGAAGCTGCACGTTGCGAATGTAGGGTTTAGGGTTTCAGCAGTTAAAAATTTTTCCGGGGTTTGAGATTTTCCGTTACAACCACGAGGCACGGGGGGTTTGTTCAAGCAGACTCCGAACCTGCACGGCTTGCAAAACATATTGCTCCAACATGGCTCAAAACAAAGTGCGGAGTGGACCGCAAACGGTGTATGGCCAGTCTCCAAACGGGCATAGGCGGGCATACCCGCATAGGCATCAGAAAGAGACCCAACAACAATTTTCCTGGTTCTGGAGACAAAAACTTCAAAATTTTGAGGCGCACGCTCGGTCGGGAATTGATATCGTGGAAAAAGTGTCCGTGTGAAAATGTCCCTTTACCACTCTGTGCGACTCGGTTGCCCCCCCACTAGTTGGGTCAGGGACCGGCTTTAAAACCAGACTTTGCTTTCTGATACCACGATCATCCTGCCTCAACCCTTGCCAAAGAACTAATATCGAGGCATGAGCTATATGCGGGTCGAGCGGGTTCAATCAGCAGCGCAATGTTGCACAGCAGCTTTTGTATTCAGCCCTTAGTCGAGGACTTCTTTCCAACGACTTCCTGGACTCGCGCTTTGTAATGAGTATATGGAGTGCCGTTAGAGCAACTCAAATAGATCAAAACAAGCGACCCAAGCAACGCACTTACATTGTTTGGGTACAGCTGCGCGAGCCGATAGCCCACGAAGCCCCCATACGAGATGCCCACGGCGTCAAACGTGGTCACCCCGTACTGGTCCAACGCCTTTTTGACGCACTCCGCTTCCCAAGTCTCGGACCGCTGATTGCTGCGGCTAGTGCTCTCGCCAAAGAACGGGAGGTCGGGAATGAACACGTCGAGCCGCTTGCAAAAATCTTTGACCTGCGGAAAGGCTTGTTCCGCAGTCACTTAAGTGGTTTGGTGATCGTGGCCGCAACTATTTGTCTTCGATTGCTCTCGTGTGCGCGCATTCCTCAGAAAGTGGGACGTCAGAAAAAAGAGGGCCGAGCAGTCCGCAGAAATGTCTGACCTGTTAAAGAAGTCTCGTACGTCGTTTTGCACGAGATCTGAACGGGATATCCGGATTTTCATTGGTGGCGACAGCACGCCTTCCTTGATGCATACGCTTGCCGAGGAACGGTATGTCGGACGTGTTGGTGGACGCTATATGTGACCTCATGTCGCCTGAACAACCTTGACCTGGGAACTAGAGTACCGTGTTCGCCTGGCGGCTTATGCCGGTGTTTCTTCGAAATATGGTCCGATAAGGAAAAGACCGGGGATGAAACGCGTCAGCTACCTGCAGAGGGTCCTTTGATCACCCGGAAAGGACGTCCAGCTCTCGTTATCTGCTGACACACCTTCTCAAGAACTTCAATAGATTGCCAGAGGATGAGCGACCAGGTTGATTTATAAAGGACTGAACTGCGACGGTCAGTATAGCTATTATGTAGCTACTTGCGAAATGATCCTAACTTGCCGACATAGTGATTTTGCGAAAGGACGGAAGGCTGAGAGGAAACGTGTACAATCTACTTGAAAGGCTTCCTTTTTAAGCGTAAGGCTTTGGCTCTCGTATAGGGCTCTCATATATCCTCTCGACAGGCCCACAGGATTTCAATTGGAACACATCCCTACTTCACCCAGACACCCAGCGTTCCCCTCGGCTTGGGCTTCGACCCTCCCAAAGGTCAGTCTAAACGCCCCAACGTGCGATTCAGTCGGATCAAAATATACCATTATAGCCTAACCTTCACGACTTCTTTAGGAAGGAAAACGTATTGAGATTCTAGAAAGACCACAGAGGGAGCAAAGTATGATGATTGTTAGTGCATTGGAGACCCGTTCTGAAAAGGCTTACCTGTGCATTCCAGTGCCATATTGCCCCCGGCCCGAAAGCATGAAGCAACACGACCGGCGGCTGCTTTTGTTGCTCGATTGTTCTGCCCCCTTTCCTTGCGTCCGCAAACTTCTTTGGGACCCACATGTGCATCGACGTTTCGCCACCGTCGATGTCAACCTGCTCTTCCACCAAGCCAGCTCTGCAGACAAAAAAATGGGTGGAAAGTTACTTCGATGTTCTCAGGAAGACGTATATGTAGCTTCTCAAAAGGAGGTACGGTGAGCTCGTTGAAAATTTAACGTGTGGCTCAACTGTTACTGTGATGTCCCGAGGAATGAGTACAGTCAGCTCCTCAGAAAGAGCTCGGACAAGCTTGATTGCGAAAAGACGCATCTGCAAGAAGGTGACAACAAACACGACTGATTTTGTCGAGATACCTATGATGCTTTGGCGATGCTGACAGAAGCACTTGACCCGTTGCAATTGGAACTAGTCGTCCCCAGCACATGCTTGAAACAAGAAGTAGCCGCCTCCTGCAGTTGACTACTTCATAAGGAATTACTTGAGCCCGTGTTCAAACGCGAGAGATGCACTCACTTGTTGAACTGCTTTTTCAAGTACTTTCCGTACATGCGCACGGCCGGTGTCCCCAGGCAACCACCTGGAGAAAGAGAACAGGAACTAGGTGTTTTGCCACTTGTGACCAGGTCATCACTTGAACATCAGTTCTAAAGAAGCGGAGGAGAAAGGATCGCGATTGTGGTCAGGTAGCTCATCAGTTACAGGTTAGATCATCAGCAGTGCCTTTCAGCCTGTAAGTGCAAAACAAGGCACCTTGGAAAAGGTGCGAGAAGTAACTCAAATGTTTCAACAAAAAATGATCATATGCGCCTGGCATTCCGAAGTGCGGGCTTGTCATGAAGAAGCTGACACCGCATCGGTTCTCGCAAAGTCTATGAAGATGAAAGGAAAAGACGGCAGAAGCTTGCTAATCAACAAATTCCCAAAGCCCTTCGAATGACTGTTTGTGAGCTGGTAGAAGGACATAAGTCCTTTCTTCAAAAAGTTCTTTGAAGTGTTCAGAAGTTCCTGGGATTGACGAAGTTCCTGGGATTGACTTACCACAAGGGGAGCAGAGACCACCTAAGCATAGTGCCAGCTTGTCCCCCCAACCGGGATTCATGATGTCAGCCCGGAGTCAGCTGACGCCTCTGCTACAAGAAATGCACTGTTGGTGAAAGTGCTTCCTTGACTGACTGCAAGTTGATGAGTACTGATCAACTTAAGTAAAGGATGTGTGTTTGACCCATTCAGCCCCTTATGATGAGGGTAAGTACTTACCACCCTTTTGAGAGCAGATGAGCACTTCTCATCAAACAAAGTTTCTTATCTGTAACCTTCAAATGAAATCACGAGCAGTACAGATACCAGTGCATAAATATGAGCTGCTTAAATTGCACTGCCAGACTCTGGCCTCCTAAGGCATCTCATCAAGTGGTGCTTTCAAGATTGCACAGACCTTGTCACCCTGATTCCACAACACCTGGGGAAGCACTGATACCAGCCCGGAATGTGGCCAATCTGTCACAAAAGTCTTCCCTTTCCACAAGTGTCATCTTTGTCACTAAGAAAGCAGAAACAACTGGGTGCGGAACCTTGTTCCCCTGTCTGACAAAACCAAACGCATTATGTGAGCACTGACAAATATAGGGACTTGCCTGATCAAAGATTGAACCTGATGCGCTTAGATCTCCCGCAACAAAGCTCTGTAAATGCAGGTCGTCCTGGTGGCCACGGCAACGTGTGAAATCTGCTGAAAAGCTAAACCTGCAACTAGGTAAAGCTCATCAACCTGTTCAAAGCTGGTGACGTGCAGACGCGCTGCCAACAGTCTGCAAGTGCCAAGAAGACGCAGCTCACCAGCTGCTGGCAGCTGTGCCAATGCCGTTCGCACTAGGACTACTGCAGGGCAGCATTTCTTGCGCAGCGGCAGAGCCGCCAGGCGTCTGGCACCTTCCTGTCTGCCGGTTGTTTGCTCAGAGCCGTACATTGGTCAGACTTAAATTTGGTGGCCGCACGAACCGCATTCTACTTGGAAAATTGGACAGGTGTGACGTCGGCCGGCGGTCATGTTTCAAAAGCACAGTGGATGACACGTGGACATCCGGGCAGGGTTTTGGAAAGTTGCAGAGCGGCCGCCGCGCGGCCCGGCCTCGTCGATATGCCACTGAGAGCGCCGACGATCATCCGACACATGCGCGAACATGCAGTGCATCATACTAGAGTCATCCGCAACGATGTGAAGCACTAGGATTTTGAGGTGATGATTTGATCTTTTGGCTTTGAACCATAAGAAGCGACTTAAGTCACACTTAAGTCATATAGCAATGTCCTATGGCGGAAGGAGGCCATCAAGAGAGTCAGGAGAAGGAAGCTAATATCAGGACAGGACACGTCAGGAACATGGGGGACACTGCGGTCCGACAGGATCTGTCACTCGCTGAGCACAAGAAGTTTTTGGCTGATATAGAAGATTTGGCAACGAAGGACATAGACGCTGGATTGCAACTCTACATGCTGTGGTACTTCGCACGCACAAATGCGAGGAAAGATGGTCTCCCTGAAGGCGACGACCTTATGGACCACTTTAAGAAAGCAGTTCGCTTCTGCCACAACAAGAACAAGGGGAGGCCGTTCACGAAGCGAACGGCTAGCCTAACACCTTGGTTGGTGTTTTTCAACAAGTTGCCTTAGGAGCTGCCACTTTGTTGCTGGCGCTGCGCTGCTGACTTGGGATCCGCTGCTCCGCATGTCTAGAATAATTGCCACAGAGTTCAAATAAGCGATCGCCAATCAGACCTGCAGTACACGAGTCAGAGGCTTGGCCCCGGAAGTAACTCGAATTCACCAAAAGGGTGGAAGCAACGGCCAGTGCCTATGGCGCATGGGCAGCATTAAAAGGCTTGTAGCAAGCGAACGCAATCCGACCTTGCTTGAGTGGCTGCAAGGCAGCTCTGCATACAGGGAAGGCATTCCATATTGTGTTTCTTATAACATGTTCTGATGTTCCACACAGCATCTGCCTTTGAAGCTGCGTAAGCAAGGCGTAAGCTCTTGCATTTGGATTGCCGGCAGATTGCCTCATCTGCTCTGCTCTCCAGAATGCAGACCACAATTTTTAAGTCCATATTCGCAATAGCTCGCAAGCAGCCATCTAATGTCTCGAGTTTCAAAGTGTGGTCGCCCGTCGCATATAAGGTTGGCACGGTCAGTAGCACACCAAATATTTCATTATAGTCTACTACTACTCAGTGAATGATCTAGTGCTTCTAGGAGTTATGGGGTGTTGTTTATCGAACATTACTTGCAGTCGATATTGCACCATACCGCTGCAGAGTCAGAAGAACACACAGACATGCAATCGGTGCCAAACTTTATTTCTTGGGGGCCGGCCCTATCGGCCCCATGCCTTGTGCAATGGTATCATAATAAGAAGCATTCATAGCGTCCCACATCACGGGTAGTGATAGTAAGCATTCATAGCGTCCCACATCACGGGTAGTGGTAGTATCAAGACGAACTCAATGAGTTTTTAAAAACCGTCAGCACACATGCACGCCAGGTCATGAAGTACACGATAATAAACGACCAGGCGACCGCCCATGGCTCACTGCGCATTGGAAAATGGCTTTCGTTCATCTCCGCTCCAACAAGCTCAAAGGCTTGATTGCATACTACGAGACCGTCTCAATCAAGGCCTCTGATGCATGAGACTTGCCGGCGCGGCATTACTTGAGTGCATTCAATGGCAACCTAACGTTTGATATTCAAACTTGAACGGTATGGTTCAAACGAACTGAACCGTCGCTGAATGGCCTCTGAAACGACCCCCAGAATAACTCGTTCTTTGATAGCTTAGCGCTACAATGATTTGCGATTTGGAAGGCAACGCATCATGATCCTACTGTGCACTACTCAGTGCGAAAGTAGGGCGATGATGCGCGCCTCCAACAAAGACCGAGAGCCATGTGTCTGGCAGAATAGTGATCCTACTGGTAACGTATGGCAATAAACCCCATGCCCTTTGATGGGAGCTGTCGTTTCAAAGAGACGAAATGGCTGCGATGGTAACGTATGTCCCGCCCAATAGCCCCCCGTGGACTCCGCTTGCACCTCGCGTTCACAAAGAACGAGTCTAGTCTGTCCCCATGATCGGAATGCCAAAGAGTTCATTTTGATCGACTCTCCGAACAGACCGCATCCTGACTCCCCCGCCCTACGCTGACGCGGCCGCACCTAGTGCTGCGCCCACTGGATGCTCTTTATGTCTATCCCCTCCTGGACCATCTCCCAGAGCGGGCTCAGCTCCCGCAGCTTGTTCACCTGCGCGACCGTCAGCTCGACTGCACGATCGATCTCCTCCTCGGTCGTGAACCGTCCGACACCGAATCGGATAGACGTGTGCGCCATGTCTTCTTCGACCCCGAGCGCCCGGAGGACGTAGCTGGGCTCCAGGCTGGCGCTCGTGCACGCGCTCCCGCTGGAGACGGCGACTTCCTTGAGCCCCATCAGCAGGCTCTCACCTGATAGATATGATAAACGGGTATGAAGAAAGCAGACAATATACGAAACCTTCGTATACATACACAGCAGGCTCTCACCTGGTCAAGAAAATGATCGATGAGTACAAAGTGTTATGGAAGCGGATAGCTTTCGAAAATCATGTAGACATACGAACACAAAAACGACGAAAGTGGAGTTCATCTGCAGGTCCACGCTGTCCCTGCCGAAACAATCTTCGAATACGTTGAACTAACCAGTCAGTTCTTTAAAGTGCATCCGGGGCTTCTCGCCCAGCACTGTGAGACGGAGCAGACTTCCGGCGTATCGTGCTTTGCACAGCCTCTGATTTGAGTGACTAAAGGACGATAAAGGCTCAATACCCTCAACGTACTCTTGTACAATAAAACGAAGACGAGAAACAAGAGCAGAAGCGCAGCCTCTCGTGCGATGATCGATGCCGCTTAATAATGCTCTTCTACTCGCTGGGGACTTTTCGAGGAACCAAGGGCGGGCAGATTGGACTCCCACTCGACATTCGGACGACGTCGGCCAACGGGAGTTAGGACACCACCTCCACTTAACAAGCTCGTCGGAAGTGACTCGAAACAATCAACTCCGCAAACTTCGCACACATTGTTAAACTTGCAGCTCCCAGTAAGTACTCGTATTCAGCCCGACTGACTCGGTCAATCGGAACACGAACACACCGTTGTTCCATTTCAGCATGCGTGACTGCAGTAGAGTTGCTGATAAGGAATCTCCCCAGCAGATTTCCCTTCAGGCAATCCAACAAAGTGCCCCCTTATAAGAATTACGCTCCAGCCAGTCCAACAGAGAGTGCCCTCTTAAGATTACTTCGCTCCAAATGCTTGCAAGCTGCAAAGAGCTTGAAAACTGGTCGCGGCTCACCTTCTACGTACGCAAAAGACAGGTTGACGTTGCCCGGGTAGCGATGCTCCTCTGATCCGTTCAGAACGACGCCCTCGAGCTTCGACCGGATTCCGTCCAGCAGCCGCTGCGACAGCCGGTCCACGTGGGCACGGTCACGGGCCATCTCCTGCAGTGTCAAGAGCAGATGAGCGCTTCGAAGCGGAAGGGGTTGACACCAGTGGGTACAGGGCATCAAGCAGCACATCGAACGAGTTCCTTGTAATTCGTTCAGTATACGCGGTCAAGATACTCAGAGTCGCAGGCCTAGCAATCGCTTGACACTGCAGGAACCGTTGCTGTCAACGGTGAGAAGCATTTCACAACGGTTTCGGGACGCAACTTAACAGAATATCAGTCCACGGGAATGGCTTTGAGTCCACGGCGGACGCAAAGTAGCAACGGCGCAAATCTTAGTTCCAACGACACAACATGCAACGCAGCTTCTGCATGAGTTTGGGAGCCGCCCGGAGGCTACGCCACAAGAGCTGCGGGAAAGCAATCACTACTCGAGAGCTGCTGGGAAGCAATGACTAAAGCAACAGGACCTCAACCAGCCTACCACCAGTGCTGTCCTGTATAGGGCGCCAAAGCCACAGTGAGGACCTTGGAAGCGCCATTAAAAACAGCAGGTTCCCAAAAACAACCTTCAGCATATTCCAAGCGACCCACCTCCTGTGCTATACTGCACGCCGCCCCGAAGCCCACGACGAGCGGCGTCGGAATGGTGCCGCTGCGCAGGCCCCGCTCCTGGCCGCCCCCGCTCATCTGCGCCTCGATGCGCACGCGCGGGCGGCGCCGGATGTAGAGCGCGCCGACGCCCTTGGGGCCGTACAGCTTGTGGCCGCTCAGCGACATGAGGTCGATCTTCATAGCGTCCACGTCGACCGGGATCTTCCCCGCGGCCTGCCAAACACAGGTTGGTTAGCGGATCTGAATGTTCAAAGAGTATTAGACGTCTGGAGAAGACATGCAGGTTTTGAGGAAATGTGCGTGTCCACGTCTACCGGAATCTTCCCTGCGGCCTGCCAAGAACAGACGAAGTTGGTATCCGTAGGAGCATGTGTAGGGAGTGAGTATCAGGTGGCGGGAAGAACGTGCTGGCGTGCGCAAAGAGCAAATCTATGGGTCCTATTGTGTCCCGGCTTTCAAGGTTTGGATAACCAAGAAAGTCGGCGCAGTAGAGCTCTAATCAGACACGAGGACAATGTAGACTTCAGGATCGTACAACAGGAGGGAAGGCAGGAAACCTTACTTTACGGCGAAGAATCAGATTGAGTCTCCTCAAATCTCGTAAACCATCAACTGGAAGAAACCTAAACTTGCTTCTCGACGAGGTAGTCAAAATTCGCTCACGTAGCAGCACTCCTTGCGTTACATTTCCTTGAGTTCGGTGGTGTACACAGCCGCTTTAGCTTCTATTTTCGCACCGGCAATCTTAGCAGCCACCTCGACGATTCATAAGTACTCCGACTTCCGCACTGCCGACAAAGCGGCCGCTCAAATCAAGAGCCAAACTTGAGTCTCCACTGCGAGAAACGCCAAAAAGCCGTTTCACCTAGGACAGACAGCGCGTAATCAACCTAACATTTCTGACCTTCCAAATAACGTCATGATGCCGGGGGTCAGACTTAGTAGGGCTGAGAGGCTCAGGAGAAGTTGCTGAATGGCTGTCAGCAATTGTGTACTTTCAGACCCCCTCACCTGCGCTGCGTCCGTATGGAAAAAGACCTTCCTTTCCCTGCAGATCTGCCCGATCTCTGCCAGCGGCTGCACCACCCCGATCTCGTTGTTGACCGCCATCACCGACACGAGCACCGTCTCGGGGGTGATGGTGTTTTTGAGAAGCTCTAGGTCGATCAGCCCGTCCTGCTTGACGGGAAGGTACGTCACGTCGAAGCCCTGCAAAAGGCACGAAGCGGCGTCGTAAGCAGGCGTTCGATAGACACTAATCAAGAGTCTGGAAATGTGTAGTGATGCTGTTCTTCAGGAGCTCGGGTTCGATTCAACCGTCCTGCTTGATGGAAAGGTACGTCAGGTCGAAGCCCTGCAGGGAAACAAAACGAGGTCGTGAAGGGGCGTCCGATAGGCGCTTGAACAGTTTTCTGCTCGTGGTTACGGCATGCTCTGCTTCAGGAAAATGCAGAATAACAAGCCGCCGTGCTTTGCTGGAAAGTTCGTTGCGAAAGCTTCAGCATCCGTTCAAAGCACGGGAGGATCTGTAACGGGACGCAGCCCCAAGAAGACCCCTTCCCCTGCTTAGACACGGATAAAGCAGGAAAAGACGGCAGAAGTAAGCGCTCATACAAAGGACTAAATTCAACGGCTTCCACAGGAGAAATAGAAACCTAAACCTGAGTCGTTGCCATAACAGATCAACAAACAGGAAACTTCTCCTGAGGTCAGGTAAGTTGAGAAGTGCTCACTTCCTGCTGAAGGTACCGGCAGGAGTCGAGCACGCACTTGTGGTCCGTCTGCGTGGTGATGATGTGGCGCTTCTTGCCCTTGTAGAAGTGGGCCACGCCCTTGGTCGCGATGTTGTTGGACTCAGTCGCGCCTGAGGTGAAGACAATCTCCTTGGGGCTGGCGCCAATCAGGTCAGCCACTTGCTGTAGAAAGGTAAGAAGAGCGGGTTAAGGAGAGGATTAACATCTACAGATTGAAAGTGACTGAGCCGGCGGAGAACAGGATGTCCACGATGGAAGAGGGGCCCAAAGTCGGGCGGAAGTGACTCTGATCCCTCAACAGGGGCCCAAAGTTGGACGGAAGCAACTCTGATTCATCAAACGAGAAGCTGGTCCCAGAATCGCCACAACACGAGATCAACTTTGATCCGACAATCCTCACTTCAAGCAGCTTGCTTTGGCATCAACATAGACAAAGCATCGAGAGTAAACATGAGGCCTGCCTGAAGCAATTTCTAGCAGAAGGGAACCGCAAGAAGACCTCACCTGTCTAGCCTTTTCCACCGCGCTCTCACTCTCCCACCCATACATGTGCGTCCTTGAGTGTGGGTTGCCATACTGCATGCGGGGAGGGAAAGAACAATCAGCATCCCTGACCAGTAGGAGGGGGATCTCAAAATGCACGTCTAGAAACTTTTCAGATTGGCACTAACTGTCACTCCTGCCCTCTACTCAATGGAATCATGATCCTTTACGGTGTGAAGTTGACATAAGTGGCCAACAACACATTTTCATAGATACACAATCGGCACCGCAGCGCAGACATATCAATCGGCTTCAGATTTCTAATCCGTTTGCATCCAAGCATCGACATCTTCGCGGTCCATCGCCCCCGCGCTCCATCGCCCCCACTGATCAGTTAAACTGCTTTCCCTCTGGAGAGTTCCTTCAAGGCGATGACAATTTTCCTCATCGCATCACACACGACAGGAGGACTCAAGGTCCAACGAACGCAGGGGCACTTGCATGGTTCCTGTCGAGAAGTACAGGGACCACCTCAGCAATCAACGGGCAAAGAAAACCTCCAGTCTCACCTGATCTAAGTAGTATGGCAGCATGGCGTCGAGCACGCGGGGGTCAACCGGCGTGGTTGCCTGCATGTCCAGATAGAGCGGCCTCCCCAGCATGTGCACGCCTTTTAGGTTGATGCCAACCTCTTCCTCGTCCTCAGCAGGAGGCTGAGCAGCGGGAGGGGGCTCCTCTGCAAAATATGAAAGGCATTATGATGCTGATGAAAAGGTGTTTCTTGAACTACTTATGATGTGTGATCGGTCTGTATGAAACAGAAGGGTAAGGAAGAGTATGAGCGACTCTGTAGTTACTTGTTATATGTAGGTCGCTTTAACGAAACAGAGGTAGACAGAAAACCAGGCAAACAGAGGTAGACAGAAAACCAGGCAAAGTAAAAACAGTTCTTGGAACGTTGGAAACTGGTGTCATGCACGATGCGATGACCTTGTCTGCTAAGAGGTGGTGCGAATGAATTAGTCCTGTAAGCTGCGCGCAAAGCACACCGGGTGCTTAAAGAGGTGCAATACTCTTCTCTCTGATTGCAAAAACATACCAACTAAACCTATTGCCAAGAGTTATCTATACATGCTCAGATCATTGGGGCCTGAGCTTTCCAGCATTCACAAATTTCACTGCTTTTTCGGTGTCTACACCAGATGAATACACTAAGCGTACAATCTATGTTCTTCATTATTTGTTGAGATCTTGATGATAACCATGAAAAGTCCACTTGATGATATAAAAGAAAACTTGGAATTTACATTCTTCATCTCCCGAGGGTTGCAGATTAGAAACATGAAAGATGCACCAAGGCTGGACTTGATGGTGCAAGGAAAACTTTAGGCATGCACCACCAAGCCACCAGTAAGATAGCAAAGACTCAAGGACACGCCTGCTTCACTGGCAGCTGGTCCAACAATCCACAGCATTGCGGATATTGCCAACGGCGTAGATTGCTAGCATGGAAGAACATCAGATTGACAAAACCCCCCTTAACTCGGCCCTTCAAAGGACTGGCACCCTCAAATCAGGGCCACACAAATCTCTTGAAATCCTCTCTTCTTGCATCAGACCTGTGGCTAGTGTTCTTGCCCCGAGCTGCAGCTGCAGAATCCGTAGTTACGGCTATCACTGATATCTTTTCCTTTTAAGTACGCCTTACCATCAGCCAAAGCAGCGGCTGTGCCAAGCGAGCGTCCCCATGTGGCGGTCACTGCCGCTGGCCTTTCAGTTGCCAGCGATGCTGCTGAAAAAGCATCCCCTTCCAGAGCAGCAGCGCCTCTGCCGCTCGTTTGCAGGCTTGCTGCGAGCCTGGCGCCTTGCCTAAGAAGTGGCTGCAGACGCATCCTTCCGGACGCAAGGGCCATCTCGCTCTGCTTTCAGGCGTATCTGTGAACGGCTTTGAAGCACCGCCCTCCACCTGGGCTTGACCTGGGCTTCTGCTTCTGTCGTGAGAAAGTCTTCAACTTCAAGGAAACCCGCCACAAATTCAATGATCTGGACGTCCCTGATTGTGGCCAAAAACGTCCACGCGACCTGTTTAAAGTGTGAAAACACTCCGTGCCTGGGTCAAAGTTCTTGAACGTGTCTGCATGGCTGCTTCCAGAAGCGCCAATTCACATCAGCTGCTGTAGTACTGAACGTGGCCCAACAAGCATCGAGGGGCATGACAACTTGAACAAGGCAGCAGAGGAGCAGAGCGCTGCCTGAACGTGCTGCTCAGCAAAGGAAGAAGCAGAAGCGACTGGTGCTAAGTTCGTGATCAACGTGGCCGTCAGGTTGAAACGCAGCCAGCTGCTGTGCTCATCGTACATCTCCGCAGACATTTCCAAGTTAGAAATGAAGCAGCGTCTGAGCTCTCTGTGGCTGCTATGAAAGTCCCTGGCGGAAGATCTGTAGTGGCAGCATCCGAGTGGATCTCTGGAACGGTGGCAACTAAAGCAGGGCACCCTGCAGCTTTGTGTAGAGGTCTCTGTGCCACAAATCAGAGTTCTCTGTCCAGGTTAGGACAGCATATGGGAGCTGCAATTGACTTACACTTCTTTGCGATTGAGCGTGCACATAGTAGTTCCTGTTGGATGTGTCATGATGATTGCGTAGATTGCTATTGATCTTTGCAATTCAGCCACAGGGGCTCATGCTTGATGCCAGGTGCATGATTCGTCTGTAGCAATGCTGCCAACTTGCCTACTCAATCATGTGAACAGTGCTTGATGGTAAGGTGGTGCATCCGACACAAAGTTGTGGAAGCTTCGAAGCGATGATACTCTTGCTTTTGGATCTCTTAGTGATGCTCATGGGGTAGGAGAGGAGCATGTTCATAAGAACAAGTCCAAGCATGCTCAGGTGTCGTCCAATCATTCATAAAGAACAGGTTTAAGATTTGTGTTCTGTCCTCTTCTTAGCTTGATTGAAGTGATGGTTGCGCGCTTCAGGAAACTTTCCAACCAACTTTAGGGGCCCTGGGCTCACACCAAACCTGGATGCTGACCCCATCATAGCCCTGCCTTTGATCAGGTTCAGCACCAGCGCCACTACTGCAGCATCATTGGAATCCACCTCAGGACGACCTGAGACCGAGGTCTCACATGATGCCTCTAAGAAGAACCAATGGGCATGGCGAGCGGGGGCTGTGGGGCTCTTTGCTGCGACTGGGATTGCCGCATCTTACGCTGTCGATGACTTGCTGACCTTCAACAAATGTAGAAGGTAAACCTGCCGCTGTAACATCGATGATGTCAGATTGTCGATTCCTCCATGTCAATTCCCTTTTAAGGTCAGTTACAGAGTGCAGGCTGACTGGCTCTTTGAATTCCTGAGTATTGTTTGCTCACGCCCACTTCATGCGGCCAAGCTCAAATGCATCGCTTTTCCGAGGCAGTATCGCCACTATCCAAAAACTGTGGTTGCGTCAACAACTACAGCGTCAAGTGCGGGACTGGTCAGCTGGGCCATGTCTGATCAAAGTAAATGATCTATTGAGAATGAGCTTCTTGAAAGGTGCTGAAAGACATTGGCGGATCTCAGAAACAAGTTTCCTCTCTTCATCTATCTGGTCGGCCCACTTGCCGGAGGCTTAGAGTTCAGTCAAGCAGATTATTGATGCCCTATCTCGACGTCTCTTCTTCGCTCTTTGTCTTCAAGGGCCGTGCATCCTATCAAGCCCTTGAGAATCAGGTCTCGCCTCATAACAATGTGTGACGTGACTGGGCCCCAGACCCGTCTTGAATTTGAAAAGTGCATGAAAGTGTGTGAAGGTTTCCAGCTGATCAATCTTGGTCTCGTGAAGGCTCCGTGCGTCCATAGAAACCCATGTTTTAGTTGTTCTGGAACGCCTCTTTCTTCGCTTGCAGCCAAGCTATGGAGGTGGCCGCTGCCGACGCCCGGCTGCAGCAGATCCTGGGTGACGACATTGCGAGCGGTCCGTGGTACGAGGGATCCCTCGGGCGGGGCCACAGTGGGCACTCCGCCTCGTGCAGCTTTCCCATCTCGGGGTCCAGGGGGACCGCCACGCTGCAGCTGAAAGCGATTCGTTTCGACGGCAAGTTTTTTCCGCTCTTGTCCTACTTTCCAAAATCGTTTTGCCGGTTCCGTCTTTCAACCGATGTTTGTGTCGAAATACCGTTTTAAAAACCTTACTCGCCTTGCCGCCGTCATGAACCAAGGCGGACCCCCAGGCTAACATCACACCCCTCATTGTGAGTAAACGTGAACCATTCCGGCTTTATCAACGTGGAGCGACGTTGGCAATCAGAAGCCTCTGAACGGTGTCCTTTCACCTGTACCCTCGGATCGTGTAAGAGTCAGCTTCTTCCTCGTTTAGATTCGTTATGGTTTACCGCGCTTGTACACAACCTCAGGCTTTCAGCACGCATATCTGGCTGACTCTCTGCGTCTCAAGAGAAGCAGCTGAAAGAACGAAAAAGTAGCTTTCTGATCCAAGTTGAGCTGCAAGAGAGCTACAAGCTTGGAGGAGTGTCCCTTCTTGCTTCGGTATACGTTGACCTGTGACTCACACTTTTGGATCGGGAAGCCTGGTGTCCGAAAGCCGTGCAAGCCCGCCCGTTGAAGCACCGAGACGACCATGGGATCGTCGTTTGAGAATGAAAACAATCCTGGGCCGCGGTTCTCGAATTGAGAGAGCCTTCCTGAAGTTCGTCGTGGGGGTTGGCGATTGAGGGCCAGGATTGGGATTGTTCAACGATTTGCAACGTAGCTTAACATATTACCCTTCACTGGATTCTGTCGAGGCTTTCAAATGTTCTAATTGCACATACTCATAGAGCAGTCGATCGACCTATTCGGTTTGCCTTGCAACAGGTGGCAGCACGTTGTACTACAACCTTGTTGGGCCAGGCAGATGGGAGGTCCTCATGCTGGATGCTGAAGTAGCCCGACCCAAGGAGACGACTGGAGCGCAGCCAAATGGCCCGAGTAAAGTCAGGATAAACCTCATGCAAAATGACGATGGGCCACGGGCGGGGGACTCACGCCGAGGTGACTGTTTGCCGTGCAGCAATGGTGACCGTGGATTGACAGTCACTTGATACTTAGTGACGCTGCTGTATTCTGATCAAGAATGAGTCAGCCTGGCTAATGCCCGTTAGCGGGCGTTCATCGATCGAGCTCTAAATTGTTTTCTGAATGACAGTAGAGGAGCTGTTGCATTGCGGTCACGCTGGGTGCCACTGAGCTACATGTGGGACGTCTGCTCGCATGTGGCAGATGTCGGACTCAAGCCCGAGATATTTAAGACCGTCTCGAGCCTGCAATATTTGATCATGCATGCATTTATCGTATAACTTCCTACTCATGCAGACGGTCCACACTGCAAATATTCGCCAAAGTTGGCAGCAGGCTCTCGATATTCGGATCGAAAGTCAAATTGTATTCTGCGCATGGCCTGCGCGAGCATTTTCGCAGATCGAGCGCACATGCCAGCTCGAGTCAAACTCGCGACTTAAGAGCGCGAGGCCCACGCAAAACCAAAGTTAGCCTGTACGGGCGCCCCAATTGGTATATACGGTACATGTCAACTGGATCACAAAACCTCGATCGTATCTAGCTTTTTCATTAGTAGCTAGTTGTAACATGAGATTGTCTATTTGCACACATGATGATCTTAAGCAAGAGCTCAGTCCGGATATATTGGAAGTCCGACTTATCATGATGCAATCAATACGGATATGAAGTTGAACATAATCGAATCGATGATTTGAGCCTAATTGAAGAAAATTCAAGCAAATCCTTCAATTGGTGTGTTGCCAATACCAAAACCCCGATTCGTTGCATATATCGCTTTAATTTTGAAATTCAAAACGGTGATATTTTGAGCTTCCGTCGTTTGGTACAGTGCGTGCAGTTGAAGCTTCGTCTTGCGAGATGGTTTAGATTCATGTCCTTTACAGCTTCAAGGAAGCAACTCGCCAACTTGACTATCTTTATGTACAACAACTGACAAGTATGGCGCTGTCTTCTATGAGGCCCGATTTATACACTGGCTGAACCGCATAAGCTTCGGCTTTACATAAAGGACACAAAATGGGACTACACCCCTTCTTCTTTGTCGCCGCAGGCTTGTGCATCTTCTCGTGCTTCTCCCAACAAAACGCGCACATAGTGTGCCCGCATGGGACGACCACTGTGTCCGAGTCTCTCTCCAAGCAGAGACAGAGGTTTGCATCCGCAGCCTTCTCCAATTCCACCTGCGTCGAGTAAGAGCAAGTTTCGATCAAGACCAAGAACAGTCGTCTTAGGATGATTTCCGAACAAGACCGAGAACAACTGGGCCAGCGCGACCAACGAGCACAACGGACATGCACATCAATAGAGAAGATGCAAGCACTTCTGATCGACGTATGGAAATTCGCACCCAACTAATAGAAGCCGGCATTCAGAACTTTTCATGATGATTTTCTCAGACCCAACCCGTATAAGCGAGTGTTCGAAATTGATCTCAGTCAGCATACGACATAAGCCATTCGAAGAACCCCTTTTTCGCATATGCAAGCCCAGATCGGTGAATCGCCTGATGCCTCATTCTGACAAGAAAGAAACAAATCCCAAGCGTTATGTACCTGACAACTCGAAGAAAGACAACCGCAAGCGTGCAGTCGACTATCATCACCAACTCCAAAGAGCAGATTCAAAAATATTCAGAATTTGACGGCGTTACCGAGATCCTCACCTGCTGCCCTTTGAGGTGCTGCACCTGCTGTTCCATCTGCTGTAGCCTCGACCCCGCCTCTCGCAACTCTCTTTCCCTTGCTTCCAACTCTTCCATCTGATCCGCCTCTGCCGCCTCCATCTCTCTCTCAAGAAACTCCCTCCGCCGTCGCTCTTGTTGCACCTCTTCAAACAACTCCCCCTCCCTTGCTTTCAACTCTTCCAACCGCTCCACCTCTGCCACCCGTAACGCTCCCTCCAGACTTTCCCTTTGCTGCCGCGATAGCTCCAAGTCCTTTTCCAACTCCGTGACCCGCTGTCTCTCGGCTGCAAGCTTTCCTTCTAACTCCTCAACGCCTTTAGACCAACCGTTTCGGCCTTCTTTTGCCTGTGCAGCAGCCACCCGTTCTCCTTCCCCCAAGAACTCAGAAGCTTCAAACCCGCTGCGCCCCTGACTCTCCCGCCCCTCCTCTTGAGAGGACTCGTCCTGGAGTATGTCTGGCAACTCCGGTGCCACCTCCCCCTCCTCTAGTTCCTTCTTTGCTCTTCGTGCCTCCGAGGACTGTCTCCGAGCCCCATTGTCAAGTTCGAAAGTCTTCTGACTGGCCTCCAAACGGGCGACCCTTGCATCTGCATCCCTCAAGTCCTTTCGAAACTCAGCCTCTCGGAGCCTCCCCTTTTCTTTCTCCACCTTCAGATCTGCTTTCAGATCCTGCACTTGCCGCTGCCTCTCCTCCAACAGCACCTTGCCTTCCTGCAGCATCTTCTCTTGCTCCAGGTTCTTCCGTTCTAGTTGCTTCGCCCTGTCCTCCGCTCGGCGCAGATCCGTCCTGTCCTTTCCGCTGTAGAAAAGTCTCCTCTCTAGTTCCTTCTCCCTCTCCTTTGCCGACCCCAAAGCCGACTGCGACGAAACCACCGCCACTTGGATGTCCTCCGGTCTCGCTGACTGAATCCCCAGCTTGGCTCCAATCACGCCGAGCCGGGCGCTGACATCAGCGTCACGCTCCTGCAGAGCCGCCAGTGCGTCGCTCATCTCCGCACACGCCTTCTTCTGCAGCTTGAGCGCTTCTTCGCTCTCCTCTCGCAGACGCTTCGCCGCTTCCGCCTCCACTTTGCTCGTTTTCAGCCTGAGCGCGTTCACGTTCTTGGCGACCGCCAGCAGCTTGTTTGCCGCAGCAGTTTCGCCTTTCGCCGCTTCAATCTGCCTCTTGTAAGCAGCCTTGACCGCCTCCAGGTCAGCTTCGCACTCAACCTTGGCAGCCTCAAGTTCTGCTTTGGAAGCCGCCTTTGCAGCTTCAAGCTCCTCTTGAGATGCATGCACCTGCCGCTGCAACCGGTCCCTCTCCCCGCTCAGACTGTCGCACAGCGTCTTCATCGCCTGCATTTCTGACTCCGCCCACTGGCACCTGTCAATCACCGCTCTCTGCTCCTGGTTCACCCATGCCTGAGTGGACCTCCACTCCAATTCAGCAATGTATGCCTTCTGTTTTTCGACCACCGCGTTCTGCAGTTTGGATAGCAGACTCTGATTTCCCCGCTTCAATGCTTCCATTTCTCCACTCGGCCCTTCTTTCGCCCGCTTGTTGGCAGACTTCGAGCCACCAGCCTGACCCGTTTGCTTCTCCAACAACACTGTCCCGTCTTGCACTTCAAGGCCCAGACTCTGATCCTCCCGCCTTGGGGCGTCCGCCTCTCCTTTCTGGTCCCATCTTGAGCGCCACTTCACCTTTTTCGCTTGCAGCTCCAACGCCTCCCCCACACACCTCCCTTCGGATAGACAAGGCTTGGTGGCCACACCCCCTACCCTTGCTGGTTCGTTGTCTACCCTTGCTGCTTTGTTGTCTGTCACAAAGCCGCTTTCCGCAAGCAAATGTGGCGACGACGTTGAAGGTGTTGGTGTGCCCGCCACTCTGGTTGCCTTAGCACCCTTGAGAGCAACTCTTCTCGCACCCTTTTCAGGCAGTGCCTTCTTTGTCAGAGGCAGTGCTTCCAACCGCTGCTTCTTCCCTCTCCTCTGCTCCTCCCTGCCCCGCTCTAAGGCCCTTTGAAATGGGCCCACCTTCCGATCTGCCGGGAATGCCTCTCGTGCTCTCTTCACCCCAACGCCTTTCGGCACGCCTGACTGACTCGCTGCTTGCTGCAGCTGCGCTCGCTGGACTTGTGCAGCACGTTGTCTCATTCTCCGGAGTTGCCGAATGCTTTTTCCATTCTCCAATGGTTGGGATGCCGAAGGTTGGACCGCTGAAGGTGGAGAGGGGGGAAGAGGCACTGTTAGGTGAGGGGGAGGAGGGGGAGGAGGGGGAAGGGTGGTAAGAAAAGCAGGAAAGCTATAGGCTGCTTCCCAAGCTTGGAAGATGGGCGTCTGAGCGCCATCTCCATAGTGCGACCACCATTGGTCCGCCATGCCTTGAGCATACGATTGGTTAACCCAGGCGCTCTCCATGCCCGCGGTGCAGCTTCTTGGATAGGTACAATCAGATTCAACACTCTAGAGGAGACATATTGCCATCGAACACAGCCCCGCGCGGCTCTGCATTCAGGCAAGCTGAACCCCCACGAAGCGTTCTTCCCGCGAACGGAGCCTTGAACAAAAGCACTTCACTTCGAATCTGCATTTGACAATGCAAATGACTCCGTCTCATTTTGTCAAGCACTAATAATATCGACGTCGTTCTCCCGTCCCCTCGCGAGCGGCGACATGCATGCTGCAATGCAAACTTGCAAGCTGTCTGGCAATCTCTGAAACAAAACGAGAATGGTCAAGATTGACTGATGATCCATGATCGACGACTATAAAGCACAGATTTGAAAGCGCGCGCACATGGACCACTCCAGCAAGTTTATAAACCGTTGGCAAAATTGCATGAGCGGTCCTGCCACTCATGAGATTTCATAGAGCACGTTCAAAACGAGCTCTAGATTCTAATTAGCGCTTCGACAGGCTTCACGTAGGTGAGTAGGTACAGCTTGCCCCGAAAATGCTGTACATAGCTCTAGAGACTATGCAACACTCAGACTAGTATTTAGATGCGGGCAGCCAAAAGAACTGGCAAAGGAGAAGAGGAAAGGCTTTTCATCCACGATACAATCCAGCAGATCGACCGCCAAGCCATCCACATTTTGGCGCAATGGGGGACAGCGATGGGGAGGAAGAAGTCGCAGCTTCAGTGGTGAGCTGTGAATTGCAGTCTGGTCGCTTGATCGTATATGCCAAGCTGCCCTTGAGCTAGAAAGCTGCATGCCCCTGTGCCTCAAGGGGCCAGTTTTGAAGACCTGGACTTTGTGCTCAGGATCGAGTGGGGCGGCCTTTTGCGGCATAAGCCCGAAGCAGCTTCCTGACTCACGATGCAAATTATGCACAGATTTGTTGCAATAGTGCCACCTTCTTTTGCAACATTCGAGAAGATAAGTGCTGCAGAGAAGCGGGCTAAGCTGGGGGCTGTTTGTTCTGGCTTTTCGTAAATGTGGGCGAGCACTCGCTGAACCCCAAGGTGACATTAACCAGAGAAGGCTCTTTGAAAGGTTCAACAGGTATCCACAATGATTCATGAGCTGCTAAACCTACAATTCCTGAGCAAGGTGTAAAACCTGGTCCTCAGATAGATACAAATTTTCTGAGAGCAAGCCCTTCCCTTCTTGCCATGTTCAGTGCTGAGTAACGTGGTCCCTTATTGCCTCTCAAGATTTCCCTTTCTGAAAGCAAGTATGCAGGGCTGCGAGTCTTGTTCAGACTTCTACAATGACCCCCACTGAGTGGCTGATTCTGAGAGCAAGTATAGGTAGGTCGTTGTTTGAAAATACAGATTCCACACTGAGCTCAGGCTGACTCGCACCGACTGACAGGTTTGGGAGGGGGAGCTCCTAGACGGGGTGCCTGACGGCCCCGGCAAAGCGACTTTTCCAAACGGTGACCTTTTCGAAGGCATCTACGCCAACGGACGGCGGCATGGCAAGGGCAAGTATACCTTTGCAAACGGCGCATTCTACGAGGGAGAGTATGCTGACAATCTGAAGCAGGGGTTCGGGGTGACGGAGTATCCGGATAAGGCAAGATACGAAGGTGAGCTGGGTTGATGGCTTCAAACCGTCTTTCTTCGAAAATTTACAATGGTGAGAAAAGTACAATGGTGATATCATAGGCGGTCGACTCTCCAAGGGAGCCCGAGAAGTCGATGAAAGCTCCGCCGACCCATGACGTTTTCTCGCTTCGACCTTGAGCGGAGTCAAAACTACAGCTTCATCATCTCAAACCATCGTGACCGAAGTTTCGTTTGAGGTGTCTCGGACTCAGAGGATGTGCTGTGAAGAGTAAGAAAATACATGTAGCTTGCCTTTCCGTAATCCGCATCCCACCTACTTCATTTACAACATCTATCTCTGGTGGATATCGAGTAGGTTCGTGGCTAACTGCTCCACCCTTATGGACATCTGCTTATATCTTTTCTGCAGGCTCGTGGGCCCAGGACCAAAGAGACGGGCAGGGCACTTATGCATATCCCAACGGCGACACGTTCGGGGGGAGCTGGAGTGCCGGGCAGAAGCACGGGAAGGGCACCTACTTCTTCAAGGAGAGCATGAGCCAGGTGGGAGAGCGCGAGTACTTTAGTATGTTGTTAGAAAGGGCTTCAGGAATTGTGGAATTAATCCGGGGACACGAAGAGTAACTGCGTCTTGCTGACGGGAGTACGTTCTGGTGCGCTACTAGGCTACTGGAGTAGGGGTACTGCACGCTTCTCGTTTGCTGTTAGGGGGGGCTTCTGTTGCTCCACGCTTCCGTAGTCTAGTGCAGGATAGCTGTCACAGTTTTTCTGCTGTGCCGAATGGAGGGTCTGGAAACATTTCCAGAAACGTTACCATAGGTTCGAGGCATGAGAAAGGCAACATGATGTCAGCAGACTACTAGCAAGCCTCTTCGGAGATCTCTCATTGCGCTCCTCCTAAGGCAATGGTACTTCGCGTGAACTGGGAAAGGGACCTGAAGATTCCCATATGTGTTCGGGCCCAGCTATCCTTCAGGGACCTTTATGATCAGCGCGCACAAGACGACTGCTTCGAGGGCATCGCCGCCGACTTGGGATATCCTCGGCCGTTAGAAGGTTGTGGCTTTGACCGATGTCGAAGGAACTCTGCGTTCTGACGGATCAGCAACGTCTTTCAAGTGATTCGTTTTTTGAAAGATGGAAAATCAGTTGTGAATACGTGGGCCAGTTCATCTTACATCGTGTCGTGTCCAGTGACAGTGACCAGCCTTCGACTGCTTCTATTTAAAGAGTAGAACCGACTATCCTTTCAGAAAGGACATGCAGTTAAACACACCGTGCACGCTGCCCTTTCTTTCAGGGGCAAACCGGAATAGACTCGTCTCAGCGGTCCCCATGCCAGGCTACTTCCTGATCTAACATTCAAATGCCAGGTTCGAAGTCTCTAAGTTCGTCTAAGTTCGAAGACAACGAGCGATATTATTTGGTGAATCACCAGCAGACAAGGAATCGAACACCGACGCTTGAAACCAGCCGCCTCTGCTTTCGTCCTGTAAGCGTCATCTTTTCCGCAGTTCGAAGGCACTTGGGAGAATGGGGGCTTCGTCCGCGGCAGCTGGATCATGCGCGACGGCAGCTCCTACGAGGGCGCTTTCGCCGCCAACCGGCCGCTTGGCCCGGGGGAGTTCCGGTTCGAAGGAAAGGCCCATAAGCTGCCCGGCGAGTTCCTCCCGACCGGCGGCTGGAAGAGCGGCGGTATCGTTGCGGCGCACTGAGGGGGCGCGAATATCATCCACTTTTGTGCAACAAAGAATTAGGACCGCAAGAAATTGGAGCGGGAGCCATTGGGAGGGCGGCAGAATCCCCCGTTTGTGTTCGTAGGGAGAAAAGCCGGTGGTTTGCACCGGGCAGCATGGATTCTGTATGATTGTACGAATCTGGCCCTTGTCAGCAGCATGAGTGCTCTGTCCGAAAGATGTCAACAGGCGGGCAATTTCTTCCGGACACAGCCACTCAGACCCACCGTTAACCAAACGTGATACCACGTTGGAACGTTTCTGTGGAGCGAACGCATCCTATGTCGCTGTGTAATAACTTGAAACGCACGAGTCACCCCCTTGGGGCAATCCTGCAAAACCCAAGTGCTGTCCTTGCGAAAAGCTGGCATTTTATACCTTCAATACGATGCGCTCCGACATCTAGATTCACTGTCCCATGCACTGTCCATCTTCTCACAACATCTGTACAATCTTCCATGGCGGCTTTCCGGGGGACAAATCCTTCTACATACTGTACTTGCAAGCTCGACATCCGCACTTGCTGGAATGTATGCACGTAGCTTTCACACAGAGATATATGGGCCGCGGTGCAGACTGAAGTGATCATATAGGATGCTAATTCAAGTTGATATGCACCTATGCGGCGTTTTTGTAGATTCTGACAAGGATGCCCTGCCGCACGTACCCAGCTTTGCCCAAACTCGACCGTTACATGCACGCGTTCAATGGTCATATAAATCTTGCATATGCTAAGATGATGCATCACGAGTGCCGCCGTCTGGGAGCTATAAAATATCGCTTTCTGAGCGCCATCATGTCCGCTGGCAGCTAGCTGCAGCTCGACGGTCGTGCACTGCATGAGCAAGCCTGATATCGAACATTCAAGTGAATGAGAAACAATCGTATGCATGCGCACGTGTATATTACGTTTATGGCGTTGCTTGGGCGGGGGGGCCTCGCCTGCCATACGTCATACATGTCCAGAATTCTTGTGCAGCCTGCGGGTCTGCGTTAGTACGTATACCATCATGCATGTGGATTGCAGCTATGGCATGATGTTGACGTTAATATCGGGTGAAACAGCGACTTGATTGTCTGGACGCATCAATGGTTCAATTTGCGATACTGTCATGACCGGACCATGCACCCGCAAGATCATCATGTGCATATGTATTATTGATCAATAGATACTGCAGCCATGTGCACCGGCCGCCAGGCCATTATGTACTTTGAAATCATTCAGCAAGGCGTACTGCACTTAGGCCACATACATGCATGGCACCCAGAGCCGTGTGAAATGGACCAATCATGATGCATGACAGTTTGAAGTACATCGTTGAAGCTAGCTTCTAAGATGACTCCAACAAATTACCACATAAGAAAGATAAGTGAATTGCGCAGAGACATAACTGGGATCAATTCCAACTGAATCTTCAGGAACCACTTCCATCTCTTTTGTGCACATTACATTACTCGGAGATAGACTAGACAATTGATATGTGCCTTTTAGCGCTTGGCCCTATGGTAAGGTCAGTGCGAGCTCGTATTGAAAATCAGCGGTACCATACCTCTATTTAACCTGGTCTTTGACCAAAGTGAGCATGTTCGTGTCACCATAACCAGCCTAAGACGTCAAAAGCTTGGGCCGCGTTCCTCATTGCAGCCGTGAAGGAGGAGCAATTCGAGATGCACATAAAAACCACGCAACTCCAAATCCACACCCAAACACTGGTGCACGAATCGAGTCAGCTAGACGTTTTTCAGCACTTTTGGTTGCCGCACCCTAATAAGTAACGCCCTTCAGCAAAAGCTGCTTCCTAGGCCCTCCGTTTCTAAGGATCGTTCATTTCTTATTCCTGATTTCGCTGCACCGATCAGACATGTGTGAAGCGCTCACCCTCCGCAACCCTCCTGCCCTCCTTCCTCAATAGCGACTGGCAACAACGCCCCGGTGACATGTCACCCGACCAGGTTCAGCAGCCATAACTCGTCGTCAAACTTTAGCCCCCCAGCCTGCCCCGGCAAAAGCTCCCCGTCGACCATCCCCCCAAACAGAAGAATTGACGATCCCGCCAGCCGCACTGCGGCATGAAACGACCGCCGGCTCGGGCTTGGCCCTGCCACCGCCAACCGCTGCCACACTTTTCGGGGGGGTGTCGTTGCTACTTCCGGGACTACCCCCGCTGTGTCCAGATTACCATTTTCTATCGGCGCCCCGCCAAGGGTCAGCGGGCCGTCCAGTAAGGTCTCCCCCGCCCCGTTTGCCGTATGCGCCGATTCCGCCTCGAGTGGTTTCTCCGGAGCTGAGCCTGCATCGGGATCCAGCAACCACACGTCGCCCTTCCGGTTTCGGCTCATATCCTCCCCCCCAATTACGATCACTTTTCCCCCGAGCACCGCCGTCGCCGTGTGCCCCGACCGCGCAACCGGTGCGTCATCACTGGGATACCTTTCGGGGGACCAAATCTCCTGCCACTTCGGTCCCCCTGGGGCGTTCATGTCCAGCACCCACACGTCGTTCAGCATCTCAAACACCATGTTCCGCCCCCCGAAAAGAACAATCCGCCCGTCCCCGAGCCACGTCATTGTGTGCCCGGACCGCGCCTGCGGCCCGGAGTCTGTCTCCACTTTCCGCCAGCTCAGCGGTTCGAGCGCGAAATCCAAGATCCACGTGTCAGCATACCGCGCGTTGTCCTGCGACAGGCCTCCAAACACGACCACCTTTTGGTCCCCGCCGAAGCATCCCCCCGGAGCACCCCTCGGCGCCGGCGCCTGCGGAAGGATCAGCTTGCGCCAGGTGGCGTTCCCGCGGCCCGCTACATCGTCAAACGCCCATGTGTCGTTCAAGCGGAGCCCCCGGTCGTTGATCCCGCCGAAAATGACGATGGTATGACGCTCGGGGACACCAACGCTGCATTGGCCGAAGCGCCCGGGGACCTCTCCGGCAGAGGCGAGGTGCCACGTCAGCGAGGGCGGGTCGTCGGGGCGCTGAATGAGGGGGCCCGGGTCGGCGATCCAGGTGTCGTCGAGATCGCGGCCTGAGAAGGAAAGATGGGCGGCTCAGTGATTCTCACACACTCGAAAGTAAAGTATGACACACGGCTGAATCACGACGAGGCAGATACTGCGGACTGAGCGAATGAAGGTGATAAAAGGCTGTTGATTATGAACACGGCTCGTCGTACAAACAAGCTAGCCAAGGCATGCTTCGTGTTGTTGACTAGACTCCGGCAAAATCATCGGTCGGTCAACCCCTGAAAGCGGATATCACAAACAAGGTGGCGAAACAACTTATCACTGTCGATTCGTCGATTCCAAAGGCAGGCCATAGACCATCTTGTTTGAACCACCCTACAGGTGGGCAAAGCCACAGTGACAAGACATGCTGTTTTGGTTAAGTCAAGAACAAACTTTGGCAGAAAGAGCAAGTAGAAGTGGGCGCAAGCAGGGGGGAACGAGCCTTTCCCTGAAACCACCAGACCGACTTTATAATCGGCAAACTCAATATGCGGACGTGGCATTCTCGGCAAACGGCCACCAAAATTCAAAACCTGCCGAGGGCGCACGGTTTTGACTTCGGAAAATTGAGCTTATGTTACCACAAAAAAAAAGCAAATCTTCATCGTTTCCGGCGGTTCTTCTTTGTTTAGCTCAGGAATGACAGCGCCTACAACCTCTCATCGAAACCGCCGAAAGAAACCATCTTAAAACATGCATTTTTCGTTGCGCAGCGATTTCGTGCATTCAGCGATTTTGGTGCGCCCTTGACCGAAAATTTCAAGTTTCGGAGTTCCGAGTTTCGGAACTGAAGGAATGTGGTTCCCACAGGTATTTATAGTCGGTCTGGTTTAATCAGCATGATCTCACTTGTGCCAGAATGCAAGAGAATTGTCCATCGACATTCCAATAAGGTGGACTTCCCAACATTGGATGCGAATATCCCAAATCGCGGCAAGCTGATACGCTTTAAGCATGACAAATCGCAAGGAGACCACATCTTCCACTGACACGCAGCTCTGACCATGAGAAACGCTGAAAAGGAGATAAACAAGGAGATTGAGATTAGGAGAGTATAAAGAAGAACCTAGACCTGGCTTGCGTCATAAAAGACAAAGAGAACCAGAGTAATGGAAGTGGAAGAACCGGAGCATAAGGTTCGGCCTCTTGATTATGCTCGGCCTCTTGACTTTTTTACACCACTAACGGCTGATGCTCATGATCTAGGCTGTGAGAGCTGACTGCAAGTACAAATACGTGGAAGGACTGTAGCGAGCTCGCTCACCTCCGTCGCATCCCCCTGCTATAGTTACGAGCTTCCCATCAGCAACCAGCAGGCTGTGCGAGGCCCTGCGACAGGGGCCCTGCTCACCCGAGGGGAGCTGCTGCCAGTGCGCTGACTGAAGTGTCGACAGCTGGCGGCAGATCTGCGGCCGGAGGAGCACGGATGATGTCAGCAACAGCAAAAAATGGTAGCTGTGAGGATTGCGCTTGGAGATCGTTGGCTACAGAGCTGATCGACAGGAAGAGAGCAGCCTGAGGAAGGTGTGCTGCAGGCGGAGCAAGGACCAAGTGAGCACCAATTGAAAGTGCTGGAACAACGTGACCAGACAAAATTTGGAATACACGGCTGCCTTGAATGCCCAGACTGTCAAAAGATCAGTAAAACAGAGACAGCTGGAGAATCAACATATGGATGGATGAACAGAACCACGGATGTCCGCAAATGGAGGGCTCAGAGACGGCTTACCTTACAAACCTTCAACACCCTAATCAAACACAAACATACATCAATCGATTCTCTTAAATGCATTCGCATCCATCATCACGTAGCCTGACCAGAAAGAGCACCTTGTCATCTAGCTATAATACGAGACCCCTCATGGCAAAGCACACATAAGAGGTGGCTACAAGGAATATGAGAAGGGTGAAAGGTGGTAAGTAAGCTGCAGCGCAAAAACTTTTTACTTTAGTACTCAAGTCTCATTCCAACATTATCAGAGAACCGGAATGCGATCCCAAAAATTGATTTGATTCACCGGCACATCAAATCTTTAGGGAGATTCAATACTGCCGAATGCGCTATGTCTATGAACTTGAAAGTTATCTGCATTCAAATGCCCCAAAAGTAACCGTATGGCAGTATATCCGAGATCAATGGCAAGTTTAAAAGCCCCATGAATCGCAGAACGGTTGAACTGCCAAACAAGAGGCTACAAGCAAAGGCATCCATGCACAAGGTGCCTTGAAGATCCATGCACTGGTCTCTTCGAAAAGCATCTGCATGCATGACACTGAGGTAGATCAGAAGCTTCATCACTGTCATATCGTTGAGGCATTGTTTAAGTTTGATTTGACACGAGACTCACTTCCTTCCATCCGCCCTTCACACGGTTCACAATTGGTTCCACCTCGGCGGCCTGCGAACCCCACTCCCTCCGACACAGTGACGCCCAGACCGCATCCGAGCACGCCAACTCCATTCCTTGCTTGCATGTCAATCCAAACGAAAGCACCGATCGTATGGAGAGCCGCTCTAGAATCAGAACAAGGTGGTCATGCCCCAGCAGACTCATCAGGGCACCTGGAGCCCCATTCTCAGTAGCTGACCCCGAGCGGCTGATCTTCCTTTCTAAATGCACTGAGGACAATTCTGGTCCTGCGGAAGGGACTTCCATCATGGCTACACCATTCCCAGGAGATTGGAAAGTCATCTCTGTCCACAATTCGTTTTCTGTGCAGCGTGGATTGGCGCACACGCCTGGTTGCGGCAGAACGAAATCCGAGCTCAAATGGCAGGGAAGTGCTGGTATGAAGATCAATCAAAAAATGTGGTCTACATCCATGACTATACTACACAGGACACTTTCATAAGTGACATCCACTTTGCAACATTCCGTTTGCTCCTCAAAGAAACTCCACTTTCTGGAGAATGCTATAGCTAATAACTACATCGTATTGAAGAACAAAACAAGTCTGCAAACCAGCAAATGGACAGCTCATCAACCCTGCTCTCAATCTCTTATTCCCGTCTGTCACTGTTGCTTTCTCCGCAAACTTCCTACACTCCTGAGTCCTGGGCAGCTTTATTCAAGGACTCCCTCAAAAGACCGCTCCGGACCGTCCTAGTGCCAAGGCAGCCGCCCGCCTCTGCCAGAAACTCTGGAGCCGACTTCCCTCGCCTCGAAAGCACACATGCACAACACTGATGTATATTAAACCCGTGCAGTTTCTAACCCAAGTCCTCATGTCGTCTTGACTCTGAGTCTGAGTCTGACTCTAAAAGGCTATGTATCATCATGATGGCGCTTCTGCAAGGCGTTCAAGATTTGTGGCCCTTCTTGAAAGTTCGGCCCGCTACCCTGTGTCAACTGTCAGAGTGGTTTCCTCCAAACCTCTCGCAAATCCAAACCGTAAACGTTCGCGAGGCATCACGCCGATAATTTCGCGCCTTGGTTTTGGCGAGGTAATAGGTAATAGCCAGGAGGAAACCCTCATACAGAATATGGTTTGTTGAAACCCTCGTAGGATACGCAACTCTTCTTTGACACCAGCTTGACCACTTCGTCATCCTCAAGGCACAGACGTCAGGCACTCGAGTCTAGCTGAGATTTTTCAGCAATTGAGCTTTGAACAGATCTAGGAGAGACAAAAGATCCTACAGACAAAACGTAGCAGTGAGAGGGACAGCAAAGGTGTACGTTCTGCAACAGCTGTATACTGGCAGAAGTACGGGTTTCTAGGGAGGATTTTGCTTGCTGGTTCAAGCTTAATCCTTGCTCGGGCGCTTCAAGCGCCGGTCAGAGATCTGTCCGTTTGAAAGATCTGGAAGGCCAACAGGTGGTTGGTGGTTTGCAACGTTGTCATGGTAAGTGCTGCGCTGGGCTTACTTTGACTTGCATAGCCGGGGGCGCTTGCATGGTCAGCAAGACGAGTCTTGTCCTCTAGCCCGTTTCTTCGGGAATGGTGGGTTTGAAAGTGGGGCCTTCAGTGGTATGATCAATCAGTATTTCTTTTGCGAGGGTTGGGGTCGTGACTTGCCTTGATCTCGTATTCTGAAAACATACTTAGATCAAACGAGTTTCCAGGAAGAGCCGCTTGTCGTGAACAGCACGGCCTCCCACCTTGACCTTCTGAGCTGGCTAATTGTTCAGGCTCTGGCTGGATGCCTAGTCGCCCAAACGCCTCCGATTGTCTTGATCTGCAGGTCTCTTGCTGACGGAGTGTTTTCCACGTTTCAGTATCTGTGTGTAGGAACTCGCATCCTAAGAGCTACTCTTTTCTGGCCCATCATATCCCCGTCATCGCTTAAAACCTTAATGTTTAAGAACCCTAATGCCCAAGGATTCCTACCACTCTGGATTCCATCCTATGTGCAGAGCACGCCGTTGTTGGCAGGCCTCGGCATTGCGGTCGCTGCCTATGGGAGCAAGTACGCTCTTGAGGCGCTTCAGCGGTACCGAGCGCGGCCGCCGGTTGCAAGGATTCGCAAGTACTATGAAGGAGGCTTTCAGCCGGTCATGACCCGACGAGAAGCCGCGTTGATTCTCGGTGTCAGGTATGTTTTTATCCTTCTCAAAAAGGTGGCGTTGAGCGATACTGATTTCTAGCTTTCATCACCGCGCGGAGCGTCAGTGGCTATGAGAGCTCTTCGTAGTTCTTCTCAACGCATTTGATCTTGGGGCCCATTGCTGGTGCCCTTTGGTCAAATGAACCAAGCCCACCTTTGGTGCCTTTGGTGGACAAGGAGGGTAACTCTCCCCTCAACGACTGGTCGTTGTTCATGAGTTGAGGAAATAATCTGGTTCAGAGCGATCAATCTTTGGATCTGGTATTTGGGATTTGCCCTCTCCGCAAACAAAGATTGGCAGTTCTTTCTGACGCCGTGGGATCTGCCGCCTCTGTGAACCAGGCTGGTTAGTTCTTCCTGGCGCCGTTTTTGCACATACTAGGCTGTTTGATTGTTTTGATTTTGGTGCCTTTTGTGATCAACACTCTTAATTTGGAACTGCAGGGAGAGCGCTGCCTTGGAGAAAATCAAGGATGCACATCGAAAAGTGATGATTGCGAATCATCCTGACTCGGGCGGAAGCGACTTCCTGGCCAGCAAAATCAACGAAGCGAAGGATCACCTGATGGGGCAGACAAAGGGCAGCGGATCACCATTTTGAAGCTGTTTTCTCCTTGAGTTTGGCTTCTTTCTCTGACATGTACATATGAATCTTAGGGAGCTGACAAGCGGAGTTTGTTTGTTGGACGACAGTACAATTGAGGAGAGCGCATCTAGAGAGAGCAAGGTGGCAGACGTACTGCTTCTTGTCAGACATAGACTCAAAAAGTGGCACATTGCCGATCGATATAAAGAGGTCGTTTGCCAGGTCAAGCGTTGAATCGTGGTAGTTGACGGGTCATTATCTGACTCAAGACGGAAGTCATATTGAGGGTATGGATGAGAGCTCTGGAACGGGCTGGGCTTGCGTTTTTCTGATCCGAACTCAAGTCATTGACATGCCATCTTCATGGGATCCAGGTATGGCTGTTGAACATGCATCGAGCTGGCAGCAATGTCTCCATAAACTGCATGGTTTTTGAAGGGAAGTCAGTGGTGGCCGCTCTATGCACATGGGCAACCGGCGACTTAATTGTTCTCAACCATTGAACAAGCTCAATGAGGCCCTCTAGCTCATCGTGTTGGCATGTGCAGTGCACATATTTCGTTACATCACCATGCCGTCCTCCTTAAACATGTGCCAAATTTGAAAGAACCTATCATATGGCTAGATAGCTAGCTAGTGACTCGCATTCGACGTGAGAGTTACCGCTCGACTGCTCACAGGCCGTGGGCTAGCTCGATCATCGATTTATAACGCGGCCAGAGATGGAAGTACTGCACATGCCACAATTTTGTCTTCCAAGTGTATTGATTACTTTACATGCAATCCATTGAATGTGAACTCCGGCCTGATATTTGCTGCGCACATGCTAGACGTATGGCAGCGCCATGGTTGTGTACCACGCCGTAGTTTAAATCTCGCAAACCCATCCGAAGGTGGCCTTTTGAAGAATTTAGGACCGGTTTTCAGATTTTTTAGAATCGGGCGCCGTCAGGTCATATCTGATGCATCCCTTTGTGATTAAGACGGTTTGAATCGCCTGATTGACTCATAGATTATTCCGCAGGTTGTCAATAAACCAGGAGGTTCAACGGTTGGAGGTTGTCCTGGCAATCCTTACTTGTGAAATAAACTCGACATGCATTCCAAATCTTGTACTCATAGCTCCCTGTCCGACCTCTCCGCGTTGAAACTTGACACCTGTTGAGCATCCGCTGACACTCAACAGATCCATCATCAGACAGCTTCTGTCAGGCCTCTCATTTCAGGCGTTCCAGCTTCTACTCTTCGCGGTGGCCGCCAGCCTCTTCTCGCATCCTGGCCAACTCATCGAGGCAACCCTGGGCAAAACAATCAGGGCTCTGGTCTAATTCCCGCCTTTACACGGTATTCACGAAAACGCCTTCAGCACGGCCCGAGCACAGTGGTTGATTACCTACATTTCTACATCATCACTCCGCCTGTGCCTAGACCTTGTGAAAGCACAGAGCGTTGCATTTCTTAATGTAGGCTGGTCCCGAAAAGAAGTTCCAGGCACCTGACATGCTTTCGGGTATGTTGAACAGTTGCTAGCTACTCGCGGGCCATTACAATCGTTTCCAACGTCGTGCTTGATTTGAGGATCTTGTCATGGAACGATCACGAGATGTACCCGCTACTGGTCCTTCGACCCAAACTTCCGCCCGCCTCAAGAATCCCCGCTCTAGAGAACAATACTTGCAGTCTGGAACAGACAAAGCTAGGGCGGCGACAGTTTTGTGACCCATCTCGCTAGCACGCGGTGTCACCCAAGTATTGCTTCCCATGAGTGGACCATGACCTTCGTCGTGGACCAGAGAGGGTACGCTTAGACGATCCGAAAGTGGACCGTAAGCAGGAAAAGATGCTTGCCTGCAAAATGTAGACGGCCGAAAGCTTGTCCTTCAGCGGCTTCATGACTGCGTACGGCTGCGGCGCCATGTGGCGGAGACTGCTGTTCACGATCTGCACATGGCGAAAGCAACAGCCGTTGACTGCCTTACTCTGCTCTCAGGCACGTTCCGTTTTTAGGGGAGACGCCGACCACTGACAGTTTCAATCTGTTTGTGGTGCAGAAAGAATCAAACGGCGCCGCTTGTTTTGCAGAGAAGTCCGCTACACCAGCCCGCAATGACAGAGCGCCACCTCGGAATAAAGTTGTTCAGCGGGATCATGGGCAGATTTTGTGCTCTTGGAATGGACTGGCCCTTCGGTTCCCAAGAGTATGTCCATTGCTACAGTTTATGGTGGGCTCATACGTGCCTCTCATCCGCTCTTGGCGCAGTTGCACCGATCAAAAGCTCATCAGAGGAAGCTGATCAGAGAACGAAGGAATGCACATGACGAAGTGCAGAAGCTGCGATACACATACTCAGATTCAAGAAGCAATCAAAACCCGAGTGAGCACCGACGAACCAATCTGACCGACAGCAGGCTTGACAACACGACCGAGCTCGAGAAGAAACATACTGGTTCAGGAAGGGACGTGACAGACTTCCAAAGGCTTGTAGACCCGCTTAGAGGCCTGAGGGCTATATACGCCGCAAAAGCGACACCAGGCCAGTAAGCGAAGTATCATGGAGGAGTTCATGATTATATTCAAGGGTTGACATGCGAAACCAAACCCGCCTATAAGGGGACAGGACGCTTCTCGTCCCTCGAGTTCGGCTGACCAGTGTCGGATTTGCCCAATGGAAACAGAAAAGGGACAGGAGTTGCACCTAAAACAGGACGCTCCTATTCGTGGTTGATCTAATGGTTGAAGTACCACTGCGGGTCTCGAATTCAAGATGCAGACGTCATGCAGGGGCAACAATGGCAGTCACTACCCTGAGAAGGTTAAGCCGAAGGTTAAGCTGACCTGCGTTGTGTTTGACTCGTCGAAGAAAAGCGTGGGCAGGCCGGCGAGCGTGCGGCTGGCCTCGTGCACTCGCTGCAAATAGAGGCGGTGCAACAGTACCTGAATAGCAAAGCCACCAAGGTTTGGAGACACACCTAGCAGATTGGCCGCTGCAGATGGGAAAGCCACACGATAACAAGCAATCTTCTCAGGTCGCTGAGTCACTGAAAAGATTCGTAACACCCCTTCGATCGACCCTGGCCGCTTCTGACTTGAGGACGACATACTGGATGATGTTTGGTGTGCTGCCCAGATCGGCCTCTAAGCAGGAATGAGGAACTAAATCAGTTTGAGGCCTAAGAAGTTGGAATGCTCGCCGCCTGCAAATGCTGTGTGCTATTCCTCGGCTTTCAGCAGCTCGCACCCATGTATAGCTAGATACAAACAAAAGGTCTTATGTTGTATCTGTTACAGGTGCCAAGCGACTGATTCTGAAACCTAGCGTCTGTCTTAAGAAGCAGGAGGTCGTCACCGACCTCTAGAGAAACCGGTAGACAATCATCCGCTGAGAGTTTTCGTCGTACTGACAAATATTCCCTGGCGAAAGTCCAAAGGCACATCAGGACGTTTTGGGTCTGAAGCGGGTCTCTTTAGACGCCATGCACCGCTTATCGTAACCTACAGTTTCATGAACCTTTTCTGAGTACTGCCGCTGCTCAGAAACGTTGCGCTCTTGGTCAGATAGGAGAGTTGCCCTTTCGAAGATCTGGAGTGAAAAACCTGTTCAGGAATGCACGTCCCCGATCTTGGTGACCCTTGACTGGCAGCGCTGGGTAAAGGCTGGTCGGTATGGGTTGCAACATTACTGTCCGACTCTGAGGTTCCGAGGATTTCTAGCAAACCGCAATCCAGGATAGAAAGTGTGCGCGATGCTTACGATCTCCAAGCAACCAATGCCTCAGGATCTTGTCTCACCTTTTCCAAAGTATCTCTCCCAGCACCTTGCTACGAGGGATAGTGGTTACCAAGAAGAGTGAGTCTAGATTTGCACTCACATCCTTTTGCGGCTCTCGTCCCGACTTGTCTAAGGGGCTCCCAACGACAAGACCTATAACGCCCTCATTGCTGACCTGTGGATGATTGAAAGCAGCGGTTTGGAGGGGATAGAGGTGACACTAACTCACTAAAGGTGGCAGTCGCCCCGAATTGGCGGTCTGATTCTTGTAGCATCAGCATGCAGAATACCCTAGAAGCATTTCTCATCTAAATGGATAGTCAACCTTCAGAGTAGCCATTGCAGGTCCTTTTTGGAGCCGATAATGATTGCACCTTCCATAATGAATTGCCATTAATATCATTGATTGCCCTGCAGCCGCCTGTGGTTTGAAGGGACTCTCTTTCTGTCTATTGTCGGACCCAGCCAGACAAACAAAGCCAATCAAACCTTAACGTCATTGACACAGTGGTGCTTTGGGTCAACGTCGATGAGAAGGCAGGGGGAGAACGGGCGTCGTTCGCTGTGGCCGAGTAAACGTACCGCGTTCTCAATGACAGCTGCACTCTTGACCATTGTGGGACTGTCTAGCTTCTCGTAAATGGCACTGCACATCAGGACAAAGGGTTCAAAAGTACTGCCTAGGAATGAGAGGATCTTTGGAAGCTAGCTGTCTGCAAGTGAGTTTTCATAGGTGATTTGCAGATGGAGAAAGGTAGGGTGGAACAACAGAAGTAGCGGCGCCTTGTTATACTCAGTGAAATCAGGACGTCCTGACAGGCTGCTTTACAGGATTCTAGGTTGGGTTTGCAAATAAGACCTTCAAGTATGACTACAATCGAGAAAGTCAGGCACAGTCTTAGTAGGAAGTGCAGCCCCAAATTTTCGCTCAAACAAATAAAAGTTTCTGGTTAGACAGCTTGGCTCACCTGTGGACATGTGCAATGCGGCACACGGTATCGGAGATTGCCACCCCAACGCTGCTGGTGCCGACATCCAAGCCTAGCAACCTGCCCCCTTTGTTTGCTTGAACCAGCTGTGCAAGTTCTCGAAGTGAGACCAAGTTCATGGTTGGGAAGATGACTAAGCAACCGGAGAATCGACTTGCTGACTGCAGCGCATTTAGCGCCACTCTTAGGTCCAGAGTGGATGTCTCAGGAAAGTTGGTCGGGCCGGCAGTTTAACCAGAGCGGCGCGCCGCTAATGCGATATATGATGCAACATCATTTGCTGCAGACACGATGCAGCATGACAAAGGTAACGCTGTGCCATCGTCCTCCTGTCGCCGCCCCCCTATGAAACATGGAGGCGCTTGCCATTATAGCCTCTTGCAATTGAGACTCCATGGCGCTGACAGAGCTTTCAAGATGATCCCTCTGGCTCGTCCCTTCCCTGACCCGTGGCAGCAAAATCGACGTGAGCTTCGAGCGCTGAAATCAACCGGGGCCTGCCAATTAGAAGGCGGCTTCAACGAAGTATTGTTTGGCTCCCAGTTCACGAGTTGACAGTGAACATTCGGCAGCCGGTTGATTCTCGTCCTTTCGTCGTCGAAAGCAGTCATCCTATCAATTTCCAGTTCCGTGATTCCAAGCTTCACAGAATTTCAAGTTCATGCAAAGCTAGAGCCCAGGCCCCGGGCATCCATCATTCCTCGGTGGAGGAGCACCTAGCTTCCTGCGCACTGAAGGATTTCTAATCAGACAGCTAGCCCCATCGCGCTCCAGCGATCCATTTCGATTGTGTGTGAGGTGCTGCCAGCTGAATTAGGCAGAACAGTTTTCTAAATGTAAAGATTGAATCCACCTGTTGTTAGGGGCAAACGCAGTTTCTTCTACGGGTTGATTAGAATGGCTGCCACCTCTTCGTGCCTCCGTGCTTCTTTGCAGCCCGGTTTTGTGGCGAAGCTGTCGCACTCAGATGAGACTGCCACCTTGAAGTGGTCCAACAGCGCTTTGAAACAACAATTACCCTCTCACTCTGTTCCACATCTTGCACAGAGCCCGTCATTTCATGCTGCAGCTGTGGTTGAGAGTGGTTTCCCTCTTCATCTGCTGAGCGCTCTGAATAGCAGACGGTTGGCATCTGTGATTTGCAGAGCAACAGTGTCAGGCAGACAGGAAAGCGAGCAAAGCAGAGCAACTGCAAAAGGAGGCCCTGAGGAAGGTCCAGTTACACCCTTTCATTTGGCATTCCCAGTGAACGATCTTGAGGCGACGCGCGAGTTCTATGGGAGGTGAGGGCATACCACCTTCCATCATACATATCAAGATTCAGCACGCTCTAACGGTGTTGTGGCCAGGGTTTTATTTCCTAGATACATTCTCATAGTGGTTTCTGAAATGAAATGGATACATTCTGACAATATCAACACAATTTGGCATGATGCGCTATATGTTTAGTATCTCAGGAGGCCCTTGTACATTGAAGCCTGTAGATCATAATTTCCAGATTACCAAGCCAAGGTACTTGGTTGTCACTACTTGATTGACACGGAAATAGAACTGCTATCCATAATTTGACAATTGCGGGCCCAACTGTCAGTTCTGATTGAATGATCGTGCAAAAAGTCGAGCACTTGCCGTCAGTTGCCTGATCAGTATGCCCCGGAGTCTCGTACATGCCTTTTGAAAGAGAAGGAAGAGCATACCTATAGCTGATTATTGGACACTGCGTCTGCAGAATCCTTGGCTGCCCTGAAGGCCGCAGCGCCAACACATGGATTGACTACAACTTGTTTGGTCATCAGGTGTGATTCCTGGCCTCTATCGTCTTGCCGGCTTGAATAGAGCGGCAATTGCAAGCTTGCAGCTGATGCTCATAGGCACTGCAAACTCTTCTTGGTGCCTGATGAATCTTTAGAGTTCTCTTGAGGACATAGATATGCAACCATGGTAGTATGTCGTGCACAGTGCACTGGTGGTCTTCTCAGCTATTCAATCCCACAACCTGAAGCATACACCAGATGATCTTTGCTGTTAAAAGGCAGTCTAGGAAAAGCTTTGGGCTGCTTATATCTGTGCCTCGGGCTGGTTACATTTGTGCCTCGATACCTCCTAATGTTTCTCAACTCAATCTGTGCATACTTGGTGCAGATTGTCTGTCACTTGATACCAGGCTACAATGGAGCTTCTACAGCAAACCCTGTTGGTAAGCCATGACTTCGTTACACCTCTTCTTGAAGGAAGGAAATTCTCAGTCTAGATCAGCTGGAGTCTACCTCAGCAGATTTGATGTCAGGGCGTTAGGATGCTCGACTTTCTCCTGCCCCCCAGACGCCTTTGCTCTGCCTGCAACTCCTGTTACCTCGTCTGGTCAATCTGCAGAGGTCAAAGTCTACGGAACGGGAGTTGTGACCTGAGAGACGCTTGAGTCCTTGTTCTGCTGATAGTAACTATCTTCAAGGCACTTGTCGAGATCCTACATCATAGGGGTACGTTTCTTTCGCTCACCTGAAAGTTTCGTACTTCAAGGTTCAATCTGAAAGCGAAGAGAGCAGATCGGATGGCAGTCTGGTTTTCAGAGGATCAACTTCCACCTTGCGGAGCGACCAAGTGCATTGTTCGGTTTCACGCTCTGCTTTTTCCAGTTCTCCCCGCTATATCGAGGTTTGCATCTGTCACTTGCCTCCTAAAGTCCTGGCCCAATGGATATCCGACAGTGCAATCGGCCTACGTCTATGGCCGTAGGCGACTTTCCACTTTCACCCATGGCCGGTGTCAGCAAGCATCCGAACTTGATCAACTCTTCAGAAGTTTTCCGACCCCTCTTCCTTCCTGGAATGATCCATGTAGCGGTTTCCCCCGGGTTGTTCCTTCCTGATTCTTAGAAACAGCCTTGCCGGTTCCCCAGGAAGACCGAAAAAGCTGTAAACAAGTAAGAAGAGATTGCCAGTGTTTCGAGGCAGACCAGTATCGTAACCTCTCGTCGCTAGATGAAGCCCGCCACTTAAGAGAATGCGCTTTCTTGATTTGGAATTCCACATTGGCGATATACAGACAATAGTTTTCAAGACAATCAACAAAAGTCGGTCACGTCTGTAAGAAGGAAGTCGGTCGTGCTGCTTGTTCTGCCGAACTCATCCCCTTCGTCCGCACGACCCCTATAACCTTCCTCCACCCTAATCTCAACAGCTCGTCGCTCTTTCTTCACCATCTTCGCGGTCTGTTGAGATATTAAGAGCGCTTCGTTCCAAGACGAGGCCTCCTAACGATCCTAAGCACTTAAGTTTGGGGCACCGCTGTGGTTTGAAGGACTGCCCGGACCTCAGATTCGCAGAGAGCCTTTCGGCCGTCCCCTCTCTAGATCTAGCAACTCCCCCAATATCGTCCAATCAGATTGTGCCGTGCTCGTTTTCTGCCCCGTCGGTGGATGCCACGTGGACGCTTCGCGTCAGCGCCAATGTGGATGCTGACGTCAGCGCCCACTCTCCGTGCTGCAGACGGCGATCCGGTCCCCGTTCCGCACTTCGGCCTGGCCATGACGCAAGACGACTTTCACTCGCTCGCGAGCCGCGTGCGGGAGGCGGGCATCGAGTTCGTCATCGAGCCACACATCCGCTTCAAGGGGGCGCCAGGCGAGCAGGCAAGTGACCTCGTCTTTGTCGACTTCAAAAGGAAACATATGGTTGGCCATTATTGATTCTTAGGATTGGGTTTCAGCAATCCACTTTCTGGTCTTACTATAGGTATTCTTCCTATACTTCAATTGACCATTTTTGGTCGTGTTCAGTAACGTAGTAGATCGGCATCCCTTTCCCGCCCACGGTAACTTGGAAACCCTTTTTGGTGAGTACTAATCCTTTGTATGCAAGTAAGGTGGGCTGTAGAACTGATCAGCATCCTGGATGAACGTACTTATGAGTCGACGTCACTTCGACGACAATTCTGAATGGTTGTCAAGTGAACATTGCTCGAATTGGTCCGTGCGTGATGTGGGCAATGCCAGCTGAAGACTGCTCAGAGGGATAGTTCGGAACCTGACGATCTCTGGCGGCTTGTTCAGTACTGTTCCTTTAACGCTTCATTCTTCAAGAGCTTATCGAAACATGTCGGATCAGTTCCTTGTTCCTGACTCGAAACGTGCGACTTGTCCCCCTCTGTACATCCACAGCATTGTTATGTTCGATGTAAGAAAGTCCTGTCAAGTATTTACCGCTACGTGTCTTTCCGCAGTGGACCATGTTCTTCAAGGATCCCTCGGGCAACAGTCTGGAGTTCAAAGCGATGACGAATCCAAACAACCTTTTCGCGAAGTACAAGGTCGACAGTTGATATTGCTGGTCACTTCGCAGCACACAGTGCAGGATTTACATCGCAGTGAGGAGTCGAGAGGAATTGAGAGAAGCGAAAGAAATTCCCGCCCGTTTATGAACAGGATCTACACAAGGAGGCCAGTAAGTTAAAGAGGACCGCTTGTACAGCCCTGTCCTAGTAATTCGTCTGTTTTCTTTTCAGTTAGGCCTTCGTATCACCTACCAACGAGTCGAACCGGGATCTTGTTCCAAGTGGTTGCAAATCGATCGGAGACTTTCACTACTAAGGCTCACATGCTTTTGAGGCCGACAACAGCACTTTTGGCACATCCGCATGCAGCTCCGGATATCCTCAACCTCAGGTCAGCCAAGTGGTGGGTAGGGTATCTGGGGTAGCTTGTAGGCACTGCGGTCTCAGGTTTAGAGCATAGTCGAATATAAAAGTTGCAAAACGTACTTGAGTGATTGTGCAACCACATGGCCTGCCATTGCCATCAATGTCGACGGGCCCCCAAGTCTTCTGACAACAACTTACACCGTTACCCTCTCAGCAAGCTTCTTTTCTTCGTATTTGATGCTCTAACTGGAATCATAAGCTAGGAAATAATTAAAATAAGTTGATGTGAAGTTGATCAACAACTTCAGAGAGTCAGCAGGGAGCATGAAGCAAAAGTTCAGCCAATATTGGCTTGCAGATATTGCCAGTCCTTCTGCACAGAATACGTACCTACATACGAACTTTGAAAAATTCACTAGTGCTCGTGACTTCACGAGCTCGTCTTTCTAAGAGAAAGAGAAAGATGTCACGAGCTTCAAGTGCAATCGGGCCCGTCCGTCCTCAGAGTCAGATCTTGTGAATTTTGAAGGGCTCAGGCTACTACTAGGGACGGTACGCGTGAATGGTGCTGCCCACTGCTGCGTGCATGCCAGCAGCCAGATGGCAGTACAGATTGCCGGCGATATCGAATCTAATTGAACCAGTTGATGCCCATTGCCAACCATGATATATTCCGATTCCATGTTTGACCCCTGATGCAGCTCAAGTGCGTGCCCTTATAATGTTTCAAAGACGGTGTGTCGTTATAACCGACCAAAACGACCCGACAAGAGGCCGTCAACTAGGCCGGGTACGCTCCGACCGGGCTGCACTGCAGCTTATACGCCGTGCGTCAACTTGGGATCAGACGGCCTATGGTGGGTGGTCGGTCGATGTCAGATGTACCTAGGTTACGTCTGACATGCATGTCGATAGATTCCCACTGTCAATCATTGGCTCCCTGCGTGCATTGAACGTTGTACCTAGAGCTAGGATCCGGATTCTGAACAGTGAACTCAGTCGCAGTCTTTCTGACACCGGTCAACCAGTGCCAGGCACGATTCGCTCTCGTAGAACCTGAGCTTCCCACGAAAGTGTCAATTTGAGAAGCGATTCTGGATTGTTAAAGGCGTGTGCGTGCACACTCTCAAGTCTGGAGTCTGCACAGTGCTGAGTGGACCAGTGCAAAACTGCCAAAAGAGGCGAATTTTGGGAGATGCATGGGCGATCACAGGCAATGCCAACAGGCAGCACTGCGCAATTTGAGCTATCTAGTACAGGTTGCTATTAAATCTTCGCCACAGCCTCAGCAGGTCTGCGTCCATTATATTTGGATTCCATATGGAGTACCGATTCTGGCATTGGAAAGTAGGATAGAAGATTGGCACGGCTGCCAGAGGCGTCAAAAGTCGCCTCAAGGCGCGGTATTTTGGGTGCAGCTGTTTGATTGCCCGTGTTAACAAAGCGTGTTGAAACGGAGAATGGGCAAACGCTTGCAGAAGCTCGGATGCCTTCTCTTTCCTCTTTCTAGGACGTTTTCGAGGAGACTGCAGCTTCGGATGTGCGGCTGATTGCAGCTTCTCTCCAATGGCAGAAAACTTAGCACTCACCCTGGAGCATTATCTAGACCTGGACTCTAAAACGTCGCATGCGGTGGGAGTCCTGGAGGACAAACAGCTCATATCAATGATGCTGCAGAGTGTGACTCAGAAAGATGAAGAATCTAGCTGTCTAGGTGCTGATTTAAGAGCCCTGAACATCGGCAGCCAATCAGCTGGGATGAATGGTCCCCCAGCTCAGGATAGCTATACGCTCCTTTTCCATTCTTTGTTGCCAGCATATGGGGCTGAGGCAGATGAAAGTTGTTTGGAGCAGGCCTTGGGTGCAGACTCTCATATGCTTGAATCGTCAAACGGAGCGATAGATCATGAAAGCACAGATGAAAGTCTTTGCCGAGACAGCGACTGCATAAGGCTGCACTTCAACCTTGAATTGGAAGCGTCCATTTTGACGGGAGCCAGTTACACCATCTCATTCTCGCTGGAGATAAGCATCCCAAACTTCCTAGGGCTATAGCGGGGTCAAGCATCTTGGGGAGGGGAGGAGTTTCGAAATCAACATGATGAGGCACGCTTGAGGAGGAGTGCAATGGACTGCCGCAGCGGTGTGCTATTAGGCTGAGTTGTGCCTTGCTTGGGCCCCTCCAGGGGACCAAATAAGTGTTGCAGTGGTATTAGTGTAAGTACCTCCGGGAAGGTAGGGCAAGCTGTGCAATCAGGAGGAGTAAAGGATGCTGTGCGCGAATGTAGCAATTTGAGGGGATCCTTGTTGTCAAAAAGTTGGGCACTGAGCATTAGCTCTGCCAGCCAAATTAGGTGCCGTTGCTCGCGGCCTCAGGCACATTTCTGCAATGATGACAGTATTGGGAGCTCAGAATGTGGGACACAATGTGTTTGCACCAGAGGATTCTGTGGGACACAATGTGTTTGCACCAGAGGTAAGCCATCTCACGAGCCTGCATGTGTGTAGAAGGGTTCTGACAACCCAGATCCAGCAGATTACCTTTGATCTTTCTCCCTGTCACTGGTTGCAATGGCCAAGAGAGGCGCTGTGGATGCACTGATGTACAAAGAGGAAAGTCATTTTGCGTGGTCATTGTGGCTGGCCTCTTTGAGCTGGAGCTCAACGTGTCTCCTGATGAGGCAAAAGCACATCAACAATCAGCAGGCTGTAAAAGTTCGTTCTCTAGACCCATTTGGAGTTCTCATTTGGTGGTTTGATTGTCATGGTGTATCTACCGTAGTCCAACGTGATGATTCCGAACGATTTAATTTCGAATTATTTCCGACAATCCGACCTGGAAAGCGGAATTATTTATGCAGATTCCGACAACAATCCGAATGCCCTATGTTCCCAGTAGAAAGGGGATTTCAGGGCTGATTTTTGCCGTTTTGGGGCTTCCGAGGACCATTCTAGAATTTTTTAACCTTTCCGAATTTCCACTTTCCGAATGAGAAATCCGAATTTCTCACTTTCCGAATGCAAATAATTATTTATTTATTCGGAATCATTACCTTGGACTACGGTAGGTCGCTAAATGTGACTCTTTGGGACAACAATGAACTCACTTTTGTTTCTCCATTTCTGCATGTCAGTCTTGGGGAGCCATAGTTTTGGTGGTGCATCGCACCCTTGATACTTACAAGAAGTTTGTCCAGAATCTCAAGAAATAGCGTTGACTGAAGTCACAGCGAGTTAGGTAATTGATGCGTTGGCATACAGAGCATATACCGGTACCTTAAAGACAGGTCGAGTTGAGATGCAATTTGCCTGACAGCTACACACCCGTCAAGCTTTTGGGGGACTTTGATGTTAAATCAAGATCGATAATTTTATCAACACCTCCACAGATATGTTGGCATATAAAAATCGGCTTTGAGAAGGCAAGGTCAAAGAATGTAAGAGATATGGTCAAACAAGGAACTTTTGGAATGCATCTCACTCGGGACTCAAATTGTCAGACGTGTTCATGCATAAGGAGTGGCTCAGTGGAGCGCGAACACCAGGCCAGGCGCGCTTGGTATGCATGAGGCGACATGTGAACTGACTGGATCTGCATATTTGCATCATGGTGGCATGCAAGCATGACGGCATGAGCATAGGAGGAGGGCTGAATTTCGAGCTCGTTTTCTGCCGCCATATGTGATCTGCTTGCAATGGGACTTCAGTGCGCAGCACATACGTGCATGATCCATATATGGCATGATGGTTGATCACTCACAATTCATGCCAGCTACAATAGCCGCCATGTGGCAGCCAGCTAGGTAATATAGGTACACGTTCCACGAACTCCCATGACCACACGGGCTCAGCTGTTCCACATAATGCATGTAATTAAGCAGCGTTGGTTCTTGGAAATTTGTGATTCCGGCGATCATTACATGCAAGAACACCAGAAGCTGCATGTGTCCACCACATATGCATGTGCGTGCGTCCCGGTTGCGGGCTATGGCATCAAGCAACGGGCAGCCAACAATATGGTGCATGCCGGCGCCCGTGTATCTGCACATTGGTCCAGCCGCCCAAAGACGGACTTCTGCGTCCGAGGTTCAAAGTACAGCCGCCTGACCCAAGACGAACCTTGCGCCGGAGCTACAACCTGCCAGGTCAGATCATTAAACTGTCTGCTTGCAAGCAATGTGTGCGTATCTTTACCTTCTTAACGATGATTATTTACAGTATAGTAACTGTCCAATATCCCCTTCAGATGATCCTCGGTAGTTACCAAGCACTTGACTTTGCGCCTGGTCAATACCCTCTACCGTTGTCGTAAGAGAGTGCCAGCGAAACCAACTTTCCAGTTCAAGCTAAGCTGTTCAGCTCAGCCAATCAGCGAAAGCGCAACCTTTCGGTGACATTCCGAAAGATCGAGCCCAACTGGTCAATTTGCTGCCCGAAGTGCCGCTAGCCGCTTGTCTAGATCGTCCACGTCGAAGCTGCACGAAGGAAAGCCAATCGTAAGTTGAGCACCTTGTTTCCGGCTATTTTCCCGAATCCTTCTCGATAAACTCAAGTTGCGTTTGCAACTTGATGGGTAGGTAGTAGCCGGAAGAGAGACTGTTAGGAAACTCACCCGTTACTGATTACGGCCGTCGTTTGATGGAAGCGGTATTTGACAACTCAGAAGCGTAGGGGCGATCTCTTTCCACGTTGCATACTATTGTATTGAGATGCCTCCTTCAAGCCCCCCGAAGCCAAATCCTGCCATTGACCTAAGACCTTGTGACACCTAAGGAATAGAGATGTCAAAGCACCCGCTCATCAGCTTATAATTTATCAAGTACGGCATAAAGAACCCAAGCGCGGGCATACCTGTCTTCTTCTTGAGCAACGGCGGGGCCTTTGATCCGCGTCTTCGGAGCTGACGCCAACTGCTCAAAGAGAGAGGAACATCGAGAAGCTTTTCGCAGGAGCCACAGTCGTGGATAGAAGACATGAGAAGCGAAAGGAAGCAAAATGAGTAAACCAAGCCATGGTCGTGAACAATCTTGGGCAAGGAAGAGGTGAGCCATTATTTAGCATTGTCGTTGGGTGACAAGCCTCGAATGCACGGAGTCAGGGTTGAAGAGCAGAGGCCTAAGAAATATAAGGTGCCCCATTCCTCGGAAACGCACGAGCATGACTCAAACTACGGGCACCGGTTCCGCAGCCCGGAAAAGGCGGTCACTGGTAGCGACAGCTACAATGGACCTCGTACTGAAAGATTTCACGAAACTGCCGCCTTCGTGTCATCAAAGTTTGGACTACTCCCAACCGACAGGCGGCAAGCACGGTACACTTATGTTGCACCCGACACACAGTAACGAGCAGGAACCTGCTTTTGTATTCGGCACTGGCACGACTATCCTCGTTTGAATGGGGTACAAGAAGTACCCTGAACTGGAGCAGCTCAAGAAAGGAGCGTACATGCGCCGCCGGTGTCGGACCCCCAGTCTTGTCCGCCAATTGGTAAGGAGACTGGACTTCTTTCAAGATCCTAAAGACTTAGGGTCCCGCCTGAGATCCTTTGCAAGAAAGTTCACTTGCGCAGCCATGTCAACTCTACTTTCGCCCAAACCCGGTGAATGAGTCGTTATATTCTGAAACCTTCAGAGCTATGAAAAAAAGGAACCAAGTCTGTAACCTCCAGTACCATGATAAGCGAAAACAATAAACCGCTGCCCACCTGCGCTGCGGTGTCTACGCCGATCTCGTCCAACACTTGGTTTGTTAGGTCGTCCGTTTCCTCTTCTAGGTCGTCCCCATCCAGGGCGTCGTCTATCGAGTCGGACACCATTTCGCCCTGAATCGGACAAACGGGATCGGTTGAAGTAATCACACGTCTCTTGCGAGAATCATGCCATCGTATTTCCAAGTCCCTCGAAATGATTCCTAACCTTGGATCGCATGATGGACCATGAAACGGCATCCGGCAAGTCAAGATGCGAACCAGAACTCAAGATGGATCCGGGGTGGCGAATTAATGCAAAGAGCTGCAGTACATGCGAAACGGGTGAGGGGAGAATAAACAGAAAGGTCTCGCGTTAGCATTACAAAGTGAGGTTTCATTGCGGACCTCCCTAAGCACGCAAGATCTCAAGGATCCAGTATACAAGCTGCTGTGGGCCTTTTGATTAAGGGATAATAGTAGTGCTAGTCCACAAAACGTGCGGAGCAACGCAGACGGCAGACAGGAAGGACGGAAAGCAATAGTTATGATTGATGGCGCACGAAAGAGAATTAAGCGGGGGAAAGCATCCGGATTGAGAGGTCTAGAAACGGCATGAGATCGTCTCCGAGGAGCTGTAGGGAAATGGTGCACCGGAATGAAGACTCTCTCAACGTTTGCGACAATCTTGTGGGCTCAGGTCTAAGCAGGGACCTCAAAAAGACTGCCTGAAACTCCCCCTTTTTTGGTAGAAGAAAGTATACTGTGAGAAGTGAGAACGTGTGAAGATATCCCAGAATGACAAGACTGAGCATGCACCCCCGCGTGGAAGCCAGACGAGGCCTATGCGAAGTGTTGACATTCCGGGTCACGGCAAAAGGGCGTAGGCAGATGCATCGACTACACTACCATCGTTAGAGTGTGGCTTCAACGGTCTCCACACAAAAGCGCAAAAGTACCGACGTGGTGACTGAAGAATTTGATTGGGGTTCTGATGCCTCTCTGACGCCCAGGTGAGCAGCGACGACCATTAGACTGCGCTGTAAAAAATTGTATGTCAAGGTCGGGCACCCAAAAATAGTGCTCGCGGCCGCTCACCGCCATGTCCATCTGCGCGTTCTGCTTCTGGAACTCCATGATCGTTTTCCGCTGCTGCGCCGGGTCCATCAACTGCAGAGCGGGCCAAGCAAAGTCAGGATTCAGGAGCCAAGGGGGCAATCTACGGACTCCCTTGCTTATGATCAACCTGAGTGACGGCTTATGTAGACTGTAAAGAATGATTGACTGCTGAGTTGCTTCCATGTTTCCATCAATCCACGTACTGCTGCATTTTCTAGGCCTAGCCAACTCTACTGCAAGTCATATCACACAAACAGCCCCCTGTATGCAAGCTCCGGCCTCGATATGACCTCCCATGTAAAGCCTTCCCTTGGACTAGCCTTTGCGAGCCCAACCCCGTGATTGTGGTCTTACAAGTCGTCCCCTCCCCTGGCATGCCAGTCCTGCCGCAGGCGACAATACTTCGAAGATCCTACTATTGCATGAAAGCTGAAGCCTTTGATCCCTACGCTGAGAAACACCCAAGTACAACTGCGAAACCCCCACCTTGTTCATACTGGTCATGACGTCAGTAGCGCCCTTCATCGCCCCCGCCACCGCCGAGTTGGCCACCATGGCCTGCGTGTGCGTCTGCACCCCCCGCAACTGCGCCTTGCTCGACTGCAGTTTTGTTACCTGGCCCCGCAACCGGATCAGCTGCCGGGCCAACACCTTTGTAGCTGCCTGGAGATACAAACGGGGGGGTCGATTCAAGTGGTCAAGTTGGCGGCAATAGAAAAGGCTGGACGATGAGGGAGAAACGAGAGAACGAGAGACTGGGGGAGGCAACAGTTGCTCCCTTGCAAGTAAACCAGCTGCCACGCCAACACCTTCGTAGCTGCCTGGACACGGACACGGGGGGGTCATCTATGACATGGATATGAAGGGTGCAATTTGGAAAAGGAATTACACCAATAAATGTCTGCCAATGATCAGCTGCCTTGCCAGCGCCCTTGTAGCCGCCTGAACTTCACAATTTGGGGGTTCAATTGGTAGAATGAAAAGATGGGGGACAGAGAGGTGACCTGTCTTGACCCCTGTATTCACCACATTCCCCTACCTTGGCCCAGGCTGATGAATCTTTCCATGACCAGCACAATCCTTAGGTGCCTTTAAAATCTCTCTTGCCTTCATCCTGTTCCATCGTATCCCCATTGCATCAGTCTGGGGCAAACTACCATAGTCAGGCAGTCGGAGACAAAATGACAAGGATGACAGGCCAGTGGATGTTTTTGAAGGCGGTCGAAGCTTCTCAGCTCACCTTATTTCCCGTCGCCGCAGTCTTTTTGATCTCCGCCACTAGCTTCTTTTCCTCTAGTTGCAAGGCTGCGACTTCACGGTCCAGCCCTATGGGAACAGAAACAGAGCTAGGGCTTACAACATTGCACAAAGAGACCATCTTTTGAATCTGGCTTTTGTCGCAGATCCGGTTGCTTCCATCGTCTGCCTCTGCTGCCTCATACTCATATCGAACAACTCAAAAACTGCTGAGGAATGAAGCCTAGACTTCAGAAATGAAACATGCTTTTCTCAACATGCATTTCAACCTCTTCTCTCATTTGATTGAGCACTCGACTAAGTTGGAAAAAGTACATGATGCTCACCCCGGCCTGCGTGTTGCATCTCCCGCTTGCTTTCTCGAACCAGCTCTGTTGAGAGGAAACCGAGCATTAGGGTTTGTGACTTTATGGCAAGCAGCCTTCAAGCATGGAGCATGGGGAAGCTGCTAATTAAATGGAATGGAGGACCTTGAACCAATCATCAGCCGGAAAAGCCAGCAATCACTGGCCGCAATCTGCAACTGCAGAACTCACAGATAGCTCCACAATCATAAGGTGTGCTCACCTTTCGGCGTCTTCTTCTTAGTGAAGAGGGAAGCCATGTTAAGAAGCTGGTATGGACAGGGGGATCCACAACCTCAAAAATTCTAATCTGACGCTGTAGTCCCAAAGAAACAGTAGCCTCTAACGCTCTGTCTCAAAGGCCCCTGGCCGCGTGCCCTGTTTTCGCCTGCACTTGTGATCTGCAGCCTATGAGTCAACTGAAAATAAATGCAGCCATCAAAGCTCGTAAGAGGTTGCTCGTGTGACCCTAAAAAGTCCAGTGCGGATTCGAAATGCGTCCCTGCTTCCCACTGTCCAAGTTGCTCCACTGCGGAGCCATGCACTGATGCAGAAATTCCTTGAAGTTGAACGTGCACACTGCACTGGTTCCGCATTTGCTGAATTCATGTAGCGCTGCTCTTCCTGCTCTTCGACAGTCTTTCTGCACCGCGCAGCTGAAGTCCTGAGACCCTTGACAGTTTTCGCGCGTTTCAAGCCCGGCGACACCAAAGCCAACGTTTGGCGCAAAATCTGCCCACCACGTTCTGCGCGAGAGGGATTCCCCAAACCGCGCAAGTTGTCTCCTGCGTTGCAGAATGCTGAACAGGGTTTGTCGCGTCAGGACTAAGACGTTTCTTTCTTCTTTCTTTCGTAGCGTAAGATTACGATACCTGTACCTTGTAAACCTGGCAGTGGAAGCAAACGAAGCAAATAGCCCCTGAAGTTGATTGGAAGCGCTCCGCAAGGGAAGTGGAAACTAAGATACACGAGTCAGCAAACGCTTTTGTAGTAACAACTGGGATCAGGCACCTGATCGAAGCGGAAGGGTGTCTTCAAGGCACTAACAGAGCCGTCCACAGCCAGGGATTAGCCAACATGGTAAGTGCGCCTGACCATCGTGCTCCTGAAACCGCTTTACAACACCTCGTAGCAGGACCACAGAGTATCACAATATGCCTGGTATAATGTGAAAGTGGGTTCAGTTGTTGACGTTGGTTTTGGTGGAGAAAGTAGGAGAAGGACGCTGTGGTGGCACGTTTGAACATGTTGGGTACTTGCCATCACTATGTTGTCAAAATAAGTATACCACCCAAGCATTCGGCCCCGCCATTGAAACTTCCTGGCAAGTTTGCACCCCTTATTGTGTATTCAGCGTTTGCGGTAATGGTACTCTCTTGTTTGGTAACAGTGGGTCCTTGCTGATGGTAATAGTGGTCGCAACCGTGCGCGCCATTCTTTCGCTGCGGCCTTCACGCCTGCCAGTTTCTACAATGCTTTTTTCAAAATGGAGTGTGCGCCAGTATCTCCTGGTTTGTGAATATTGGTGGTGATTGATCTGCAAGCTTTTACAGAACAAGCTTTTGCGTGGCTTCTCCGGCGCCCTACGAGTAGGGCACGGTGATGCGGTGATGCGGTGATTAATTTTTTTACCGTGCGTTTTTTGTTTAGAACGCCATCAGTTGTCAACTATTCTGAGCGTTTCTGTTCCCTTGTCTTTCCGGTTGATCTTGTCTTTCCGGTTGATCTTGAGCTTTTGGATATCCCTTGTACTCAAAAGGTTCATTAACCAAAAGTACCCATTTGCAGTGCCTTTGGACATACAGCGACCCGGCAAATCCAGGCGGCCGCTTGCTTCATCAGCATTCAGTCAACTGGGAAACAAATCAGAATGCAGACGTAGACTTCAGAAATAAAAAAAGTCTATTTCCTGAATGTTGGGCAGGCTTTCTCACACCAAAGAAGTTTGTCCTACTGCCTTACTTCACCAGACCCCGCGCTGAGCTTTACGTTTTTGGCGCGAAGGGTTTACATACGGCAGTCTTCCAACATTTTGAGCCAGCTCGAACCAGCCGCTACGTTGCCCTTTTGCTGCGAAGCTCTGAGGTAGTGGATGCCAAGGCTTACCACCAAAGGATCTCATCATCTCAGAAGTATACAACCTGAAACAAGCCGGTTTATGTCGTTGCTAGTTTCTCAAGTTGTTTGCCCTTATTCTCTGCAGGGCTCTGAGGCTGTGAACCCCAAGGCATATCCGCTCGCCGACGCGCAGCTGACCATCACGATCCTGGACATTGTCCAGCAGGCCGCCAACTATAAGCAGCTCAAGAAGGGGGCCAATGAAGGTACGCACTGCCCTTCATTCTAGTTGTTTGAGGTGTCTTCTCAGCCGAGGCGCCTCTTTTATCTGGTGCTAAAGCATGCGATGATGAATTTTTGACGGTGGTTAATTCCATGCTGGAAAAGCACATCGCAAGGATCTTTTGGCTTGCGTGCCAATAATAGAGTCGGACTGGTCTGCCTCGGTGCAGCTGGTCATGCTCTTGGAGCAACTCAGCTTCCTTGTTAGGAACTCAAGCGGCGACGGTGCTGCGACTTCTGTGTGGCAGTGCCCCGTTCGGATGCTTTGAGTCTCAGGCACTACAACGTATGGCCTTTGAGCGGCTCGCTGATGGGATGTCTCTGTTCATGTACCTGCACTCTCCAGTGGTTAATGACATGTGTCTTGCTGGGTTAAAGCTGTCTCTTGAAGCAGAAGTTGGAAGAGCCACAGAAGCATGGAACCTGATGTGTCTTTTTGAACTTACCTTGTTTTAAGTATGTAAAGGGGACGCGACCGCTGCTTCAGATTGACTTTTAAGCTCGTCAGTGTGCCATCAAAGCTCTGTTCGAACCTTATGTTTGCAGAGTGAAAAGGCTGCATCCTTTCAGGTCATTGGTCCTTTTATCGTCTTCGTTCCTTTCTGCAGCCAGCATCGGGCGAACTGCGTGTCCCTTTTTCTAAGCCGCTTCGGACCCATTTGGTCATGCGCTTCTGCAATCGATTTCCTCTGCTGGGCAAAAGAGATTGGGAGGACAGATCTCCTGAAGTTGCAAACTCAAGAACGTGCGAATACAAGCACGGTGCCAAGGTCTGGGTTGCGCGAGCCCTGTTCCTGACGCGCACTATTGTTCCTGCAGCCACCAAGACCCTCAACCGTGGAATTGCGGAGTTCATTGTCATGGCGGCGGACACAGAACCGCTGGAGATCCTGCTCCACCTACCCCTCCTAGCCGAAGACAAGGTCAGCTTATCCGCTTATCTTTCGACTGTCCGATCACCTCGATTAGCTTTATCGTTTTCTTTAGACCCTTCCGGATGCATTCTCAGGTAGTTGTATCAAGGCTTTGCGGGTTATTGTTCTTTGAAAGAGATGCCTGGTTGCGGGCATAAGGTCGGCGAGTCTTTGGGTTGTTGTGACGACTAGATTTGGTGCAAAGCGTGAAAGAAACGGTCACACATGAAAGCGACGCTTCGTGGCCACGATCGTGGTGTTTGAAACGAAATAACGGCAATGGGAATGCGTTTTGCATGAGGTTCTGGTGTCATCAAGTTAAGAGGCTAGTGATTGGGACACTGAAGGCGATGGAAGGTGTACCTGACTAGCTGTTCAGAGTACCAGGATCCATGTGAAATGAAGCGAGTCCCCTTGAGATTGAGCCCGACAGATTGACTGGAGCACCTGTCGGTACTTCATTCGGATTTTGTTGCTTTCCCTGAAGCAAGGGTTTCGGTCAGAGAACGCATGGCTCCTTCCAAAGGCTAACCAACTTAGCGTTCGATGCCGCTTTTAAACGGTCAGCTTTGTGGGTGCAGTATGACTATTTGAAGTTTCAAACGTTTTATATGACTACCCTTCCAGTATCTTTGATCACAAGGGGACAACGTCTGCCAATTCCAGCCAGCTTTTGGAAAAGTAATAAATTGGCTGTGGGAAATGTCCTCGTATTTGCGGGTATGCTACTGCGTATAAGCTTGACTCTGCCACACCCGCATGACTCACGACCTTCTTTTCGCCTGCAGAATGTACCATACGTCTTCGTCCCGTCAAAGCAGGCGCTTGGTCGCGCGTGCGGAGTGTCCAGGCCGGTGAGCACCGCCACTTCACTTTTGGTGGACGACTCTCTGTTTGACGGACGCCGTTCTCTGGGAGAATCCTTATAGATTTCGTAGAAGATTCAGGAAACAGACTCTGGCGATCACCTCGTCTTTTGAAAGAGGCGCGGGACAAGCGCAGAGTCTCTGCTTTGTCGAGCCCATCAAATTCGTCTTCCGGGTATTCAAACGACCATTATTTTCTCTCAATAAGGCGTCTGTTGATTGCCGATAGGTTCAAACACCGTTTAGGGGCAAAGTCGTCCGGATTACGATGGGTGTTGTGATTGTCGCAGAATGCTGTTGACACTCGGATGTTGATCTTTTGCAGGTCATCTCGGCGTCTGTGACAACCAACGAGGGCAGCCAGCTGAAAACGCAGATTCAGCAGTTGAAGGTGAGGAACTCCCAAGCCCGTGCAATACTCTTGTGGACGCTCCCCTTTCGCGGTGGCTTTCAAATCTGAGTGCTTTCATGAGCTTGATGCACTTGAATGTTTGTCAATGGTCACTCATCTAGGTCAGAGGGCACTCTTGTTTGCATTGTATTGTGGGCTACGAGCGTGTGCCATCTCACAGTTTGTGAATTTGACTGGGCTTGTACCTTTTGTCCGCAGGATGCCATTGAGAAGCTGCTGATTTAGAATCTACAGCCGGTAGCTATATGGCGCCCTTGCCCTTTTGTACCTGCCTGCTTGTCAGCAAACATGTTTGTTGCTCATGCTAAATAGAAGTAGCTGCGGGTGCGCCCATTAATAGAAATGTCGTTTCAACGAACCTGGTTCTAGATAACATGTCGTCCATGATATCACGGATTGACATGCAAGCCGCCGATCTGACTTTGGCTTTTTAGAGTCGTTCGAGCCTGCTTCAAACAAAATTGAGATGGTGTTCGAAATGGCCTTACACTACTGATGATGTTGCGATGCAATGAACTGGTGCCCGTGGGTAAGTTCAAGGCACATCATTCTTTACGGTCGACTGCACTATTGAGTAGAGCCGCCATCTTGGTGTGTCTCTCGGTCACCTGGCATTGTTAGGAGGAGCGGCTGCTGTAGAGCCACAGTGACTCATGACAGAGCTCTAGAATCCAAGTGGCAAGATTGCCAGTCACTAACCATCCAGACAGGTGCGGCTTGTATCTTGCATGCATGGCGATTGCGGTCATGGTATAGCATTACGCCGCCGCTGCTAGCTAGCTTACCATCATTGTCGATGTAGCTCGACCTCAGTGTTTGAAGAACTTTTGAATGCAACTCTCGAAATTTGACATTTGCTCAGAATACATGCTTAATGTGTTATGACATATCAGGCCCCAATAGTCCAGAGAATGCAATTCAACGGCGGACACGATGCAGCTAAACGAGTTCTAAGTTTCACAGAACGCACCATACCAAGCAAGTGCTCGGCACAGGGATGATTCATACCTTGCAAATTGGCATATACGGTACGTTTAATTTCCTCGACCTCGATAGATGTCCATCATTCGATGCCACTCAATATGGACCGGGATGACTGCAAACTGGCGGCACGTGCTCATGGACCTTCATATCGCAAAACAAGTTAACTTTGGAGGACTCGCCAGTAGATCAGGCCTGCCCATTGTAAAAAAATTCCGCGCATGCGGTTACAAGGGATGAGTCGGAGCAAGCCCATGAAATTGTCAACTTCAGCGGTCCCATTCGCTCCACAGCAATCGTTTCACAACAACTCACCCCTTCAGCCACAACCTGCTGACTTTGCATACCGGCTGCGCAGAACAGGATTCAGAAAAGCTTGTAATGAAATCAGTGGCTGCAAAATGGGACCTAGCTCGCTCAAGAGCGGGGGCATGCCTAATGTGCTTCAACCATCAGGATTGCAGAATGCTCATCTCAGTAGCCTGCTTAGAAGCAGACCTCAGAGCCCTTGCGCAAAACTGTGTAGTTTGTCATCATCTGGTGGAAGCAGCAGCTTAGACAGCCCAGATTACACTAGACCGTTCGAACCTGGGTCACCTGCGTTGTTTTCCATAGCAATCAGGATCAACAAAAGCAGCTCTGCCAAATAGCTGACTTCTTTCAATATACATCTGAACCATACACCGTCACCCACCAAAGAAAGTGAATCTGAAAGATAATCGGAGTAGCTGACAAGCTTCACAAGCTTCATGGTGAAGCGTCAAACTGTAAATTCGCCAAGTTGAGCCATGTTGACCAATGTCACTGGCACTTTCGATCATTCTGCCAAAACAATCACCGAACGAGCGATACGCTCCTCAAAAACGAAGGGCTGAGCAATGCGGCCAAGACGCCCCTTCTATGCTTTCAAATTGATCAAAGAAGTCCGAAGCCAGCGATCAGTGTACGTCCGTGTCGCAGCTTTGGCACAATTTGAATGGATACGACATGCAGCAATGCCAGCTTATTTCGTCAAAAACAGGTAACAATGAACGTGGCGTGTTCGGGTGCAAACCTATGCAGGCTGGCTTCTGTCTAACACTTGACCTCCTTCAGGCCATCCTTGAAGTAGATGAAGATGGGGTCGGTTGCGCCATCTTCGTAGTAAGCAAAGACCAGGGCCGCGTCGAGGTTCATGCTCTCCCCAGTGAAGCTGCAAGACATGACTCTCCGTATCAGTCTCACAATTCGAAAGCATTGAATCTCACTGATTGCCACCAATGTAAAGTGCTGTAAGACAACCAGATAATACAGCTGATTGCAGATTGTTTCGCCGTCACTGTCTGCTGCCCTTCGAACCTCTTCGACAAAAAGTGCGTCGAGGCAACTAATACTCCATTTTGAAGCGAAGAGGTCTTTGCGGCACAATCTTGTCAAAAAGATTTACAAAATGAGTGTTGTCTTCGGGGCCATCCATTTTGCCCAGAAGTCTGAGCGCTGATCCAACTTCACTCACTGATCGTGTCCGATTCTGCCAACCCCGATTGTACTACTTGCTCTCCTTCCACCAATTGCAGCTCGTTCGTCTTCCACCAAGAACGGGGCGTCACAGCATACCTTGTGAGGGTCTTCCAGGCGACCTCACTGTGCTTTAAGCCTCACAGAAGAGCAGAAGAAATACTCACAACTGCAGGTCCTTCAGCTTGCCCAAGAGGAACTTGGCGGCGTCAGGGACGTCCTTCTTGAACTCTTCTTGCCTCTTCTCAGAGAGGAGGGGCGTCAGCTTTGCAATGTATCCCTTCAGCCACCCCAAGAAGTCCTTCTTGGGGAAAGGTGGTTGTTCCTGCCAAATGGAGGCGAGGTATTGATCATATTCTTCAGAGATCCCACTTGCAAATGTCTCTCTTGCTCCAAGCAGGCACGCCCCACGCAATTGAAAGGAAGGGTGCGAGCTTTCTTTGTACTTCACTAAAATGTCCCACTTTTTCCAACAACGCAATCATTCACTAAAGATTGATACAATAAAAAGTTATGCTCAGAGCTGAAACCCTAGAACTGAAAAAGTTCCATAAGTGGATTCTGTAGTCAACTGTACTCGACAAACAGAGCCAAAACCATCCACCGCACCTTGCTCTACACGCAGTGAGAAAATCCCAAAATCAGTAGGGCAGCTAGAATCACTTTGCAATTGGGCTGATGAGGCAATGTTGAACAGCAAACCCTTTTCTTTTAACCACAATTGCACAAACATGAAAGCACTACCATTACCACTCATGCTGGCCCAGAAACCGGACCATTGCCAATTAGTATCGTGAGACCAGCAAAAACCGAGACTCGCGGCATCTTTGCCATCATTGCATAGGGACACAAACTCATCAGATGTAGCGAAGCAGACAGGTCAGCGGAGGGCTTACCTGCAACCGGAAGGTATCTACGATATCCACAACCTTCTGCACACTGTCGTCTACACCCTCCTCGGCCTCCTCTGCTGAAGGGTTGGCACCAATGTCAACATCAACGGGGCCTGAAGTCACCCACTGCAAATGACAAAACAAACTTGGCGATCAAGTAACCATCGAAAATGCCCGTCAGACAAAGTGGCCCGTCAGATGCAAGGCTGGATACCTTCTGAAAGAAACAGACTAGGCGGCATTTGACGATCATGTAACACTTACTTTTAAGCTGACCGAGTGCTTGCGCTGGCATGCTGCTCGACGCATTTTGTTTTGTGAAGTGAGTGGCCGATGAACAAGTCATGTGTCCTTTCTCGTTACTCGGCGTTACTCGGAGCACATCATTCCAGAGTTTTTGCAACTCTTGCCATCGTCGCGCAACAAATCGGGCAACCCTATCTCCTCCGGAAACTGCAAGGGGCCAGATTGCTCTGGAGCAGCGGCCTGACCTTTCCAGGCACCTTGTAGAAGATCCCATTGTGCGTCTCCTCCATATCAAAAGAATCTGACAGGAGCTCGTCATCTGCAACCAAGGCGATAACATATCAAAACAGAAGCATTGCACCTTGTGCATACACCCTGGAAAGAACTCAGCAAGTGCACCACAACTTCAATCTTGATATCCTCGCATTCTGAGAAAAGGACCAGGCGTCTGACTCACTTGAGATGAGGTCCGAGAACAGCAGCATGTTTGCTGGCCACGATGAGAAGAAAGGCAAGCTTGGGCGAGTGGGGGCGGCGGCGGATCCTGCTCTGATGTGGATATGCAACCAATTTGTCTTGCAAAGAAGGATTCCACTCTCTCACATTGGTGTAAAGATCCAGCTCAGGAATTGGAGATTCTGTTTCTTCTTCCTTCCCACACATCATGTCGTAAATCCGCTCGTGCTACCTGTCATAAGGAGAGGTACAACCTGGCCATCGCTCAGCGGCTGTGACAGCTTTTATGGGCCATATTCCTTGACGGCAATTTGAAATCAGGCTCCTAATACGGTATATTTTAGAAGACTCAACAGGCCGGTATAAATGTGAAGTATATTAGAGTGTATATCTGTCTAGCTTACAAGAAGATATATAAAATATCCCAGATTGGCAAGGCCAACCTCGCGGGGAGACTATTCCAAATATTATAAAGCAGAGTGACAGTGACAAGGACCAGATGGCAGAAATTAGAATCCATTATGCACGCAGCACACGTCGAGGAAGAAATCCGAGGGAGCTGAATGGAAATACCTGGCCTAGTCGCTAGCGCAAGGAAGCCTACGGCAAGATCGTTCACATTTTGGCAGGGCAGCCCTTCCTTCTTTGAACACTGTAGCTCAGCGTAGTGTATGGTGAGTCCGAGCACCAGCTGTTCCATGGAGAGGACTTCTTGGACAGCCCATAGCCTTGAATTGAGCGTGAGTTTAAATGTTCCAAAACCTGGTTTGACAAGCGCTCGCACATTTGAAAGAAATACCTCATGAATTTTGACAGGTGGTGGAAACCCGACGACAATTGTGGTCTGAGCTCGACTTAGAACCATGACAAACTCTCATTGACATTAGTCTAATCAAGGAAGACTTTCTGTTTCATGCTACGAGATAAGTATTGGCTAAAGTTGCCACAGTGCCTTGCAGGTGAACTGAGCACTAGTGGGCTTTTTTGACAGAAGCTTGCTTCTGCAGAATTCAGGATGGTAAGAAGCCGGATTGTCTGCATTTAGTCAAGGCAGCAATCTTAGCAGAATGATGAGGTAGTGCAAGTCTATCAAGTGACAATCACAGCCGATCTGGTTTGGGCTCAGCATTGCGGGGACGATCAACTTCAGGCAAATCTTTCAATGTTCTTTGCGAAAAGTCCTTCAAGCCAGTAGAGAATGCCAGCTCTCATCCTGTTTTTTTCCCCCCAATTCCGTCCGAGCATTGGCAGAGATTTTTTTTTCACTTTTCTGCTGCAGGCCCTGTCTATGAAGCCCCTTGTCTTCTTCCTTCTACTCGCTGCTCTGACCATCAGCACATTGGCTGCCGACAATTCCACACAAAGTTCAGGCAACAGTACTGAGGGAAATGACCCCGAACTGTCTGGCGCCACCTCAGAGCTCCCCACGGATATTGCGGCCACAGGTGAGCGAAGTAGGGAGTCCGGAGTCATCAAGATTCTAAAATGCTGCCCACAATGACTTTCATATGTCAGCAAATGAGACGCGTGGACTTTGGAGGCTTGATCTGGGATTTTATGATACGATTACGGAGACCCTTCTGAGAAAGGTTGAGTATTTTCTTTTTCCAGAATCATGTTGCAGAGTTCGTAAGTCACTTGCATTGAAGAGGCCCCCTACAGTAAGTGACATGGGCAATCAAAGAATTTGGTTTGTGTTCCCCCCTGCTTTGGTAAAAGAGAGGCCTCCTGTGGTGAGGAATTAGGGCGAGCGAACCTCTCGTCTGATCCCCTCCTTGTTTGATGTGGTCTTTGATTGTTTGCACGAGGGCGCTGTATAGAAATTCCCTCAAAATTTGTCTTATCTTCACTGTGATTACCTACCGGAGTCTTCAACTTGGCCGCTTAAGCATGTAAAGCTGGGCCACTTAAAGCTTTGCTTCTCAGACGCTGCAAAATAAGGCTAATTAAAGAATGCAGAACTGAATTTGGACGCGTTGAATTTTGACAGGCGCCTGCGCTGCTGACCTCAAAGCCTTCTGCAAGGGAGTCAAGCCGGGGGACTCCAACCTGGCTGACTGCATAAGCAACCAGCTGAAGCTAGAGAAGGCGGCTGTCGAGGATACCGGTAAGATGTCACGTCCTATAAATTTTAGAAGTTTTGGGACCACTCTTTGGGCGCCTGCGGTGGTGGCAAAAGGGTGCCTATACTTCTCTTGAATGACTGTTCCATGGGTGAATACAACGTGTTTTCGACAATTTGAAGTGCTTCTTGGACGCAGTCCTTAAGATTGGGGCCCCTGTCATCAAAACCTTATTTCTACCCCCCAGGGTAGCCCTTTGATGCTGCTCTGGAATCTCACCACTAATTCTGGCAGTGCTTTGGACAGGCCGTCAGCATTGGCAGGATTATCTGGCAAAGCAGAGCTGTCGACTCTCGTGAAAATTCGGTTTCTTGGACTCTGATGTAAGGAGGTCCGGAGATTGCCATTGCAATTGGTTCAGTCGTTTGTCAACTGCTTCTGCAGGGGCCAAAGTTTCTGAAGACTGCAAGAAGGAGCTCCAGACATTTAAGATTGCCCGGGCGGGTGACATTACGGTGGATGTGAAGCTTGGTGAGCCACTAGGTTTTTGGATGTTATGGTTCTTGGGTGACACTTTCCGAAGGTGACAAAGTTCTGGAGCAGGATTCATCAGGCATATGAACAGCGCTGAGTTTAAAGTGAGTTCAAAGTAAGTAGCGAAATAAGGATGGTGCAATGTCTGCATCGTTGCACCAACGTTGCACGAGACACCAGCCAAGATGATTTAATAAAGGCAACTTCACAGTATCTAATCTGTTGCCCACCACCTTTTTTACCAGTTTGACGCGCAGCTTATGTTGAACGAGCTTTCTCTTTGCAGCCAAGGCCTGCAAGTCGGAGATCCAGAGCTTGTGTAGCGACCAGTTTCTTCACCCAAGGCCAGCAAACGTCATCGACTGTCTAAAGTAAGATCCGCAGCATTGACTGTTCCTGGCTCAGGCTCTTCTTGTTATCTTAAGGTGCTCGGATTCTGAAAAATGGATCGTGCCTCTCCTTCTGGTCCAAGGCAGTTGCGAGCAGAGTGCCCTTTTGCTTCTATGTGCGAGACGAGGCATATTGCTGGTTGGCCTGCTTTTCCATACCCATGCATTGCACTACTTGCCCGCTGTAGCAAGTGCAGTGTAGATTTGCGGTGGGAATTTCCTTGAATGATGTGCCCGACGTTTTGCAAGTACAGGTTCTGCCGTAAGCAAGAAGAGATTGCAAATTGGAGGTTTGAAGCCCCAGGGGTTTTTTTGCAGGGAAGAAAAAGACAACACCGGTCCCACCTGTAAGGAGCAGATTACTCGGATCGAGTTGGATGCTGCCTTCGACTTCGAGCTGGACAGGACGATGTTTGCGTTGTGCAAGTACGACGCCGAACAGTACTGCGCTGGAGTCGAGAACAAGGACGGGGCGATTCAGGAGTGCCTGGTGAGAGGAAGCCTGTTTGTAGAACACTTTGAAATCTTCAACACCTGAATACTTGCGGCTCTGCTGCAGATTACTAGCGAGATCCAGGCTTCAGATTGCTTCCAATGACAAAAAACCGGTGGCAGAAACTGTGACAGAAAATTGCTATTCTAATCCAGCTTGGCGGTCCCTTGATGGCTTTTTTACAAACATCCATTGTAGTGGAATCATTACTTGTTATGTGAAAGCTTACTTGGAAAGTTGCGAACGGTTTCCGCTTCCTCAAACTGATCACGATTTCTTCTCGAGTAGGAGTCACTCCAAGCGTTCTCTAGGCCGGACTTTTGCCACGAGCCGAAGAACGTCCGGAATGACGTGTGGTTTTCCGAGCTTCATTTTTTTGTCAACGCCTACATTACGTGCCCAGGAAGCAGAGAAGCCACATTTTGCGGACAGAAAAAGCTTTGGCTCCGAGACAGAAGATGTAGATTATCTGCTCAGTCTTATGCCATACGACTTTGCAGAGGGCGCATGAGGTGGCTCTAAGTTGGGACTGCCAGGCCGAGCTCTTCCGGGTCGAGGAGCAAAACGCAGACGACATCCGGTTGGACCTCCGTTTGGTGAAAGGTGGGTACTTGCACGATTTCCGAGTTGATCTCAGTCGGAACCTCTTCTACGGTCTGGCCTGTTCTAGCCAAGATGGACTTCAGATCATCAGTGCTGGAGCTGAGGACTTCGAGTCCTGGTTCCGCTTCCAGGCTTGTCGTTTCCCTTCGACTTGGAAACCTTCAAAGAAAGTATCTGACCGCTTCTCCAAAAAGCTAAAATATCTGAAACGGCGATCAAGGGTGGCTTATTTGAGTTGCACGATGGTTCGCCTGTTCTTGTCCTCCTCTTGGACGATTATAAAATCCAGGTTCTTAATTAGTGACTTACTTAACGGCGTGTTGAAGTACGAGGGTAGTGAAAAGGTGTTTTTTGAGTCGGACAGTCAAAATCTCCTGTTAATTCAGTTGCTCCGCTCGTTCCGGCGACGTTCTGCAGAAAGTCTCCCGCCATTCTTCCCTGAATTTGAAACTTCCAGGCTCCTGAACTTCTGGAACTCAGAGCCCTTTTAACCCGTTGGAATATCTACAGACATGATCGTGCTAAGTCACATTGTGTGTTTGTTAGTGAAGGAAGACAGATGCGTATACTCCGTCTCTCAGCAAGCCACACGATCAAGACTCCGTCTCCTGTGAGCCTGAAATTCTTTGCGTACGGTGCAGCGTGCCGCACCGACAAGGCCCGGTTCTGTGCTGACGTGGAACCCGGCGACTCGCGGGTCAAGGACTGCTTGGAGGAGCACCGATCGGACCACGACTTCTCCGCCACCTGGTAAGAAGCCTCAACAGATTCTGTGCCTTTTGTACAAGAAGGCCGCAATGTGCAGAACCTCGTGCTGATTTTTCAGTGTCCGCCAATCTGGTTGACGTTGCTCCTTCGGTTTCCGAATCTTAAGTATAACGCGCCGATGTGGTGGGCACCTTCGGTGCAGAATCTCAAAGCGTATTGTTCCGAGAATACGAGGACTGTGTCCGGACTTCTGCCCTGCTCAACCCGTGCTTTCGCCAGCGAGCTTTGACGTGTGGGACCGCCAGAAATGCAGGCGACGCCCATTCAGTGGCACAGCATGGTCGAGTGAAAACATGTCGTTGAGCACGGTAAAAGCTCATCCACGGCAAGTTCTGTGTTCACGCTGTCAAGTGCTCTCTTCTCCGGAAAGACAACGCCTTTCCTATGCCTCTTCCATTCAAACGTAGTAAGCTCTATCTTTAGTAGAGCTCTATCTTTAAGTAGAACTCCTGCATCAGCACTAAAACCGAACCCACAAATCCACCTGTTCTGCACCCTAATCCACCACAAACCACCAAACCAACCCGACGCGTTGCAGGCTAGTTAGCGTACCATGTTCGAAGCTTACCATTCCCTAGATTTGAAATGTCCTTCTTCCCGTAACCTGTGTGCAGCACGGAAGAGTTCGACCGGATGCTCGCGCGGCGCTCGCAGGACTTCCGCCTGGACCCGCGTATGAGGCGCTACTGCAAGGACGACATCCAGACGGTGGGTCGCCTCCGCCACTTTTGCGACCGTGTCACAACTTCTTGAAGTTCCACGAAGCGCAGTCCCTCATTTGTTCTGCTTTGAGGGTAACAGTGTGCCCCACCTGCACATGCTGCTGCCTTCTCACTCTTTGCTTGTTAGTGCCTTTTGAGCCCCCCAGGGTGAGCGGAAGCTTGCACCCAAAGGGAGGGAAGGCCTGGGAACCTCTTTTTCCGACAGTACGAAAATGTGGAATCTATTACTGTGTTCGGCGTCAAGTCCGTCATCTCATGCGTTCCAAAATCATGGATATTTTTGGGGAATGGGGGAAGAGCCGACCTGGAAGGCAACAATCGGCAAGTACAACGCTCTTTGAGTTCCAGAGCCCCCTGAGGACCGCTTATGGAATCAGGGCTTGTCCTGGAAAGAATATATCGCCGTTTTAAAACCAGCGGTGATTGATGCCACTTTTCTCTTGCTGCAGCTGTGCAACAGTCGGCGGAAGAACAACGGACACGTCTTCTTCTGTATTTCTCGCAGAGAGCACAATTCAACGGTTTAAGAAGTGGCCCCTCCGACTGCTCCTCAACAAGCAAACTCGCTAACTCTCTCGCTCCTGCCCAATCGCAGTTGTGCGATAGTCGGCTGGAAGACCTCGAAGACGTGGCGTCGGACGACGCGGGCATCACGCAGTGCCTGCAGGACTACCGCGACGAGCTGCACGACCCCAAGTGCCGCGCGCAGGTGCACGCCGTCTCCGAGCGCGCTGCCGAGGACATCCGCTTCGACCGACCGCTTGCGGTGCTCTGCAAACGTGCGTGAGGCGGGCGCTTGTTTTCCACTTTTGAGGTTTGATTTTGAAAGCTTGCGTTTGAGGCTTGCGTTTCTGCGGTGGTTTTTTGAAGTTCTGAGGACTCCTGGCTTGCTCTTTCCCTCGGATCACGATCACACATGCTTGCCAGCTTGTTTTCATCGCATACTGCCAGTTGAAAACGTCTTCTTCGGAGAGACAGTCACACGCCTCTGACGAGTTGACAAACGATGTGCGTAAAATTCCTGGGGGGTGGACTTGTGAGTTGTCAAGTGACCTGTCAACTCGTGATCTGCAGAGGACTGCCAAAGGCTGTATAGCTCTAAAACTCTAAACTTCAAAGTGTGCCTAACATTCTGGGGAGATGACTTCTGAGTTGTAAACTGACCTGTGAGGGTGTGATTCGCAGAGGATCGCCAGACGCTGTGCAAGGAATTCCCCGACGGCAACGGCCTGGTCTTCAGGTGCCTCCAGGACAACCGGGAGCAGCTGCGGCCCGAGTGCCGCAACGCCGTCTTCGACCAGGTGAGCTGCGGATAAGACATGACCAGCGTCTTTTGGGAAAATTCTGGAATACCCGGGTCTTTTTCACGGCTCTTCAGGTTTGTTCCAGCACTCAAACGACACTTTACATGGCTGGGAAGTTCGAGCAGATTGGGGTGTTGCTAGTATGGGCACTGCACAGACCTGCTAGCAAGGGACGTACATGCATTCGTGCGGTTTGAATGTTGAGGGCGGGTGATGTTTATGCGAGCGAAGAAGGATAAGCAACTCTCGTGTTTGGGGTTGGTGTGCTATCTAACAGCTATGGGCGTTGTTGCCCATCATTTCGTGAAAAGAAAGCTTGAGGATTGTCGCTGTGCGAGCTGCGATACAAATGATCTGGAGTCCCCTAGAGACTGCTGATTCCTATCTCGTTGACGTACTCCAAGTCGTACACAAACCAAGATTGTCAGCAGCAACGAGGGGAAGTGACACGATGCTGAAAAGTGCACCACAACGGAGTTGTCAACGGCAGATGAAGGAAGTGACAAGGAGCTTGCGTGTGCCCCACAGGAGGTCCGCATCTCTGAGGATATCGACTTCATGGCTCCGCTGAGGGATGCTTGCGCAGAGGAACGGCTCGTCTTCTGCAAGGGCGTTTGGCACGGTAAGGCGTTCGAGTTCTGTTATACCGAAGCTCGCTAAGCTGTTGCGCTCTCTGCGCTGATGCTTTGCAATGTCCTCGAAGCGTCCATGTGTCGGTGGCTCTGTGATCATCTCGTGCTCGTGTATGCCTTTGATATCTTCAAGGCGTCAGAAACTCGGAAGCAGAGTATCACATGTATAGCAGTCTACTGGTGATTGGTTTGTATCATCAATATATTGGAAGATCTGGGTTTGCCTGGTGCTGGAGTGCGAAGCCAGGACGAAAGTATGGCTCACCTCTTTCAGTAGAATCACTAAACACAGCAGACCAAGAAAGGTGAAGAATCTGGTTTGTAAGGCAACCGGAGTAAATTGCACAGAACACTCATCTGTTACTTGAATGGTTTTAGAGTACTTGGCCGCTCCGACCTTGCGACCCTTAGGTCGATCAGACGGATCGGAATCGTTCAGTTCAAGCCTCATTGGGATGATGGACTAAAGCCACAGACACCAACAGTTGAGGCCTAATCGGGTATTTTCACGCACTCGCCTCACTTTTCTTAGCCCGCTTTATCGACTTGTTATGCAGGGCACGGCAACATGATCCGCTGTTTGGAGGACAATTTGGACGAGGCCGACTTTGGCAGCGCGTGCCGCAAGGTGGTCGAGCGGAACCAGCTCCGGCAGGGGGACGGTACGGCTTTCGGTCTTTTGCTCGCGAGTTTCGGTAACCAAGAGCCTGAGGTTGCTTTGCTTTGTTGCGTATTGATGTCAAGCTTCTCTGAAATCCTGCTTCTACGAAGTATGTCGGCGAGAGAACGTCAAGAGCAACATCGAATGCGTGGAACTTGAGCTTCGGTAGGCCAACAAGAGAGAATGGGAGCGGGAAGGCTTCTCAACTTGCTTTGCCCCTTCTCAACCGCCTAACCCTCCGTGTGGAGGCCTCACAAACTTCGCCCCAGACGCAATTCACCTTCGTGCTCAAGCTACGTGTATAAATGTCTATTTCATAAGTTCGTGTTTTTCTGAAGTTGGTACTTTCAAAGTGTTTCTCATTTTCGTACTGATAGGTATACCTTTGAATCGCATTGTTTTGATTAAGATTGGACTTCGAGTCTTCCATTTCTGGTAAATTGTTTAAGCTGACAGTAATTGAACGGGAGAACGTACTCATTGCCCCGCGCTCCTCCCCCTACAGACTACCGCCTCAACTACCGCCTGCACAAGGCGTGCGTGAACGAGGTCAACCGGCTCGACTGCGTGCGCGCGTGCAACGAGCTCGCGACGGGGGGTCCGATCACGTGCCATGGGACCGTGCTGCGCTGCCTGCAGGACAAGTTCGACGAGATCACGAGCGACGAGTGCCGCGAGGAGGTGTTCGCGTTCGAGGAGATGGAGGTGCGCGACTTCCGCACCGACCTGCCCTTCGCGCAGGCTTGCAGGTGAGTTCATTGGTTTTGCTGCCGTCCTGTTTGTGTTCGATGACGGCGTGCTTTCCGGGAATCGTTAGGTTGTTTGCGGTTGAAGAGATGGAGGTGCGCGACGTCCGTCCCGACCGTAGGGCAGGTTGCGCAGGCCTCGAGGTGAGCCCTCGCAAGTTCGATGTCGTCAGTAATGCCTTGATGACTCCAAGCACAGTGTGTAAGTTGGGCGAGCTGCATTGGGGGAATCGTGCTCTGATTTGGGACTGCAATCAAGGGCGTGAAGGAAGTCGCACCCACCTGCCTTTGTGCAGGCTTGCGGGTGAAATCATGTTTGCTGACGTCTTTCTAGTCTTTTATGACGTCTTTACTACGGGATGGGAGTGTTCACGGTCTGGAAGAAGGACAAGCCAACGTTCAGCAGTGCTTGTCCCCTTGTTCGCAGCTCCCGGAATCCGGCGCTTTGCAAAGTGGCCAGTTGGACTTCGATCTGTGTTGTACAGTTGAATCCATTAAGCTTGCCGTCGGCCCTCCTGCGTTGTGCCGACCAAATGGGGTGTTGCGCAAGAACACACTCGCGCCACCGAATTCCCTCAAGATTGCTGTCGGGGGGTTTCACGACGTCGACCTCCATGTTTTCGACTGTCGGGTCGGCATTTGCGCCGGCGGGAGCCTGCACCATGGTCCTGCAACTAAGTTCTCTCTCGCTTGATATGAATGTCGTGCCCTCAGCTTCCTTTGCACGTTTCTGCGGTCGTTTGCACAATCGCAAACCCGTTTGCATTCAGCCCTGACGATTGTGTTGCACTCCCAACCGCAGCAATGATATCCGAACGTTCTGCGGGAGCGCACTCTCTGATCCCAGATAACGAAGCCAAAATGCATATTTGCTACGTCAACAAAAGGTGTAGATGCCGTACTTTGTTTTCTGTTAATGCAGCAACGACATCCGAACGTTCTGCAGGAGCGCAATCTCTGATCTGGGATAAGGAAACCCAGCATGCATGTTTTCTACGTCAAAAATAGGTGGAGACGCCGTTCTTTGCTTTCTGTAAATGCAGCAACGACATCCGGACGTTCTGCGGGAGCGCGCGCCCAGACCACAACGGCCAGCTGGCGTGCCTGCGCACGCACCGCGACCGGCTGAGCGACGCGTGCCGCAAGGAGGAGCTCAAGTTCAGCATCATGGAGGCGTCCGACCTGCGGCTCATCCCCGCGCTCACGCACGCGTGCTCCGCTGGTGAGAGGCAGACTGTTTCTCAAAACGCCATCTCTTCTGTACTAGGTTTCGTTTCGAGGGAGAAGTGTTTCTGTCTGAAGTATTTTTGAACACGAGGGGCAAGTCCTCAGTTTGCCGTTCAACAGGACAGAATGCGTGCATGCTCGGCTGGTGAGGGACAGACTATTATTGAAAACCTCGCTCCTTATGTACCAGATCTTGGCGGAGGAAGGCAGATGTCGAAATTAGTTCATGGACAAGTGAAATTCCCCGCTTGATCGTTGAACAGGCCAGAATGCAATAGTTGTTTGTTAGTGACAGAGTCCGACCTGTGGATGACTCGCGCATGCTCCGCCGGAGGGCCCTCAACGGTATCGACCATTCCGTCCAATGGGTTCGTTTGATCGTTTCTCGAGACGTCGACGTTGATTTTGCGGCTCCCTGATCTCGCAACTTGCATAAAGGTGTGCGGCTCTTTGTTCCAGCACTTGGGTCCGCTTTCAAATCAAAAGTCGTTTCGTTACCTTTGTACTTGTCCTTACATCCACCAGTGCTGCCGCAAGGCAACGGCGAGGCATCAGGTGCCAACTCGCGGGGGTATTCGTCAACAAAAGACGATAATTTTAACCATTCGTCGAACCCCCTCCATGTACCCTTTTAACGCAGAGCTGCACGGGTACTGCCGCACGTCGAGCTCCAAAATCGACTAGGCATCAGCTATCGCCTCATATGGACAGTGGTCAAGATTTGTAACGCCACTCATAACCCACCCTATGCCCTTCCCCCTGCAGAGTTGCACGGCTACTGCCGAAAGTCGAGCCCTGAAAAGGGCGAGAGCTATCGCCTGGTATCGACCCCACGTTGACTTTCTTACACGTCTCTCATAACCCACCCTATGCCCTACCCCCCGCAGAGCTGCACGGCTACTGCCGCAAGTCGAGCCCCGAGAACGGCGAGGCGTTTGCGTGCCTGCAGCAGAACGTGGCGCGCGTCGAGTTCAGTGTGGCCTGCAAGGAGGAGGTGAACAAGCAGGAGGAGCGCCAGGCGTCCGACTACCGCCTCGACGTGCGCCTGCGCAAGGAGTGCGACGAGGACGTCCGCAACGTGTGCGCGCACGTCGACCCGTCCGCGGAGTACCACGCTGAGGTAAGCGGTTCGTCAGCTGACGTGGCTCTAGGAGTTTGGTAGAAATTTGACGACTTGCGCCTTTGCGCAAGGAGTGCGACAACAACGTCCGCAACGTGTGCTCGCACGGTGATCCTGCGGTGGAGTACCATGCTGAGGTAAGCGCGTTTCTTGCGGTTTGTGATTAGATCATGGAGGTGCTTGTCCCCCCTCTGACGTGGGGAGAGGTCTTTAGTCAAGCGTCTGGTTAGGCACGTTAATGTCCACAAGGAGTGCGACGAAGACGTCCAGACCGTGTGCGGGCACATCAAACCCAGCCGCTGAGTATTTCACTGAGGTAAACACAGTGTTCAAGACACGTGTTGCGCGTTGCTGACGTGGCCTTAGGTTACGTGTTCTCCTTAGGATTCCGACCGTCTCAGCTCCCGCCTGTGTAACGAAGCGACGAGGATATTACGTAGCGTGCAGGGACCTGTTGCTTCCGCAGCTGAGCATCGTGCTGACATATGGTGCTCGCTGCTCTTTTTGGCGGACCTGTCATAAAAGTTCGATTGGGCGTCGCTACAAGTCAGGGCACCTTTGAAATGAGGCCTTCAGTTCATGTCTCAAGTTTCTGAACCACAATCTTCATTAAAGACGGTCGCTCTGCCTGTCGTCAGGTCCTCAAGTGAATGATTGTCAATTCTGCTGCCTTTCTAGGAGCTTGTTAATTGGATCTTTCACTTTGTTCTCCTTCAAAAGTTTTTGCGCAAAGCCTGCAACCCAGAGTTTAGCTTTCGGGCGCTCCTCCTGTCCTCAGGTCCTCGTAAGTGCCTCGTCACCAACTCCGCCCCGCTTGGGCGTCTCTATGAACTCAAGCACTTTCTACGGATATCATTCAACTCGTGTCCAAGTTCGAAACCCAAAGTCAACCGGCCGCGACTCTCCCTGTCCTCAGGTCCTCAAGTGCCTCATCGCCAATTCGTCCGCACTGACTAGGAGTTGGTTAATCATCGCCATCTATCTAGTCATGATCAAAAGCGTGCTGAATCCCGGAACCCAAATCCAATCCTCTGGGTGCTCGTCCTGTCCCCAGGTCCTCAAGTGCCTCATCGCCAACTCCGCCGCGCTGTCCGGCGAGTGCGCGTCCGAGGTCGCGTACGCGGTCCGCATGGCCCTCTTTCAGTACAAGGAGAACTCCGACCTCACCGCCGTGTGCGACGCTGACGTCGGCCGCTACTGCAAGGGCGAGGAAGCCAAAGGCTTGGGCGGCTTCGTGATTGGTGTCTACGGGCAGTGCCTCACTGACGTGTACACCAAGAAGCGGAGCATGAACGCCGGTTGCGCGGAGCTCGTGCGGCTCGCGAGCACGACGCCGGAGTTTCTGAACGCGGCGCCCGGGGCGGGGGCCGGGGAGGAGACGTCGGCAAACGTGGAGGCGCTGGGGCGTCTGGTGGCGAGCCTGCAGGCGCAGGTTGGTTCGCAATACCTATCTTCTTGTCCTTTTCTCTTTCGTTTATGTTCCCGGTTGATAGCGGGAAATCTAAGTGGTCTCTGTTTGGGGGAGGCTTTGTGGACAGGTTGGTTTGGTCTCTAGGCGTGCATTATCTTTGCAATATTGGTGATTTTAAGGCTTCTAGTCGCATTCCACAATGTTGGGCCGTCGGGCCTGTGCGCGCCTGCAGGCGCAGGCCGTACAGAGCTACAGGAAATTGAAAGCATGCTGTCTGACAAGCGAGTCCTTCCCTCGTTGAACATGTGCGGCTTTGTCCCTCTCGCAGCTGGCCGCTGGACGGGACTCGCTGAACGGGTTGACTCTACAAGGGCCCGTTGCTTACCTTTCCATTGCTGCTCTAGTCGTTGTTGCTCTGGGTATATGTTTCGTTGTGTACAGAAGATACAAAAATCCACGGCGGCCGTATAGGTTGATCATGAAGGAACCTGAGGTCTAGAAAATCAGTCAACGGATCTGGGACTTGGTGTAAGTTATATATATTAGGTAGCCACAATGAGTGCGAAGATCGACATATAAGTATCACAAATCAGTATTATGCTCGTGACAAGGAGGAAAACGATGGCTTCACAAACCAGATTGTCCTATCTTTAACTTCAAGTTTAAGCTCGGCCGAAGCTGAAACGGATATTGTAAAATGAAATTCCATTGTTTCCATTTTGCGGTTTCCTCACACGCCACTTGCCATGCGATTCAAGCAAGTACGGTGCTGACATGACATGTTTATCAGCAGGCTGTCCATCTAGCGAAAGGCTGCATATCAGGACCATGATACAGTATATATGCAACCCAGTGCTAGCATGCATAACATCCGGATGATTTCCTAGCGCATTCATGATGCGATTCGACGCGCAACTGCATGATGCATTGCTTGCATGCAATGTGCATGGTGTTCTCCAACAAGTATTCATTGGGCAAGGCTACTGAGTAGCTATAAGAAAGATCCGCATTGCATTGAAAGGGAGCTCATTTATTATTGAAGCTCTTAGCGAAGATCGTTAAAGTGCATGTTGCATTGAAGCTGGGGGCTGCGCGCTTGATGTTCAAAGTGGCATGTGCAACATTGAACGCCGGTGAAGGCCACCATGCAAGCAATTGAGGTCGCGGGGGTGTTCGGGGGGACCGGCCCCGATTGGATTGAAGTGCAAAAGAAGATTCGGTGACTTCAAACTTGCACCCGTCAAAAAAAGTTTCAGCTCGAGTGTTCAGCTACAAAATATGGATGGGTTCGTCACAAGGACTTCCCGGAAGGTCACCCATTCCAGTACTATTCTTGCCCACAGGCGTTTAGCTTCGGAGGTCTGATGGGATCCGGCGCAATAGCCTAGGTATGAACGAACCACGGCGCTGTGCGGCCTCGTAATTTTATAACCCCACGTTGTGCGCAGTGTTGAGCTGCCCTGCAAATCGACCAATACGAAGTGACCATCGAGGCAAAACTTTGTCTCCTACTACTACCGTATCTGATTCCTGCAACTTGCATTGTTGCAAGGGCGTGTGCATTATTCCAGACTTCAGGCGCCAGAAAGCTTCTCATTGAGGTCCTCATTGAGGGAGGGTGGGTACAAAACGCTTTTAGGCCTTGTAGGGGAGTTCACCACCTCTGAAGATGGGAGTCCGCACACGCTTGCTGCCGCTGCTCTACATTGCAAGCATCATAGGCCTAGCAAATGCATACACTTTTGGAGATTTAGTGCCTACACAACGGAGGGGTCAGTATCACAAGCTGCGCACGCATTGGCACGATGCCTTAGGGAGGCATTGTCCAAGGTTTGGGGTTGACCGCCTGGTTAGTCCGTTCGAACCTTTGCATCTGACCAATTCAATTACCTCTGAAGGAATTCCGATGGTGGCAAAAAGTCAAAGCAAGATCTTTGTGAAGTATCGCATGAAGGACTTGGGTCCGGCATATCTGGAAATTGTGATGCGCAGTGACTGAATTGTCGGAGTCTGTGGTCGAATGAGAGCGTTGTGACATGTGACATGGTCTCAAATGGGCCTGTCCATTGACATCATCTTCTTGACCAGTATTCCAATCTGGCCAGCTGATTGTTTTGTAAGTACTTTGTCACCAGTACTGATCTTCAAAGCATGACAGGATGTCCCCTTCGGTTGTAAACGCATGGACTTCTGTTGTAGCTTTGACAGAGAAATCAGCAGTCTAAAGCTGGGTCTAAGATACGTAAGGATAGGAGTCCTCAGAAGCAGAGTTTCCAAGATCACAATCATCCATTGTAAGAGTCCAACCCCGCACATTGCCCATGGATCATAGGATGGAGGAAAGTAAGACTTGCGCCCCTCTTGAATCCAAGTGTGCTCCTTCACCGCTGCGTTCTCCGCTACAATTCTTGACCCGGAGGCAACCCTCCCGTGAATGATTGGAATCGTTCATCTCTTTGGGTCGCTTGCTTTAGAAGGGTTGAGCCCCACACAGAACCTGCTTAGCTGTGGCAAAGTCCAGGAAGAACCAGGAACCCCCGATTAGAAAGTCTTGCAGGATAGTGCCCCTTGTCAGCATCGTCTCAACCAACATTACACCGATTTACTAGGCCAGTTTCCTAGCCACACCGGTCTTTTCTACAATTCTGTGTCAAACAGAAGCTAAAAGACAACTCTGCCAGCAGTATAGCTCATCTCCTCTGAGCTGCTGACATCATGCTGACACCATAATTGGGACTCCTCTCAGGTGGTGCTACCCATCCCGAAGCCTACCGGCTATCAAGATGACGACACGTACAAGCTGTCGCTCTCGTTCGGCCGGGAGAAGTACCTCACCCCCTGGGTGACTCTCTTGAGTCCAAAGGCAAAGTCTCTCCCCATCATCGAAGTGGAGCTGTCTTGGTCAGGGACGGATTTAAAGGGCGTCCGAGCACGGGTGGATGAGCTGCCGGAAGAGTGTGAGCGAACAGCGAGAATCACTTTCTTACTTCTCTTATTGTTCTCTTTTCCCAAGAAGCAGGATGTCGCCTCCGATTTTTTGCTGTCTGTGCTTTTACGTCGGTGTCCAAAGTTCCTCCTCTGATCGGCGTTAATTTCAAAGATGGTTTAGAGGTTCCAGCGCGGTGTTGGACTGCGGATCTGCTTGCTGTGATTCACGCAATTCGCCCGGTTTGTATTCGCGGGCCTCTTCAAGAAGCGACCTGCAAAAGCTTGGGCCCTAGGGCTCTTCAGGAATCGAGTAGCGGAAATTCTTTGGGTGCAAGCCTTGAACGACTCCACCTCCATATACGAATTCTTCCTTCAGAATTACTCTTTCGATTCGTTGGTCTATCGTCCGGAAATACAGTTTCCGAGCAAGGTAACTTCAGAAGCCCAGTCAAGTAGAACATTCGTCCCATCAAGCTCTGTAAGATATTCAAAGTGTCCCTATCCATTTCGCTAAGCCAAAAGTAGTGCTTGGAAGCACTTACCGTTTTGCGCTCCCTGCCGCAGTTGAGGAGACGCACGCACAGCTGAAAGAGGAGTACAGCAAGCCGGATCACTGGCCCAAGCACGTGATGGTGCGCTATACCTGGTATGTTACTGGATCGAACCTTCTGAAACGGCTCTTGAGGCTTCCTTGAAGAGTTGATTGCTCGCTCTGGACCCCTTTCTTATCTAGTGTCCTCAAGGATTGAGAGCACGTGCTATGATTTGGTAGATCTTTGTTCCATTCCACCAAGGGTCAACGATATGCACCTAATTGCTGGGGGCCACACCTTCAGACTCTCTCTAAGGATGCCTACTTAGAGCGCAAGTGCCCCATGCCTGGAACTTGGCTGACTGGCATCAAATGAAGACCTTCGGCGACCTCAGTTCTAAACCAATTGCAGTTCTCCTTTCTCCACATGCATGTAACTGTGCTGGCTTTCTGTGCTTTCGTGCATATCGTTTCACGGTCGTTTCTGAGCAACGTCCGGGGGACTGGACCTCGACAACTGCCAATTCTCCATGTGCTCAATTCTTAAGCTTCCAGACCCTTAGCCTTCCGCACTTTGGGCCTCGACAAATGGGTCCACGCCTGACAAAGACACACGGAGACTGAGCCACGACCTTCGTGCTCGTTAACATCAGCATATTCTACTCCATCCCTCTTGAAGCCAAGTCCTGAACGGGTGACGTCATCTGTTACCCTGCAGGCGAGAAAAGTCTGACGTGGACGTGAACACGGGACTTCTGGTATTGTTCACGACAGGTAAGCGGCGGTATTGAAACCAGCAGTCGATCGCGACTCGTCCTGCTTATTTCATCATACACGGACGTTTCTCCCCGGTGACGAACTTCTATTGCTCGCTTACGAGATTGTCCACCCAAGCCGTTGTCACTGACGTCAACTGCGCACCGTAGTTTCGGGGTACTGAGAAGTCATCTAGCTTAAGTCTTGCTTCAGGTTTGGTGTGACTGCGAGACTTTGTCAAGTCACGAAAGAACGACGCGATTGCATTTCAGTCATTCAATCGTTCCATGCCAAGCGCGCCGGCAAAACGAGCTGATTTCTCCCGGGCCCTCAGTCAAGTTTCAGAACCACAGCCTGAGTATGGTTTATCGCCTGACGACGTCCTCTCCGAGATTCCTAGTACCACGTTGACGAGGGTATTTCGATCCTGTGCCCCTTAACAGACCTTCTTACGAGCAACGTACCTCTGTGCAATCACGGTCTTGACACTTACGAGAAGTGGTTCTGAGTACAAGCTCAAGATTATTGTCTTTGCCGCCAAATTGATACCTGGTTGATGGCTTTTCCGTCCTCTGCGGCTTTCGTTTATGCCGTCCTCTGTTTCCTGTGCAGGGATTGTGCTCTCTTTTGTCGCGGCGATCCAGATCATGACCTCAAACGAGGACAAGTTTCGAAAGTGAGTGGAGTGCTGGCTGGTCCGTTATCTGTTCGGGATTGCTTTGCGGTATTCTGGCTTGCTGCGTATCGAAGAAAACAACTCATCCCTGCGGAAGCGGCAATTGGCTGAGGCGTCCGTGCCATCATATTGCTGTGAAGTTCAAGTAACCTAACGAGGACGGAGTTGACATGCCGACCCGTCAAATGTTGGCACTGCGTTCTTCCTATCGCCAGATCGCTTGAAATCAGGTGGCCTGCCAACATAAAGAACCCCTTTGGAAGCGGCCCGTCAAATCCAGCGAATGATGCACCTCTGATCAAAAAGCTGTTGAGCCATTCGATCAGCTGCATTTATGTTGCCCAAGTTACTCAACATTGGAACGCTTGCTTTGTTGGGCACTCAAAGTACTCCCCGGTGCAACTCGCCATCCTTGTCTTGTCTTACCGAATCCAATATACTCTTGTTTGCAGATTCGTCAGGGAAGCCGTGTCGCAATATAGCTCCGTAGGCCTTGATGTCCGACCAAGCGGTGAAGCGAAGGTAGAGTAAAAGACAAAGGTTCTTGGCTCGTCTTCACATGTTGGCTCTTCTGATTCTGCTGAGTCGGCGATAAGGCCCCCGCATTCCAGCCCAGCTCCACATGCATATAGGTCCGATGACAGCTCGATATTAGGCCGCATCATATGCCGTTTTCACATGCTACTTGCTTCAACTTCCGAAGTTCTTGTACTGTTGCACCAGTGAGTGGAAGCCTCCGCAGTCGATTGCCAGGGCTATAGGTACTAAGCCTGGGTCACTACGTTTCGATTGTAGTGCATCTCATGATCCAATCAAATATAGCTCACAGCGTTTAACAAGTCATGATCAAATCAAACCGTCGGCCTACAGACAAGTGACGTAAACCGTACATTGCGGCGCCGCGCTGCGTGCATCTTCAAATGCATGTACCAAGACGAGAACTTGACAGTACGGGATATTATAATTAGGCGTTCAATGGCTTGCCATCTCAACAAGCTCTACTGTGTGTGTTCGGTTCCGTAAGCTCTAGCTACTCGAACGATCCATTGCGGCGTTTCAGCTACTATACAGTACGGTCTTTGCTTGCAAGAGAGCATTGCATCAACGGAAGGCAAATGCATCACTGCACTGCACCTACTCAAGCTTCAAGCGGGGCCGTTTTTGCTCTTTATTGGCCCGGCCAGACTCTTGCCGCATCCATTGACAGGCAAGTTCCATAACTACCTGCTTCTCAGTAATAAGGAGGACCTTGTCGTTTCCCGAAAACCGTCAGACCCTCGTGGGGTCTATCCCTGCGCTACGCTGACTCTATCGCTTTCATCTAAAATAACGCGCGTACCAAAAGCTTTCATGCTACCGCATGGAATCTGGTTTCAAGCCCGCATACGATGCCAGTGCCTGCGACACCAACGGCCGGCTGCTCATCGCAACAGAAAGAACCTGCACGATCTGGGAAACACGTTTACGACGGCTGTCGAGCTAGAAGCAGGCAGAAAACCCTGTTTATCCCTGGTACTGGTTGTTCCTCGTTCGATGGTGCATGTGGTATTTTGAACGTTGGAAAAGGTAACTCTCGACCGGCAACAAGTAGAAATCAGCAATTTCGTTAACGCGAATAGCAGCAATTCAGAGGCACAACAATGTCTGACGGAAACAAAAGGCACAAGCGCGCACCAATCACAGAAAAGTTGGTACAAATAGTGGACATGTGGTGGATACAGACACCTCCCATACTTTCAATGCTGCTAAAGCGGGCTCAAGGAGAATTTATGATTCAGAAACCACGACCGGGAACGCTTTTGAAATAGCGACGTGGCTAAGATTGGTCTCTGGAAGTGCCTTCTCAATCAATCATTGGTCGGAGAACGCCAAGACCAAACCTTATCACTCAAACTTTGCGACGTCCTTGCTCCTGTGAGCATTTCCGGCTTCAAAGCAATGAGAAGAAAGTTTGGCCAGACCCTGATAGTGCTTCGTTCCGCAAATCATCTGGCAAGCACTATCTTCAATATGAAGGCGTGCGACTGAAAGCAGATTGTCTTCCAAATCCTGCGACCCTTAACGTAGATTCGAATGAAGGCGTGCGACTGAAAGCAGATTGTCTTCCAGATTCTGCGACCCTTAATGTAGATTCGACTTGTCCGTCGAACTGGCTGAGAAGCAAGCGCAGGCTCAGCATAGCGGAGAGCGAGTGAGAAGTATGTGCACATTCTTTGCACACAATTTCCTTCCTCCTGCCGCGCCCTTTGTTACTTGCGCGCCCTCTGCACAAACTTCTGTGGCGGTCTTTCCATGTGTCCTCCATTCGATGTCTTGAAACGTCCGTATACCAGCAGAACTCAGGGGAAGGCAGTTGAGAGGCGAGGACGGGATGAAAGAGGAGCTGCGCGCAAAGGAATCTCACCGCTGGGTTTTCGTGATCGTCCTGAAGGGGCGGCACAGTCGTCGTGTGTATTCTAGTGAGTTCTGCATGCGCGATCGCTAGCTCCGCCTGCAATCACCGAAAAGTGAAGACGTAAATTCAAACGCCTGTGAGCCGGACCAAAGGCGGCTCTTCGAAGACTATGCGACTCGCCTTCGAAACAATCTTTACTCCGGCCCTCAGAAGACCTCGTCAACGGCTTCTCTACCGCATTAAGGACCACCAGCGTCTCCGTAAATAGCTACAGTGCAAAAGGAACTAGTAGGAGGAGAAAAGGAAGGTAAGGAAGCTTGGCAACATGGAAAGGCAGGCAAGACGAGGACTGTCAAAGCAGGGAGATCCTGAGCCGAGGAGTGTTCTCTGCGCAGATAGCCAGAGGACTAGTATCCACAGATCGCGATACCAACAAAGCTGCCAGACCAACTTTGCAACGAAAGTACACTGACGCAGAGAATAAGACTGAATGTACCCAGAGCTCCCTTCTTCACAATCCACAGGCCTGCTCAATCAGACCCCTTAGCTGCTCCACGACAAAGCAATTTGAGCTGTTCGTTAAAAGATGAGAAACCGTCAGGCGTGGTCCTTACCTGCAGATGCGCTACCTGCTGTTGGAGGACAGAGATGGCCCCTACGCACCCATACACAGGATCTTTGACTCTGCAAAGAAGGAACAAGCCCAGCAATGAAGATTCAGATCATTGCCCGGGCTATCAAGCCTTGGAAATGGCCATAAGAAGCATTCTTAAGCGCCATATTAATCCCCTCAGAAGTCCTGGGGTTCATTCAGCATACTGTCTGCAACTGCAGTCTGTCATCTGACAAGAGACCAAATCAGAGTGAAGTGACTGAAATGGTCCTCGGCAACAAAGCGAAAACTGAACCGGAGGCTCCCCTCATCTGGCTGACTTGCATGTGAGCATCTCAAGCGAAATTTCAGAGTTTTTCAGATGAGGTTTAGTGTCAGTGGCAGTTAGGGAGGCCCCGTGATACTGGGTCAAATAAGCTTGCTACAATATAATTCTGCGGCTGATCAACAGTGGTCCTTTCTCCAGACTAAAGCAGATGATATCTCATGCTGCTAAGCTTCTGAAAGGGTAGCCAAACAGCCCCTTATCAAATGGCAGCGTGGGACTGGAGCTACTATTGCCACCTGTAAGGTCCGCTCGGAGTGAAGGAGTTGATCTGACCCGTTGACTCGCCCTGTTCCAGTCCCTTTCATCTTCGTATTCAAATCTTCTGTCCTCATATAGGCGTTGCGTTCAACCAGTGTACTCTGTTCCTGAGCACAATTTATGAGCGTCCCCAGAAGGTGTTCCTCCAGGACTGGACTGGATTGAAATGCCCCAGGCTCGTGTCCAGTCCATCACACTTTTAACAAAGTAACCAACTCCTCTGTGTGAAAGATGGCTTGTCCCCCAAGTAAGTTTTGCTCCTTTTCAGGACCAGATTCAGAAGATTGGTCTGACTTTCTGAGTGCGCTGTTGTTTGAGGATTGCTGTTTGGTTTTCCTATTCACATGCAAGAAGGATGTTCAGCTGTTGGTTTGTGAGCTCAGACCTCAGAGGGTGCCGTTACCCTTCCTCCAGCTCCTGCTGATTTCGCCACATGTACGTTCCAGCTATGCATTGGCAACTGACTTCTAAAATGTAAGGTAGAAAAGTCCCTGATAGGAGATGCTTGACAAAAAAACAGTCCACGGAGGTGGTGCGGTTGGACTCTGCTGATTATCCATCTCTGAAAATTGCATGTATTGCAACACTCACCTTGCGTCTGCTTCATACGCAAGGCTATTGACGGCGTCCTCTCGCTGAGAGAGCGGCAAGTCATGTAGGAGCTTGGTGATGTTGCTAGCGCCGAAGATCTTGTGCACGTTTGCAAACTTCTGCGGCTGATCTGGCGGGAAGTACGGTGCAAAGAGGCTGGGGCAGGCAAAGACGAGCGCCGAGTCAGAACATCGCTGCAGACTTGATGAAAAGGTAAATTATAGAAGTAAGTGCAAGACTGATCATACCTTTGTGGTGTGAAAAACAGACTTTGCCTGACAATCGGGACGAAAAGCTGATGACTGCACCTGCAACGCTGCAGGAAGCAGTCAGTGGTTGCAGAAAGTCAAATCTAGAGACAAAGTGATGAGATGAAAGCGACAGATGGGGGGTGCACAGTGAGAGAGGCTCTCAGCACTGAGACAGTGCCACTCGATGATACCAACTTCATCTCAGGCGCAAAATTGGACAGAATTGCAATTCAGCTGTCAGATCACTTCGTCGCTTTGGTTAACGTGCCGAAGTATCCCCACTGAGGTAACCTGACTCTAATTGCTCATGTCATGTCAAACCAGTGAATAAGTTCTCTGGGTGTCAACTTGACAAAAAAGGATCTGGGTGTCACCTGTCCCAGAAGACGCTTGCACCTGTCCGCTGGGTGTGACAATTTGAACAAGGAAAATCTGCCCCTTGTTGTGCACGCTTGTCAACAAGGATCCTCAATGTTCGTCACACGGCACATTCCGGAATGTGAGGGGCAATCTTCGTAGTGGAATTATTCGTAACGAAAGTTTTCAGAGACTTTCACCGAACGTCGCTGGCAAGAGTCACTTAATCAAAGCTGCGGCCGACTCACCAGTCTGGTGTACACTTCCTCCTCAAAAACTTGCAAGCTGCATCATAAAAATGAAATGCAATGAAGGGAGTTTCGTTTTGACACAAGCAGACACTTTGATACCACCACTCCAGACAATATACTGATTTTTCAATCTGTCATCCTTCCCCCTCTGTTCTTCAATCTCTTGATCTTCACCATGTTTCGATAAGGTCCCTCAACATTTCCCACTTATCTGGCATGCAATTGATTTCTCTACTCCCAAAGCTGCTAAAACTTCAAAGACTTGGCCGAATGAGGTACCGGCAAGGTATGTACTCCTTAATTAACACGAAGTGACGAGAATCAGCTGTTGGCAGCAGTTGCGGCTCATAGCCAAACTCCGCAGCTTTTCTGCAATTCTTGCTCGACACACTGAGAGCCAATTAAGCAGGACGAAGCAATGCAATGAGAAACCAGATCATGCAGACAAGCATCAGAAACAAGAAGAGTAGAATCCAATACCTGCACATGGAGACATTTGCGAAGGGCCTGCCATCGAAAGACTCCAGATCAGGCACAAGTGTTCCAGCCTCCCCTCTGTGAGGCTTTAAGAGACTCCGTTTGACTTTTTGTTTCTGTGATGGATCTTATTGCTCAGGAGCTCTGTTGGCTCCTTGAAGTCTGGCTGAGTATTGAACGCTGCTCTACTTAAACCTCTGCCTGAGCTCAACAAAGGCTTTCCCTAGACTCCAGCTCATGTGGCATTGGTGGACTCCACTTCCTGCTGCACAAGATCGTAGCGCCTAGAACGAGGCCAAATGCTTGCACAAAGTCAAGCCGCCCCCCGTCGTTACAAAGACAAGGCTTCTGTCTCCAGCATCCCTTCGTCTGAAACCCCCACGCCGCCCGGGTCAGTCTCATGCAGACAGCCTGCGAAATTCCTGGACCACCCAGAAAACTTCCAAGGAAACGGGGCAAACTACCTGTACCTGGACCCTGGAACTGCAACCTGCAGGGGTTCACTCCAAAGATGAGCATCGGTTTCTAGAAGCCCCGGCCTCAGCTAATGCGGACTTGTTGGGTGGCGCCTTTCTTCCAGAGCGGAAAACACAAGTGATGTAGGTAGAGTCTAGAGAATAGCACTACCTGGGCAACGCTTGACGCCTGAACTTCGTGGATGCGTTGAGCTCGTAACGCTGATCGGGGGGCGGAGGCTGTGCATGCAAGGCGACTACTGTAGTGGCACGGACAATTTACAGAAATCTACAAAATACATTTATCTCATTGTTTTAAAATTCACAAACCCGGCTTCAGGCCCTTGTAAGGCCCTTAACCAACCTTTAACGAGGCACTTTCTGGCCCAAACTAAGTTCGTCAGGATTATCTTGGGTGCGATAGGTCGTGCACTACGGCATACAGAGTTGCTTTGCCACCTTTGCACACAATCCGGGCGATCTAAACCCGGCCTGAGGTGGGGTAAACTCATTGCTCAATGCTCAGATCAGCTCAGATACCGTTCGTACGGCCATCGTACGGGTCTGAATGCTCATAATATACTGTTATTGTAGCGGATCGGTTTTCATATTGGTTCTTGTTTGCAAAATCCCGACCCTGCATTCGAATGATGGACGCACCTCTGGTACCCTTTCTTGCCTACTAAAATGGTACCGAAACAGGAACCAGGTACCAGGTATACGGTCGTAAGACGCCCTCCGCGCGGATCGCGATCGACTGCGGGATCCAACACCCTGGAAAATTCACAAAAATAAAGTTTCCATACCCCTCCCTTTAGTGGAAGGGCCACCGTTACGAAAAGTCATCTGAGTTAACCACGTGATGTACAGCTAGACCGGGTTACAGCCCAGGAGGTGTACTTTGCACAATAATACAATTTGAATACAGTTTGAGAACTCCAAAATACTGATGAGCCGTTACATTCCTGCATGATTGAGGCACTCGCTCAAGCTCGTGTTTGACTCCCCCTGTTTGTCGTAAATCCTAGGGTTTAGGTCGTATCCGAAATTTTAGGGATATTTAAGCAGGGTAATAATACTTGGTGCTGGCCAAGTCTTCTACAAGGTCTCTATTTTTAACCTAGTCGGTTACTTTTCGGTCGTCGAAGAACTCCCCCTGGATTGCACCCGCAGACAGGGAGCTGGAAACCCCTGTTGGATTCGTTCTTGAGATGCCTTTTCCAGATTTTAAATCAAACCGTTGTTCTAGATTGTGTTCCGGGAATAAACATCGATTGAAACATTTTCGTTGACGACAAAACCATACGCCCTAATTGCCCCCCAAGGAGGTTGGATAGCCACGATGTAATCCGCCCGGTCCAAGATGGTGCCCATGCTTTCGTCACACACAACCTATAGATTACGGCGAGTGCGGCGTGCGTTACGGGAGTGATTTTTAGCGTTACGCTTGACTGGGTTGACTGTTGCGACAACTTGAAGAGGTTTCAGCGGAAAACTGTAGAATCCGTTGAAGGCGGCCGATTTTATCGGCGGCTTGCAAGTCATCATTGCGTGCTGATGTCAGAGTAACGGACCAACCGGCCGCTGGGCCGCAGCTGACATGCACGCGACGGGCTCACCCGGGATCTGCTAATTTTTGGAGATCTCCGCTCATAGGTAATACTGGACACCGGAGGTGAGTCAGACTTGCTGACTTGCACCGCTTGTGTTAAACTAGGACGGACAGCTTGAGCATACGGTACCTACCGTATTAGACTGCATGTCGATGACTGGCACTCAACGCTTGAATCTGAGACGGTCAGCTTGAGGCCCTGTACGTTGTGCAATTTTTCAGGGTAACCGCATGGTGAATTGTACCAGCTCCTTCCACCGGGGCGCATGGTACGAATGGTGTACCATTCGATTCGGACGGTTAATGAGTTGACCGGTGCTGATAGGTGTGATTTTGGTTAGCAGTATGCTTAAATCTACTTGACCCTTGACACTCGCTGTCCTTTTCCAGGCGGGAAGTGCTGAAGCAAGCTTCGCGACATTTTATATTGCTTTTATATCTCAATATCTTACTGCTCATACGGGCTTGGCTTGAAAGTATTTCATATAGGTGCAAAAGCTCTCATACTTTGTTCACCGGGCACATTTTGAGGGCTTCAAATGTAGTTCTCTGCCCAGTGACTACCATTCTTGTACCATTCACACACCATTCAGACAGAACCCGTGGATTGATATCATTCCATGAGCCACAAAACACCATGCGGTTACCCTGCAATTTTTAGGATTTGCAAGCCAATGGTTTACTTGTTGGCCATGGCTTGGTCCCGGCTTGGTTGGCGATCGCTTTGGCTCGAGTGGCCCCCGGGCTCGAGGGCCCGGGGGGGCTGGAGCGGTGCTGTCAAGTGGTTGTTGCAGCCGTGCACCAGCCCCATCAAAAAGCACGCGGCATTTGACCACCTTAATTGTTAAGTTGATAATCACGTCGCTTCAGAACCTTATCGAAAACTAATTGGGCTTCTCCATCATGCGAAGCAAGCTGAAGGAGCCCCTGGCCAAGAGCCGTTACACCAAGTACTTTGACCAAGAAGATTAGTCGCTCGGAGTGCTTGAGGATCGATCACATATCTTGCATTATATAATGGGTATATTCTACGATTTGCAGCTAGGACCACGAGCATATACATGTTTGCACAGTGTACGTTCTGGGCCATGCACGGACGGCCAGGCACGGACGGGAGAACTTTTTGGCTTAATTGTCGGGCTGTTTTTGAATCAGCAATCAGTAGCAAAGACCATATACCGCGGATCTTTTGAAAAGATCAAGCAATCAGCTCTTGCCATGGTCCGTAATTACATGCAGCATGATCGAGGGCCCTCGTTTTATGCAGTTGGCACAGTCACAATTTGCATGTCAGGTGCGGCGAGGGGTGATCCTACAACAATTCGAAGAATCAATGAAGGTACATACGAGATAAACTTTGACAAGACTGTGGATTGTGTAAAGTATGGGTCCTGTCTAGATGGATATAAGAGATTGAGATAGACCCTGAAGAGGATGCTGCTGATGGGGTGTTTGTCGGTGTGGTTGACGACCATTCCCTCGAATATTCATGATTTGTGCAAATGAGCCTCCTTATGTCATCACCTTCGATTGCCGATGTGACATGGGACGAGATTTTTGGTCACGCATAGAAACAGTCAACGAATTTGAAGTATCCGCATGCACACGGTATGGGTATGCACTGTACGATTGCAAGAGTACATACAGCACACGACACCATTTGGTTGGCGTACTTGGAAATAGCATGGGCGTTGAAACGGTATTACAGGAGATGCTCCAAGAATAACCCAAAACTATAAGCAAAACAAGAATGACAATGTCTCACAAATGACACTGAAGGATGAAACCGCGCAAAGACCTTCGTCCTTGATGGAGGCGCCTTACAGACCCATCCGAGCATACAAAGCCGCTCTCCGAGCATGTTCCTCCTTCGCCCTCAATCTCTCAACGGCACTTTGCACTTTGACCGGCGCGCGCACCTTTTCGTCCCCGCCTGCCGCTGGCCGACTCTCCTTCTGACCGCCTTCCCTATCCACTCCC